TCGAGCCAAGAGTGGTCATGTTTTCCAGTTTTCGTTCGGTGCGCAGATGGCCCAGAAGGGACAAGGTTGACTTTGTTTTCTGTCAAACAGCTTAATCATGTGATTCGGGAGGATTTGTGCGATCAAAACAATAAGTGTTTTGAATGAATTCGATTGATGACTCCCAGAAGAGTCTGCGATGTGTGTAGGCCTATATGCTCTAGCCGCCGTGTTCTATATTTCACTTGATGTGGTGGCCCCGGAGGAACCCCGAAATTGTGAAATTTAATGTCAAATTTGACGTCAATATTTAAGTCCTTCATGTCCCTTAAGGGCCATCATTTGCACAAAATGGCCGTTGGTCGAAACAAAATTCATTCTGTTCCTCTCCAAGCGTAATAATTTTTGGAGGGAGCGCAGGCGGTTTTTTTTTCTTTTGTAAGAACACGATATAAAATAGAATATAGGCCTATGTCTGACTGCGGTACACGCATAACTGGTTCATTTCAAAAAGCTCCTTCGTATGAGTTTGTCGTTGATAAAGGGAAGTCTCCAGGAAAATTGATTTTAATTTTTGTGCACGAAAATAGTCTCGAAGTTGGTCAAAACAACAACTTTACCTTTTATAGTATCCTTAAGTGTGATACAATTTTACGCCCGTGCTCTACTTGAGGTTCAATTCTCTGACTGATTAGTTTTTGTAAGTTCATAATTTGGGGAAAATATCGAATTATTTCACCCACTACCTCTATGCAACGGCACGGTAGTTCAACCCTGCCGAGTGTTGTTTTACAAGTAATGAAAATGTGTCACAAGGGAATGCAATAGTTTTGCAAATGAACGCAATAATATTTCGAATAAACACTTAAATCAGTAAATTTGCATCATTTCTTCTGTGATTGCTTAATAGCAATTTTCCAGCTACATATCAAATCAAACATGCAAACTACAAATCAATGTTTCGTTTTTATTCGGATAAAATAAAATGCTACGCCGTGGAAAGCACGGGCAATCGGATTTCTTTAGGTTAAATAATACAATTGCGTTGCCAGGTTCATATAGGAATTTCAATAGCCGTTTTAGACAACAATTTCGGGCGAAATAGGATTAGACAGACACTGCCTTTTAATTGGCTGCTAATATAAGTTGACAAATTTGCCCGGAAGACCAAAAGAGTAAAAAGAGCCAAGGGAACGGCAGCTATATAGCTTGGGTTGAGTCTATCTCTTAGTGAGCGTGTTTTGTTCTCTGTGGTCCTACTCTGCCTACCGCACCTTTTAAATCTTTGAATAACTTTCAGCACCTTTGTTCAAATCAAAAGAATTTAACAAATTAGGTCCTTGGGTAGATTGTTAACTTTCTTTCTCATACTAATGGCTCTCTTGGGGGCATTCTACTGCTTCTCATATATGAAAAAGGTCTTGAAAAATCGAGAATCCACTCCCTGCCCGAACAAAGTAAGGTTTCCGCAGAATAAGACCCCATTTTTTTCTGGTGTTCAGCTACATTCGTGCATTTGGGAATTTCGCACAGTGGCCTTCAGCTCAGGCGCATTGAGTTTTGGTCGCTACGTTCGTTGCTTTTTCTGAAATAATTAATCTCTTAGGGTTTTTATTTTACAGCACAAAGGGTCCATAGCCATGTATCCTGTTTCTAAAGTCTCCACGTATAGGCCTACACATTTTTTTTTTTAAATTTGGCCTAATGGGTCCCAGAGGGCCATGCTCCTTGTTCTGAAGCAAAAGACTGCAAGAGCCAAGGGCACTATGTGCATTGGGGTTTTATCATCTATTCCTTAATTACAGGCTAGAAGTTTCCGGGGAATCACGATTGTACCGTCTAGTGGGGATGGCGCCGGGGCCTGAGATATTGATTGGTCCCATGTATTACCTTAATATCACTCATCCACAGTCTTGTGCTAATGTGCTTACATGTGAAAAAGTTCGTAGAGCTTTTTTCGACATGTATAAATTTCATGGATTTCATCTTTGTGTATCTTACACATGATTCCAGAGGAGTTTGATTTGAGAGAAGGAAAGAAGGATTCCTGAAGACTTAACTGTCCATATTTGGTTGCAAAAACCCTGATCCCTGGCCAAATGATATACCAGAAGACATTTGGTGTAAACTCCGATTCCGATGACGATTAACCTCTCACAGTGCGGATCTCTACCCTATCTAAGCCGTGCAATTATAGACCCCCCTCGCTATATGCGGCGCTCACCGAGGACAAGTTTTGTCATCTAAATTCATCAATAAAACCCTTCGGGCCATTAAGGGCCATAAAACCTGCCTGGAAACACCCAGGCTGGTCTGGGACTAGTACTTCGTATAATGTTACGCTTCGCTTTCCTTGGATATACATGTAGTACATACGATATGCATCGACCATGCAGTCACAACTTTGATGCAACAAAACGCTTTAAAAATCACTATATACATCCTGCAAAATTTACCGGCTTAAAAGAACTCCCACCACAATCTGAGGCATCTCATGCGTCACGAAATTGAGAATGAGAAGTTACTAGAAGTATCATTTTGGCACAAAGTTGGCGTAAAATGGCGAAAGTTTATACGTACTGCTACCGTAGGTGGCTTCCACGCGTAGTTTCCGTACTTTCCCGCGCATCATGGATGAACGCACGAAGTGATGACGTCATACGCAAAATCGATACGGATCCGTGATACGGATGCGATTTTTAAACTTGCTGAAACTCTGTATTATCACACCATGGTCCTCGAAGGAGCACGTATACGATGATCTAAAACGTAATATACTCCTACAGTCTGAACATATGGGCATTTTGCATGGACGGTACAAATTTAGTGGATGAGCATCCTTCTTAAAAAAAGAAGAAGTATATTTAGGAAAAGTTTGCCTTTAGTGTTTTTTTTCCGATTCAAGGAGCAACAATACTTTAAATCTCAAGCAAATTTAAATGTTGAAAAATCTGCTCAGTAGATTATACTTTTTTAGAAAAAATGTGAAAATGCATCTGCATTTTTCGCGACGCGAATCAAATGTTTCCATCGTAAGACAGTAATAATGGAAATTCCTCTCTTCTCGACAATGACAGTACACTACTTATAAGCAACGACTTCACAGGATGCTTAATCCGAGAATATTTCATGATATTTTGACAGTTTTATTTTCGAATGTTTGAAAATGGTGTCCATTACCTGTACATTGGTGCGAAAACGTGCACAGGCATGCCATGACGTCATCAAGTCATTAACCCTAAAGGGGCCGGGTTATTTTGACCATCTCTCAGCCGGGGGGGGGGGGCGGATTCCGCCCCCCCTAAGATCTCGGCCATCGAGTGACGAAACATTTTGAAACTCGGCACATGCATAGAGCAACTCTTCCTAAACATACCCAAGAAATTTCATGACTATAGGTCAAAGGGTTTTGGAATTATGGCTAATTAATTATTCATATGTACGAATGGCAATTCTGCTCTGTGTACACGACGTATATGCGAAAATTCAGTTTTCACGGCGCGTAGCGCCGGAAATTTTTTCGCTACGCGGCAACCCGTGGTCAGATTTTTATGTTTTTGGTATCAAAAGATGCGCAAAGCTCGAGGCTAAAAAGTCATAACAGCTCGGGTCGCGAAATTATTTTTTTTAGAGGCTATCACGGAAAATGTTGGGGGGGGGGGCGGATTCCGCCCCCTCCCGGCCCCTTTAGGGTTAAGGCATGGCACGAAACGTTTGTGGTGCGGGGACATCTGGATAAAATAATATAGTTCCATATTCCGCGTCGGGATTTATTTTGCAGTTCCTTTACTAGTCTCGGTCCAAGACGTTTCTATCTGATATCTGTTAGGAGATTTTTATTTGAGAGCTGTGCATTTTGGTATTTTCATCGACAGAGTACGCAGTTTATTGATCGCCTTTTGCTGATCAACTTTTTCGTAGTGCACGTCAGCTTGGAATCGAATAGAAATACGATGGAATCGATTCTCATCACGGCTAGGAATCGAGCAAAACAAAGCATTAAGAATCGAATACGGTGGAGGATCGATTTAAACTGGGAAAAGATAAAACTCTGATCAACCTTCGTGTAGTGCAAGTCAGCCCGGAATCAAATAGAAATATGACGACATCGATTCTCATCAGAGCTAGGAATTGAGTAAAACAAACCACTAAGTATCGAATACAGTGGAGGATCGAATTAAACTGGGAAAAGATAAAACAACGAAGTTCTTTGAACCGAGACAATTCCTTGGCTCGTCACTGTAACATGGTGATGTTATCTGTCGATTCATCGCTAATTTTACTTGATAACCATCAAGGGAGTTCAACAAACTCGTCTCCTTCCACGCCCCCCCCCCCAAAGAAAACACGCATGTTGTTGCAGGCAATAAAATCAACTACTGACAGTAATCCGCGCGTGCAGACCTTCTATTACACCGAGTCAATGACATCCGCTGAACGATAATTCCTTGATTGTCGAGATTTTCCCCACCAGCTGTGAGCGCTGTACTTAACCATTTCAATATCCATGAATTAACTCAAGCTTTCCCATCCAATCGCTATTTTTAAATTGAAGATTAACAAAATATATTTTTCCAAAATATTTTTTTTGAAAATGTCAACCGAAGAGCATTGTTTTATTATATGCTGAGGTGTAGAAGCTAATTTCAAGGTGATTTTTTTTCTCTGGTACAATGTACCTTGGTATATCTTTCCATTAAAAGCTATATTATTTTTAAGGGCGCTTTGGTGTCATTTGTCAATTTGTTATTAATAGTAACATTCAAAGACAAAAGCGACTTTCTATGGTTTTATTAATAAAAGAGTGGGTTTGAAATAGTGCCCGCATGGTTTGTTTGAAAGAGAGGTTAAAACGTCTTGAAAGAGAGGTTTACCTTGCAAATTGGTTTTACGTACTTGCAAAGTCCGTCACCTGGATTTCTACGCAATAGCTAAGGTACCTTCGTAGTACAAGGCCCTGTACAACCTCGTTTTGTTGCAATATTTCAATTATTCTAAATTTGCCTGTGTTTTCATTGTAGGCAGCCGACCCTGAGGAGGCTCTGAGGCTCCTGTATACATTGGTGAATGAAGGACCTCCCGTGGTCATCGCGAGCGGACCTCATCACTTAAGTGAGGCGACAATAGTCAACCAGGTGGCGGCGAGGTACAACATTGTCCAGGTGAGTGAGTCCTGTACACACAATCGGAACCTCGCATTCGCAATTGAACCTCTTTAATGGTGTAAAGTCACCTAAGTTCATCAGGTATTCGGGGAGGTTCTAACGTAATACAATGGTGTACATCGAGATATTACATTATCGCGTATTCACAGACAATCCTCATCATTCGTATAAAGCTACAGCTGTATGAGGAGGTATCTGTGAGGTTCAGTCATGATAATCATATACTGTATACATAATACGGAACCACGGTGTTCGTGTCTGTGCACCAGTGGCGCACCAAGAATTTATCCTTTCGAAAAAGAATTTTTCGTCAGGACGTGCCAAAGTCGTAAACGGGGGTGGGGTTGGGGAAGGGGGGGGGGGGGGAGGTGTCTGGAACTCATTTGAAGCGAGGAGGCGATGTTAGTGGTAATATGTATTGCAAATAGCCGCGTTTCTCCCTTTATCCTCAACCTTTTTTCATTCCATTAGTGAAGTTGCCAACTGGAATGATACATTCGTCGCATGGAATGCTGAGTCTACTGAAGCGGTCAAAGCGGCGGCGGGGGAGGCCCCCCCCCCCTCCCCCGCCGCCGCTTTGACCGCTTCAGTAGACTCAGCATTCCCCCCGAGCGCTTTGGGTGTCGGCAAACGCAATCTGTTCGCGCACAAACCGGTAGATTTGAGGGAAACGGGAGGTACATGTGGTCGGACTAACACTCTTATACGGAGAAGTTCATTTGTAACACAACCCCGCTTTTAGGAAAATTCTCAACTGATGCTTACAAGCCCTTTTTCCAGGCAAAGAAGCCCCATGCCATAGGCGGAGGTTTAGTAGAATGTAATTAAGTTGTATTTTACTCTGCGATAAATGAATTCAATCAACACAGTATAATGAGCTTTCGTGACATGGAATCATTGGAATGTTCTGTTGCACGGTGGTATCAACCATTGTCCATCATCCCCTTCTCATATCACCGTTGAGGGGGTACGTGTGCATGGAGTCTATTCTCCAACAGTCTCTTTGGGCGGAGCCGGCTCTTTGGGCGAGCTCCCCCGCGTAGCGGACGAGGCGAAGCGTCCTCTGAACAAACTTTGATTTTTTTTATTGACAGATGGGCCTGGCGACACATGAGTCCCTGTTAGACAGATCCTTGTATCCCTACACTGTCCAGGCGTTTCCCTCGAATGATGCTAAACTGTTAGCGGGAGCAGCCTTCTTCAAGCGGATGGGATGGAGACGCGTCGCCTTCATCTTCGAGGAGAGTATCGTCTTCCAGAATGTAAGATCAAAACTGTCTCCCCTGTCATCCTGTTATTAGTAATAGATATCCAGAATATTGCATTAACTATACTTCATGCTTTTTTTTCTTGAATTGAATGTGGTTGGCCAATTCCATTATTTTTTTGTAAGGATCCCAATTCTGGGCAGTGTTGCCTCTGTGTGCGTGATCATGCACCTGGACAGAACACAAATGAAATTGAAGCTAGAAACCAGTACTTATAGGATCTAAATTACTAAGATTTAATTAGATTTGAAAGATTGAGTTACAATTCAAAAACAACTACCAAAATATTCTCTGTAAGGATAGTGGTACACAGGTACACATGACAGGTTCTTTGATCCCTTTAAATCTGTAGGTATAAACTAATTCTATAATTATTATACAACGCCCAGTTCGAAACTTACATGAAACACATTACACCTCATTAAACTATACTCATTGGTCCACTTTTAACAGCGATCAAAAAGTAATTACTGAAATATGAGATCTACGGGGGTATAATGTAAAAATTATAAAATTATTGGGGCAAAAAGTCACCAGTGGATAAATACACGCTGCACTTAGTCGGGGTCACATTCAAATTACTAATTGTAGTAGGGCACATCACTTACCCTACATACAAAAAGCACCTGAAATTTGTATGTGAATTCATATTTTCTTGTTTTAAAATTTCCCATCTCTATTATTTTGCATTGGAATACTGATCACACTGTGACCCAGACTACTGTGACACCGAAAGACGATCGAAGGACAATCCCTGAAAGGCTTAATAAGGATTTGCATGATTGTCGTTGACTTTGCAGCATATGAGGGACTTTCGAGAGATCTTAGAAGCTAGAGATATCCAGATAGTCGCATCAGAGAGAGTCAAAGATATCGCCAACTTGCATCTTCACCTACAAAGTCTCAAGGTTCGATCAGAATAAGAAGAATGGAATCAAAAGAAAATAAGATGTTTTTCTCATGCATGATTGTTCCGTCTTAAAAGGCACATTGCTGTTCATGCATCTTAAGTTGTTCGTTTACAATGAAAACGCCACTCAAAATCCAAAGACGAATGTTCAAAACTTAACCTGTCAAAGTTTCAGCTCAGTGGATAGAGTACACTTTTGGAGAAAACCGTGTAAAGCCATGCACAGCCATTTGATCACGAAACACAATTTCATTATTATGACTTTATTTAAAAATCAGCCGATTGACTATAATGTACTTGGAAATCACCCACATTTCTTGATTTCCTCTAAAATGACAGCAAGCCAGAGTAATATCACTGGGTGTTTAGTACCAGTACGATCCTTAATTCAAGTAAAGTTTTTGATGATAATTCAGGTTACTTTTGGGGTAAATGTAAATGATCCTATAATCCTTTAACACGTTTTCAATGAATCGAATCAGAGTGTTTTTAAAATATTGATATTGATAGCACCTTGACAATCTAGAGCCTAACAGTTGTCCACTTGATTCCTCACTCAATTAGCGCCAAGATGCACGCATCATATACCTTGGATTCTACAAGGCGACTACACTGCGGTTATTTTGTCAGGTAACGCAAGGAGATTTGAATTGGGTTAACAAATAATAGGAATGTCTATAGGTTTCAAATTTTTGATCCCGTTCATTTCCAAATTTGTCCCTTTTGGAATGCGGCGTTTTTCTCGGAGACAACCATAAAAGTTAGATCATTAAAGCTATGCACATTTAATTTCTCAAAAACTACTTAACATGAGTATATCATCTTGATGGAGCATATTATTTATACTCTTGTCTATAATCAGTGAAGATGCCATGGAAATCCGTTCATGCAAACCAGAGATCTAACAGAAGGCTATGGGTTTTTCACCCATTCCAATGGGATTTACACAAGTTAGTGATATCAGTGCATCAGATTGTCATGGGCCCTTTCACTCTCAACATGTGAATTAAGTTAACTATGTAAATCCCATCCCATTGGGAATTGGTGAAAAACCCATAGCATTTTATAATCTGTTAGATCTCTGGCTTGCAAGAATGGATTTCCATGGTATTTTTACTGAATGTAGGCATACACAAGAATATAATTAATACCCTCCATCAAGATGAAATACTCATGTTAAGTAGTTTTTGAGAAATTAAAGGATATTTCCTTGTACAACTTTTTTGGCACCCTGTATTAATGATAGTCGACTATACATATACATATACGTATATCTTTTGGGGAAACAGACTCTGTTTCATGGGTACTCCTATATCTCGGAACGTAACAATTTTACGAATGTTGTTTACTTGTTTTGACATTCAAACGAAAGGATGCAATTGAAGCCGAAAACAACAAATTCACAATCCTTCCCATGGCAAAGAGGCTTCTGTATTTATTCTACACTCATAAGACGAAGTGAATTTATTTTTATGTTTTGATCTTTTGCACTCTTGTAGCCATTGTTTTTAGTTACAATCAATATTCTCTATAGGTATGCGTACGTTTTTGTGCATTATTGATTACTGAAAAGAAAACTCCTGAAAATCAAATGAACATTGTAACACGATATTAAAGCAAAGGTGCATGCATAACTTTGAATTCCTAAAGTTTTTGAAAACTATTTTTAACGCGATCAAAGCTTTGGAAACAATTGGAAACAACTGAAAACAAGATATAACACATTTTCCCCCTTGTTTTGGCATGCAGGCTTATCTTGCCGAAATGACCGGTGCTAAGTACGTGTGGATTGCGCCGTACTGGGCGGGCACCGTGTGGTGGTCTAACGTCTCGCCGTCTAGTATCGCTCCCTGCTCGGCGGAACAGTTCGTCGACGCGGTGGATACGACCTTCCATTTCACGGGGACCGTTCAGGGCGATTTATCTGTCCTGAATTACAACGGAGTGGTGATTACCTCAGAGATGTCTTTGTACCCGTAGAAGATATACCATTCGTTTCATTTATGCACCTTTTGGCAATATTGGGTCCTGAAGCTCACCTTCAAAGGATAAACATTGATTGATCTCAGTGTGCCAAGTGCACTTGTATGGGCTTCTTGTCGTCTTATTTCAAATAAATCTTCAAAATATTTTGCGTCAAAACATTCCTTATTGGCTCAGTACAATCAAACCAAGGGAATAGTGCTCCTTCGCTTTTCTCAACAAATTCTTTTTATATTAGCTGTCACAAAAGTAGAAGACGGTGAATTTTGTCCAAGGATTATGATATCGCTAATTTCCATTTGGAAGTATCTTTTTAATTACGATGGTATGGTTAGGAAGAGAAATGGGAATGGTGAAAAAAGCCATAGGTAATACTGTACAGAATATAACTGTATTAAATGCATAAAGTTTCATTTGCTTTGCATGGATTTTGTTCAGATCCAATAACATCACTCAAATGAAAAATGTTCAAAACCTAACCTGTTGAAGTTTCAGCTCAGTGGATAGGCCTATCTTTCCGAGAAAACGGTGAAAACAGTGCACAACCTTTTGATCACGAAACGCGATTTCGTTAATATCCAATGATCAGCCAATAAACCAAGCACCAGTATAATATGAACCACAATTCAAGGCATTGTACCTGTCCCCGATGTGTTTTAGAAACCTTTGCCAGAGCACTACGACTACTTCAACAGCCTGCCGGTCAGCTTCATAGCCTTTACGTACGATAATGCCATAGCCACAGCGCTAGCCCTGAATTCATCTATAGCCGACCTGCAACGTCTTCAACCTCCTCGAAAACTTGAAGATTTCACGTACTCCGACGAAGAAATGGCAAGGGTTATTTTGAATCACGCGCAAAACATCGACTTCATCGGACTACAGGTATGGTTATTATAGTTAAAAAGACAATTAATAAAAATTAATCATTGTTTTCATTTGATGGATGCGTAGATCAACCATCTCGTTGTTTGGTATACAATTTTTGTCATTGGAATCTGGCAATACCCACATAGAGCGGCATTTCCTGGTCTGCATTATGTTTCAGGATTTTTTTCTCCTGGAAATCAGCAAAGGCAGGCTTTTTACGTGTAAAATGGAAATCTAGGGAAAACTAGGGCAACAGTAGACTAATATTATAAAGACAACATGTGAATCCTGAATTTTAGATCATTCCTGTGGCATCCCCACCTCTAAAAAGTCTCCGTCTTAAACTGAAAATAAAATAAACGCTTGATGCAAGTTGGGCTGTTCTTCGGTCAAAACTAAACGCAGGTTATTAAAGGTATTGTTTTCGCAATCGTTCGTGCTAATCGGACAAAGAACAGCACATTTACCATTATTGACGCATACACATTGAACCCAGCTCGAAGAACATAAGGTATGTGGTTATGAAAAGAACCGGTTGGTTGTGAAACTCGACGTTCCGATCAGTATGCTCTGATCGTCTTTGAGATTGTTCCACATGATATTACCGCAAACCCTCATTATAGTTTACATTACCACCAAGCAAAAAAAAACACCAAAGTTTCAAATCTTGTATAAAGGTGAACATGAAGAGTTCAGAGATTTTGGTATAACTGGAATTGGTATTAATGTTCTGGACAGGGACGAGTTCTGCTTGAGGATGGTCAACAGACCTGGGCAAAGGTTGATGTAGCACAGGCGCAAGGTAAGGTTGCAGAAACACATGCACTTTTACGAGGAGCCTTGTGGTTTCTTTCCCCTTCTATTCACCTTGTGGTTAGTTAACCTAAAATGACAAAGACAACCCATGCAAACTCATTATTTAAAAAGTGCTGTCATGGCATATGGAAAACACTCAAATTTGGACTGAGTTTAAGTTTACTTGAAGAAACATGTTTCCTATTTAAAGATGACTTCACCTTGCTGAGAGTGTATTTCTGATTTAAATTTTTTGGTTTTTGGTCTGGCTTGGTTTATTCTGTTCAATTTTGATTTGATTTTCTCGGCCTCAATTCATCTGATTTCAAGGCGAAGCTGAGCAAGTAGTTCTTGCTGTACTTTAAAAGAAGACAATTCAATTTGATGTCCGACCAATTTGATATCCATGGTTTAAACGAAATGAAAAAGAAATGAAACAACGACTTTAAAGAGAACAATATGCAATTTAAAAGTCGAGTAATGACATTGAAATTATTTTTTGTTTGGCTATCGGATGATAAATTTTAAGATCGATTATTGAATTTGATATTAAATTAAAACGTCAAGGTATGGAAGTACATGATCAATATATCTGAAAGCAGGGGGATATTTGATACGAGCCCGGAGGCCATCAGGTCCGGAAAGTATATCCATGGTACACAGTACATGAGAAACAACTGAAGGGTCGAGCCAATATACAGGAATTGCTACAGAGTTAGATGATGGCTCTTTACGATATAAAACGATCACTTGCATGTACGCCACGGACGTTACGTATCTCAAGATGGGTGGAATCTGGCACAAAAATGTATTTGTGCCGAAAGGGGGTGCATACCTATGTTCCCCATCCCTAACCCTAACCCGAACCCTAACCATCTAACCATCTAACCCTAACCCTAACCGTATTAGGGCCTACCCTAACCCTAAGGATTTTGGAGAACATAGGTATTGGGGAGCATCGGGTAGACCCCCGGAAGGAACTTGCCATGATAATCTACCGTTTAATATGCTGTCGTGACGCTGAACATCTCGGCCATTTTCCAAACATCGACATTTGTTTTCAGCTTCGCGTTATCCGGGGCCCTGGAAATGTATATTTTATGTATATTTTGGGCCAGCAGGTGTCAGCTCATACAGAGGCCTAAAATCAATCAGCGGAGACCAAAGCCGAAACGAAGCCGAGGTTTGGATATACTGGGCGTATTTAACCATTCTACTGTTCCCTGTCATTCGTTGAGATTTTAATACCTGCTGAAAACAGCTACTTCTGAACGGAAGCTTGAGTATCATAGAAAACGTTGAATCTTTTCAAATTTAATGACGAGTTTCCGTAGAGGAGCTACAACCGAATCCAGAGAAATATTAACATCGTGACAAATCAATGCTAATTTCACATCTGAAACCCACTTATAATATTTGGCTTGAAATATGTTCATGGAATTGTTGTCGCATAGATTACACGTAAGTCTCTTGCAGACTCTATACATTTTTAAAAATAAAATTACGATAAATGCTATATCCGTTTTCACGAGTACATTGTTTCGTCTCTACTTCGCGTTGCTTCCAGGCACGGAGATGAATGCAGTTATGATTTATCACACAAAAGAAGAATTACTGCAGAATTCAGGAGTTTCTGACATCAAATGGAAAGGTAAAAGTATACTTTATCTCAGTATTGATATATTATGACCCATTCGAAAGTTCTTGTTGTTAACAGTATGTGGACCAAATAAACTGTATTACGAGATTGCAGTTCGTACCGTTTTGAAATTACTCCATTTTGGTAAACTAGAAAATGTATTCACATTGTAATGTCTATGGAGTAGCTCATCTCAACAAACTCACAAACAACAAAATAAGCCATTGACATTTTATTGAATATGCTTCATTCTGCTAGCACTCTATTGTCTTTCATTGGGACGGTAAATTAATTGCGATGGAATAATCGGAAGACAACCGACAACCAACAAGCAAAAAGACAAAAAAAAATAATACTAAAGAACCCCAGCTTGACGGTCAGGAAGACAAAACACACAAACATACAACAGTTTTCTCAACAAGCCGACAATCCTCTCATTTTCAGCAATATACAAAACAAAAACGTTTCAAAACAAAACACAGCTGCGTTAAACGCATTTGTATCTTTAAATTCAATATCACATTACAGGCGATCACATTCCAGTGGATGGCGTTACAACCAGACCTGTCATCCTTGAAGTATCCTCTCTTTTCCGCGTTATTCTCTACTCCCTGGCCTCTGTCGGTGCAGTCATAGCGCTGGCGTTCCTCATCATCAACATCGGATTTAAGAACAAGAGGTAGGCCTAATCAAGAAAACGATTCCTCATATCTCAATACCTGAGGCCCTTCGGGCCAAACGTCGGGTCGCTTTACCTTCACCTCTGCCAATGTAAAAGGAAAACTAAACAAGTTTTGTGGGGAACAACGTGCAAACAATATTCTTGGAACAGGACTCACAGACAGGAAGCCTCAAATGTGTCCAAAGGCAGAAGTAATCCAATCAAGAATCAGGGACCTTAAAAATAGCTCTTCTACGTTTAAAATGTGACTGTCTAGAAAATAAACCAGAAATAAATTTCCTCGAGCAATATTCAGCTCATATCCCTTTGCATAAAATAGCCATTTTTATTTAGTGACCTCAGTTCATAACAGTTCATAACATTCATGTTGTCAGTTAATTCAATTCTGTAACGGTGAATTCTTAACGGTTCTACCCATACGTTTTCCCGTTGAAAAAACCCCAAAAACACTACACTTCTGACATGACTGTCATGGAAAAGGACTTCAACTTGGTTGAAATTATAGCCCATGGCTTCAACCAAACTAGGAAATTTGATGCACAGCGGTCAGTGGAGTCTCTTACCCCCTAAACTATTTTTGTTTACAATACCGTTGTCAAAGCCCACAGAGATTTTCCCGCCCATTATTGAGAAACAAATTCCATGGTGTAATTGATCTTCGTTGTTACCTCTAAGCCTTGTTTTTCAGAATAATTGACATGACAGTTTGGACATTTGATAATGTCTCTCAAGTTGAACTCCCCCTTGTAGATGAAAGGACGTATCTAATTGCTGTTGCAAGGCTAAGATACGTTAAGCGTCAGTCATCTCAAATTGCCAATTCTTCGAACAGTTTGTACAGAATTTCACTCAGTCCTACTAGTACTATACTGATGCAATTTGACACTATTGATAGGAGTGGATCGTAAAAACATAAATAAAATTGTGTTTCGAGAAGTTACGGATTAATGACCAAAAATATGCTGAAATTGCCATAAGATTGAATTCGACGTGAGCTGGAACCATTTGGCAGAAAGGGGAAATATATGTACAAGCATGGCATTTGGCACACAGTCAGAGTATGTCATGAAAAGATATTTGGCTATAGAGCCATCGTAGATTTTTCCTTTGAAAAAATATAGGATTTGTCCTATATAATAATAAGCAATTTTCACAATTTTCAAAATGGTTGCCATTAGTTGTTATTCAACTTATATTTTTTTCAAAGGACAAATCTGCGATGACCCTAAAGCCAAATATCTTTCTCATGACATACTCTAACTGTGCCAAATGCCATTCTTGTATCATCAAAGGCACAATCCCATCACCTATCTGCCGTATTTTAGTGGCGACAAAACATTGTTAGCGCACAACATGAACAACGTACAATATTAGCGAGCTTTATGTTCACTCCCGGCAGAATCCATCGTCGTTGAGTACAAAGTTAAAAGTAACTTGATGCTTTTTAAATCCACCGTAACTGCTTTAAAAACTTTTTCGGGGTTGCTACCGTATGACGTCAAGATTAACATCTGTTGTGGTTCATTACAACTATTAAAAGGGTGTGATCCTACGTCGTATATCCCTGATTTTAATTCTTACTCTCTAGGCCATGGGAATGTTACGCCCATAGTTTATTTGGTATTGAAATTGTATTTTTTTTCAAGTATGATGAATCAGAATCTCTAATGTCAGGGTAGCTTTTCTCACAAGCTGCATCTCTTTGGAATTCCTTGCCTGGTGCTTGTTTCCCTCCAACCTATGATCTGCCCTGTTTCAAGAGTAATGTTAATTCCTACCTTTAGATTTCCTGAGTATTTACTCTTCTATTATTTTTCTTGTGGCCCTGAACATTGAGTGGCTTTTAGCCTTCTTCAGGGTAAATATGCATAAAAAGAGAAAAGTCTTTCGCCAGGCCGGTATTACAAATGTGTCTTTTTGAATATTCATGTTTCAGGGCCATCAAGATGTCGAGTCCTCCCCTGGGTAACCTGACTGTGGTTGGTTGTCTGCTTCTCTATGCCTCCGTCTTCTCTACAGGTTGGGACAAGAAAGACCTGTCTGATACGGCTATCATCGTCAAGTGTCACGTGAGTAACAGTCAGTGTCACGTGAGAATCAGTCAGTGTCACGTGAGTATCAGTTAGTGTCACGTGAGTATCAGTGTATCTGCCGAGAAAGAATGACGCCGTTAGCTGGTGCATGTCTATGGTAGTAGATACAAACATGGTACTAAATCTAGTGACTCAAAAGATAAAACAAAAATAGACCTTATGCTTTGCAAGTTGTCTCAGAGACTATTCTTTGTTATTTTAATTTAGTAACAATGAATACACAAAAAGGTTTACCCTTGCCAATCCCATCGAAACAAAACATTGCCCTCTGGTGCGCCGACGTCCTTTCCTTCCAACCATCCTAGAGCCGTATATGGCGGATTATGCATCAGTGCACATGTATAATTCGTACACAATAGTTGCACGCTGCACTGTACACATAATGAACGGCCGTTTTAGTTCAACAGTCTGAGGTTGTCGCAACTCTCTCTTTCTATGTTATACGGCTCTGAACCACCTTATCCAGAGCGCCACCAACGTCTAATTTCTTTGAGCTCCCATTGCAATGGTTTTTGTCCCACGATGACCCCGGGCAGATTTTTTTTCGCATGCTAGTAAAGTCATATACCTTAATACGCATGCGTGGAGCATTATGAAGTGAGTGAATTTTCTTTCTTAAATTGTGTTTAATCAAGTCCTATACTCATCGATGACAGAAATGCCCAAGTGCATATGAACAGTACAAACATTAGTCCTTTAAAATTACCCACAAAAACAGTTGTGAAGAAATATTGGCCACTTCTACTGTCCAAACAGGCTGTTTAACATGATAAACAAGTAAAAAGTGGAACCTACTCCAAGGAAATGGAGAAAAATTTGATATAATAATTGTACACAAAGCTATAGAGACACTACTGTTCTGCCTTGAATGACATCACGCTTTGGCTCATGAATATAGAAATTTTCATTAGCATAATAACTAAATGTTAAAATTTCTCCCTTTTACTGCTACAAAGGAGGCGAAATGTCATAGTAACATGGCAAGAAAGCTGTTTTAAATGTACTTAAGTCATAACAATCCTATTGAATGTTTTCTTTAACATGCGTGTACTTGTACATCACTGAGGACCTTACGCATACATTGTATTAAGCACACGGTCATAACTGATTTTCATTGTCTTCATTATGATTCCTTTCCTTTTTTTCAGCTTGAGAGGATTTTGATCTCCCTCGGGTTGTCCTTTGCGTTCGGTTCTGTCTTCATGAAGACGTATCGGATACATGCCATCTTCACTATAGCAGTCAAGAAATTCAAACGGATTGTAAGTGGACACGCATTAAATTGTCTCAAAGTTTTCCAGTCCGTTTCGACGTCATATCACTTACATATATCTTTCTAACTGATTCGACTTTTCAACCTACTACTTAACGCGTGGTATTTTTAGGTATAGCATGCACGATAAATACGTTGCCATCTGTTTTGGAGTTTATTTTAATGGTAAAACCTCCTTCATTTTTCCATGGCTTTCAAAAGTTTGTCCGGTATGAAAAGATTTTGAAAAAAAAATTGTTCACGTAGCATCCTGGTACAAATTGCACATTTTGCGTTATAACCTGTGTTTAAACGACTTGATCGACAATAGACCAAGACACTGAGACCCTCGCGATCCCTGTGATGCTTTGATCAATCAAAGTCGTGATTGAGGTCCGACATACGCGTGCACTTACAGGTGACGTACGCGTCTGGAACATGCCTTTGATCGGTCCATTTATGAACCTATACACTCGCATGAAATTGTGATTTCATCCTTAATTTGGAATCAAAGGATACCCTGTCTTGAATATACTTCATTTTGGATTAAGGGCATAACTTGGCTTCAGTCCCGGCCCAGCAATAGACATGAAGAGGTATATAATTTGTTTGATGACGTAAGTTATAACCACTTACCGATCGTGTGTCAGTATCAATAATGTACGGACTCCTGGGACTCCGAGTCCAATCGTCAAGGCGCAGTGAGCAAAGTGGTGTGAAAACTTCTCCCACGCTGGTGCGGTGAACGTCGGCCTACAGCCGAGTGTGTGCAATCTCTTCACACGTGGTTCCTAGAATTTCACGGATAGTTCGACGAAATAGTATAAAATCCTCGGCGAGCACAAGCCACAAAACTCACAGGATAACAGTCAATATTTATAAAGACGACGTAGTCTCGTGGAATAACTGGAGGAAACTAAAGAAATCACTCAACAATCACAACGTGTCATTCGTTTCCGAAGACCGATTGCAAAGTGTGTAGAATCCTGTAAAAGCCAAAGCTCTTTGCAATGTACACTGCATGTAGAAATCGTCTGGCATCCAGACTCCAAATGTCCTGCGGTGAGTACTTGGTGCGCATGCGTACAAGTTCCAAATAAGAATGCGCGGTATTTGTAAGGAATGTACAAATGTAATAAAGTTGCTACGGACCGATCCATTAAAGCCCCGGCCCTCCCACTTCGCACTTGGGTAGCAACACGTGCGCATAGTGTGAGTAGGCCCGTTGGTCTAATAAGCCATTTGCGAGTTAAATTTGAATAAAATCTGGAACGCTGACTTAATACAATGCTTTGCACGTTTTAACCTAGCATTCTCCCGACCAAAGAGACTGTTACTATATCACGTGATTCGGGGCAAGCCTTATGCTAGCAACCCCCAGCTCCGGCATGGTCTGGTGTCTTTGTGCCATTCTCACCCATTGTGAACGATGTATTGGTGCTGAGCGTCTCTTACGTAACTATGCAAGAGCTTGCCCCGAATCTTGTGATTAGCAACAGTGTCTTTGGTCTGGAGAATTCAAAGTTAAAATGTGCCAAGCATTCTGAGCAAGTCATTGTACCAGACGTTTTTCAAATGTAAATCGCAAATGGCTTATTGTTGGGCCATTAGATGGCGCACTATGCAATGCTATGCACTATCCATCATCGATCACTAGCGTCTTGGGCCAAGACTACTCCAATGCCACCCTTATGTGCGTTCGATTAGCCATCAAGTGATACCCGTGCTTGCCCCAGCATCAGCCACTCTGCCCCAGGTGGTAAGCGAATTTCTGGTGGCTGCCCGTGACCTTATTTTTTTTTCTCTAGAATGTCTGTTCGATATGGCTCATTTCGTGGCTACTCCGTGTATACACGGGGAAGCTAATCGAACGCACCCATTGCATCATATGGATGTGCACATACATTTTATGCACGGATGTCGGTCATTGATTTTAATCACTGCTATAATTGGTATAAACACATTTGGGCAGGGCTGAATGAATTGGTGCATTTATCATGGGTTCATCGTGTCAATGATGTGCATCAAACAGTAGGCCTAAAACGCATAAGAACGTCACACCTGTAAGAAAAATTAACAATTTGAGTAAGGTGCTAAAACAACCCGACGTGAATAAACGATGATGTTAACAGTTTAATGACAACTTGAAGACTTATGATCATGGTCTATTGCCCAAGTTGTTTCCTCCAACTTTCTAACTTTTTAAACCTTACATGATCAACACAGGACCTGCCAGATTGGAAGCTCATCGGCGGTGTACTCTTTGCTGTCATGGTGGATTGTGTCATATTTTTGCTGTGGATTGTTCTGGACACGTCGACTGTTGAAACCTACACCCTTGAGCCACGGGTAGGTTGTTTTGAATTTTAGGTTCTGCAGACATAACCGGCGACCTCCATTATCATTAATGAGGTGTGCCTCAGATGCGTGCAGGCAAGTTAGATGGCGCATTGCGATCCCTTTCGAGAGCCCCAGTCGCAGGGACACACCGAGTGCGCCGCGTATGGTGCCGACTCGCACGAGTAAATACTCTGCCTAACTCTGTCTCTGTCACTATTGACAGGTACTAGTACGGTGCACTGTACAGGGAACACAATCGACTTAATTTGAACAAATGAACTATCTTCTTCGTGCCTATGGTTTACATTGCAGCAGTCATTTTTGTTTTTGATACAGTAATGGGCCGTATTCACGAGTCGGCCATATTGGATTGAGGGTGAGCTATAATCTTGCTTTAAGGAACTTGTGTAGAGAAATGAAAGCAAATTAATTACTAATTAATTCCATTCTGCTTCAATGAATAATTTCAAACTTGTAATTAAACGTTCCCTAATGTTTATAGCCAGATTAAAAAAAAAGACAGCTGCATTATGCCTGCATAAAATTCTGGCGTCATCTCATTCAACAGTTAACAATTAATGAAATACGTTCAGGGAACTCGACAAAAATGACCAACTCGTGAATAAGGCCCATTGAAGTCTTTTCAATCTTCAATTCTCTTTGGAGCTACATGAGAAAATTTAAGATGTGCCAATGTCACTTGCCTCTTCTCTTGTCAAGTGAAATACAGTTCGGATAATTTTCTTGCTGCCATTAATGTAGTTGCGCTCTCAGCGTAAAAAACACACCATGAACATAAACATATTTATGCTTAGGAAATTATGATAAGTATATGATGTGTTTCTCCTCTTTTTTTAGCTGAACATGACAGAGCCAGAGAAGGAGATTTATGATGTCCCAATCATAAGGTATTGCGGCAGTGAGCATGCTCAGTACTTCACCATCGCCCTCTACGGCGTGAAGGGAGTTCTCTTGACATTTGGCCTTTTTTTGGCCTGGGAGACAAGAAACATCGCCGTCTCTCAACTCAATGACAGTAAGTGGGTCTTCGTTTTATAATGGTCATTACCTCACAGTGACCACATTAGGATGGCATATAAATACATTGTAAATGAATTATTTCAGACTGATTTTAAGTTCGATTTGATTCGTACTTCGTTTTTATTCGTACTTCGTTGATAGGCCCAGAGGACAGTTTTCTGATTCATTGACTAGTTCGGTTAGGAAGCTGATAACCTGGTTTAACATTTCCAGCCAACAAGCCTTTGTGCTGTTGATTTTTAACTCATGTCTGCTCTACAGGTAAATACATTGCAGCGTCAGTGTACATCGTCGCCTTGACCATAGCCCTAGTTGTCCCAACAATGACTATCCTCGGCGATGACGTCAATATGACGTTTCTGGTTCCCGGAGTTGCCATAGTGATCGTCAACACTGCAGTGCTGTGCTTGAATTTCATCCCCAAGGTATTCTTCGATACTTTCACGAAAGTCTCTCTAAAAAAAAAGAAAATGAACTTTTCAAAAAGATGTTACGGTTTATTGTGTATATCATAATGATGTTAGTGTCGATGTTAAATTGCCGATTTGTGATCTTCTGATAGGTGTTTGTCCTCCTGACCGTAGAAGATAAGAACATCAATTTGAGCATGATGACGTCGATGGGATATGGCGGCTCCTCTGCGACCAATTCAAGCAGATTATCGCACAAGAAAGATGGCGGCAGTAGGTTGGAAGGATTACGCTCAAAATATGAACAGGTATACCAAAAACAACGAAGTATAGTCTTCTAGTTATCAGTAAATCAGGTCTCCAGACCAATGGAGTGTGGTTTGCAAAATGGTACTTTGATCGCCTTCAACCTCGGTGAGCCAGGTTCGAATCTCACCCAGGCTGTCAGGCGGATTGTGGTATTTAATCTCTGCTTGGTTCCGTGGGTTTGTCTATAGAATACTATTCATGCTTTACACTGTCTAACATGTCTGAAAACACTGCTTATGTGCTTTTGAGGAACCCTTGTTCAATTCAAGTGGCAGTCTTTTCAAATGAACTTGGACATTTCATTGCTATTGGTCCTTCATATTAGTACTGAATTAATTATAATTTCATTCATGATTAACTATAATAGTAACACATCTTTTAAAAGACAGCACTATCTACTGGCGTACCATTTCATTTTTTTGGTTGGGGGGGGGGGGGTGTATACAAGTTCGTGAAAACGGCACTCGCACATCCGTGATGAAACGAACACAGGGTTTTTTTTCACCGGCCTCTTGGCCTCCGCAAATTCAAAAAGTGGGTGGGGGGGGGGGGGCAAACGATATGATATCCCCCTGTTTGTGGGCGAGATTAAAACCGCTCCATCATCCCGATGACTCGTAATGTTCAATGTCATTTGTCTTTAACAGCGAAAGGCAAAGTTGGAGTGTTTGTGCAAAGAACTACAGCTCGTGTGCAACAGGACCAAAACAAACTGAAGACGAGACTGTGGAATCCAAGGAGATGCATTGAGGGCTAGTTTATACGGCTGGCTCAAAAAAGAAGAGAGTATTGAATTTGTAAACTAAACGTGTTCACTTACCGCACATTTCATGGTATAACTTTCGTGTAAAAAATGTGTGTCGCACTCAAAAACCACAATTCCTTCACGTATTTTATGGTTACAAGCCACTTTTCCCTTGTCCCCCTACACGATTACACAATTGGATATAAATGTATAATAGATCCCAATTTCAATTGTACGTGTTCATGTGCATTTCCAGCTAATTCAAAGTTATTTTTTGTTGACAACATGCTTGTGTTTTGAATTGTTTGTAATGTAATTCGACCGAAGGCGACATTCTACTACTAATAAGCATAAGGATTAGGCCTACGGCTACCTAAAAAGTCTTGCGAAAAATGAACCCGTCAGATGTCACAGTAAAACTGCCGAGTGGTGGCGCTTTTGATAAATGAAAGCAAGGATAGCAAAGGGAAGTTGCTAAATAGTTAGCGTACTTTCCATGCATCATTGCAATAAAATACAGGTGAGCAATCGGCAGGTTTTTCTATACAAGTTTTGTTTTTAATCCACAATAAGGAAAATAGTTTTTGTTATCGTACTATATTAAAAGCAAAGGTGTGTTCAAAACCAAATTTCTTTTCCAAGAAAATACATACTATATTATATACAATGTAAGAATTGTTTTTGTCACAAACCTTCGAGTTCTTTTTCTTGAAGACGAGAAATTATACGATTTTATTAAACGAAATTTACGCTTTAAATGGCTCAGTTTGCACAGTGCTCAACAATTTATGTACAATGAGGTACAACTACACTTAAATCACTTATACTTGTAATTATGCACTCTAGAGGGGGTGCGATGACGTCATTGTGACGTCAATCACTTGACGCACCCTATTTCGTGGAAATTAGACCAGTCATAAATACTAATTTATTAAAATTTGCGATAATGTTTAAAAGTTTATCTGTTAGTGAATTGTCTGAAGTATTCCTTAATAATTTATGATGCCACCATATTACATGTACTGGCTTTTCAAGATACTAGGTTGTACGTCCAGATTCGTCCAATTCAAGAACTTATAGATATTGTTACTGAAGAAAAACAAATCGAACAAACAAACACCACAACAAACAAACAAACATCCCAACAAATATTCATAAGTACCTGCCATAATTGCAAATTGTATGTAATTATACCAAATCTAGCTGAACTGGATAATGTTGGCTGAAAATCATCTGGGTAATAAAATGTTTTCGATATTGTACATGCTATTGTTGTGCTTATTTTTTGTTTGTTTTTAATTAAAATAACGGCCGGGAAACCACATAAAATATTTACAAGGTGCAGTACAGATTTATTCTTTAATCCACTTCGCGATATTTTCATGTATAAGTATACCCCTGAAAAAAATGTTATGTTCAAACGGTCTCACTACCAACTGCAAATTAAATGAGTGAAATGAATGAAAATTCAAAATCGTTCCCGTCACCGCTATTTTTTTCCGGTTCTTATAAGGCATCATGAAATGGTCCATTTCTTATCTAAATATTCAAGATGGTTTTTTTTTTTTACAAATTGCAAATTCCCAGGTTTCTGGGAAAAAAATCAACATACATCGAGGTCAGTGAGTTACTTTTGAACAGAAATTTAATGTAAGTGCTTATGGGAAGAAAATTGGGGCTGCTTGGCTGGGGATTGTTTGGATACAAATTCTCTAAAAACACCTAATTTTCATAATTCTTAAAATATTAAAGTTTAAACTAGAGATTCGTGTTTGTTGATTTACCAACGCAGAGTGATCGGGAATACAACTATTTTATGAGACATTGTCCAGTTAAGTTGTGATTTTTTTGTGAAAAAGATCACTAAATTTTCCTTAACAACTATTTGTTTTGTTTCGAAAAAATGCATCTTCTGAGGAATATGTCAGTATAAATTGTTTTGGTACACGTACATTTATTTCCGGTTTGATGACGTCATCAGTTAAAACGGCAAAATGAATACTGATTTAGTTCAGAGATGGGCCATTTTCATCATAAAGTAAAAATAACCTTTGCAAATGTGTACATTATAACGAATTTTAAGTGAATTTGTTAATAACACCCAACTTCCCGTTTGATGTCGTCACATCATTTGGCAGCCCAACTTGGGTCAACATTGCCCTAGGTCAACATTGTACCGGAAATCATTATTTGTGCTAGATAGGGATCTAATGACGGATTTCAATTTAAAAAATACTAAAATAAACTGATCATTTCTAATTCTCCCTACCATAATTTTCAGTCTGATGACGTCATGATTCTTAAACCATTCAAATTCATTTGTGGTTGTCCAAAAAAATATCTAGGGGGAATCTCGTAAAGTTTTGACGAATGGTTTTTGAATTACATTTTTGTAACTGTCTTTAATGTGCCGCTATAGGGCACTCTTTCGGTTGATGACGTCATCATGGTATTTCTTGTGATAGCATTCCTCACTGAACACTTGACTATATGTATGTTTGTAGTAAAATGCTTCCGTTTTTGAGTTATATTCCTTTTCATTGCACTTCTAGTAACACTGGAAGTGAAGTCCAAGCGGTCCAATGTTGCTCACCTCACGAAATACGAACAGGATACACTATTTAGTTCAAAAGATATATTTCTGAACTTAAATCGCTTGTAAATTGGTAACTGATGACGTCATAATGACGCCACAATATCAACAACATCTTCAGACTCGGGTCCAAGTTCGTACCAGGTTATGTTATCACCAAGTCAACAGTTTGGAAGAAATCTTGGTTTGTTTTGTCTTGCGGCTCATTTTTCTATCTCATCAACGTTGTAGTGTGGACTGTAACAACCTTGCAAGACTTAGCATTTTTGTATATACTTTGTATATACTCCCATTACTTCGCTGTTACATTACCCTATGCACGCGAAGATTTCTAATTTACGTGTGTTCCGTGGAATGTTGAACTGGGGGTGTCCTTAGTAAGCAGGAAAAGTTCGTCTTCCTTCTGCAAGTAAATAGAACAAAAGGGTTAAGCTGGTCCACAATTCTAATAAATTGATTTAGAATGGCTTTAAAGTGCATGGGATAATCTGAAGTGGTAACGGGATGGAAATAAATCTACTGTCGACATATAAATGGAGGTTTGACATTTTGCTCTAAATAACGTAGGCCTATCATGAAAGTATACAAGACTGTAAACTCCACGAATACATGGTCATCAAGTCACTCCAAACACGTGGTAACTGAAGTCACTTGTGTGTTGTACCGCATCGTAAATATCCTACCTGCTTCAGTTTTTCTCGGAGTTCCTCCAGTTCATTAATATTGTCCTTCTCTTTGGACGCGGAGGACTCACCATAGCCTGTGGAATTCATCATGCTCAAACAGATGTTCTTCTCTTCAACAGAGACGAGGAGGTACACCTAATGAACACACATATAATTTTCAATGCCAGAACATTACTTCTTAAGAGTGAATGGTACGAAAATAAAAATACCAACTTCTTTATCAAATACACATTCAACATATAACACTTGTGATTTCATACTTGTCGACTACATCACACGTGCGCTTGGGCGTGGCAGGTAAGCACCACGTTATGGGGTCCGTTGCGTTGCAAGTATTACCTTTGGAATGAAATTCAGGCACAGCACTGCAGTGTTGACGATCACTATGGCAACCCCGGGAACCAGAAACGTCATATTGACGTCATCACCCAAGACGGTCATGGTTGGGACAACTAGGGCTATGGTCAAGGCGACCATGTACACCGATGCTGCGATGTATTTACCTGTCATCAAACACGAGCAAATATGAACTCTCAAAAGATAATTGACAATTCTCTCGCAGCGACAGCTGTGTCTTTTTTTATTGTAACCCCGTTGGAAGTTTGAATTACTTATAAAATGCGCAAATAAATGTTGGCATGAAAAACAAATCACAAAATCACAAAAAGTAAATCTTGTCTTTGAATAGGAAATTACAAATATAAAAAGGACCAGGATATGATCATTATGTCTTCTCTTACTGTCATTAAGTCGTGTTACGGCGATGTTTCTTGTCTCCCAGGCCAAGAAAAGGCCAAAGGTCAAGAGAACTCCCTTCAGGCCGTAGAGGGCGATGGTGAAGTACTGAGCATGCTCACTGCTGCAATACCTTATGATGGGGACGTCATAAATCTCCTTCTCTGGCTCTGTCGTGTCAAGCTGTAAAAGAAATTATATTTGTAACAATTAGGAAAACTGAGCTATTCCACACTTCGCCTCGCGTCTTATGGTGACCAAACGACTGGAGGAGTGATTCATTATTTTCTTTTACAAAAAAAGTATTTTCAGCATCATGCTTTGCTAGGGATACTACGATGAAAGAAATTAAGGTCAGGTCTTGTTTCTGATCATTTATAAATTGGTTTAAAACATAGAACAGTAAAACTACATTCTACACGGCTGTTTCATGTGCATCTACCTGGGGCTCAAGATCTCGCTTGGTAACAGTCGCTGTATCCAGGGTAATCCACGCGGCAAAAATGACGCAATCTACGAAGACAGCCGTCAACACTCCGCATATAAGTTTCCAGTCCGGTAGGTCCTGTATATCAATAATTACAAATACATTCACTACACTTGTTTTGGCAGTCAGCTTTAATTTTGATTTATTTGAAAGACAAGTATGGAGTGTGGCTTAAAACCCTCATTTTGATCATGACCGCATATTGTTTTTTACACATTCTGCCTTCAGTTACATATTTTCGCATCAAGATTCAAGGAAAGATGAAGTATATCTGCTGCCACCAAGAGTTTTGCAAGTGTCCATTGACAAGTTTCTACGGTTTACTAAACCGCGGCTTCGTTTCTGGCATCGGCTCGCAAAGCAGATTGAAAGAAGCCTGTCGAACCAAATAAAGAGTGCTCAATTTTTTTTTCGTTTGGATGATTATCAGCTGCAGATAACAGATCAATACTGTAGCGAAATCTTAGAGAAGGATATCTATCCTCGAGCCTCAATTCAAACCAGAGAAGAAACCTATGTTCCGTAAACCCTATATATATTGACAGCTTTCGGTTCTCTGTGGTTTTTAAAGGTCCGTTTTAGCTTGCACTTGCCGATGCAACCTTCAAAGATTCTCTTTATATTCACGGTTATAGTATTCGTACTAACAGGGAGACATAGAATTATGCACAAACAAACAAGTTTTCCCAATCGAAAACTTTTCAATATACCTTTCTTGATCTAAGGAACTGGAGCGCGCACCTTTAATGTTTACTATCCAATGACTGTATGGAATGTGGTTTCTACACAATGTAATTTGAGCCACCCAACCCTCACAACCAGCCCATTCACCCCTGATTAACCTCTGGCATGTCTGGAGTATCTCTCAGGCCCCAAACAGCCGTTAAAACCACAGACATAACCCCATTTGACATTCCATTTTGGTCACAGGGGTGATCGAATAATCCCAATGTATATAGTGCATTTGTACACAAGCCTATGTAAATGTGCACAAGCACACAGGGTTTTCCCGCCAATTTTCAACCCCTCCAGTAGGATCACAAGACTGACACCCCCTCTGAAGGAGGTACTATGGTCCATACTACGATCTGGTGAGAGATGGCCCCGGGTGTGTTTACCACGTGGCCAGGACAATATAAAACATAAAAATGTGAAGAAACGATTTTCCATTCTGAATCAGGGGGGCAATTTTCCCACTTTTTCATTTTGGAAAGGATACCAGTAATAATATAAGGGAGACATTCAAAATGTCTCCCTGATGCCCAATGTCTCCCCAATGTCGACAATTTACTAGAACGTGTCTCCCTGAGGTACCGTTTGGAAGAATTTAACCTTGCCTGCCATTTCACACAGCGTGTGAAATAAGAACACTTCAACCAAAAATCACCTTCGATTCCCCAGTACGGAATTCAATCAAGCCAAGGACGAAACAGGTTTTAACTTTTCTCGGCAGTTGCAAGATTGCAGTTATGCAACTTCAAATGCACCTCCTTTCAATTAACGAAGACTGACGTTATCTGCTTGCCCACGTTAAGCATTATGCAATGTCAATTGAACTTACGCTTGTCAGGGCCCTCAAATTGAAAGCTGTTTCCTTAAAGTGATTTCGGACACTTAAAGTTAAGAGCTAGGACCCCTACAAGGCGTTTTACGGGGCCCATTATGTTCGCCACAGAACTAAAATGTACTGAATCGGACAGGTCCAGACTTGAAAAATAAAAACCTCAGCAACATTGTTGCCACCCGACTGATAGTTTTCATCAAGACAGGAAATGCAAATTCCTATATTAAAAGGAATTTGCTATTCTGATTTCTATTGTCGGATATCCTGTCTTAGTTTGGCTTACATCGTCTTCTGTATATTTATTGAATGCATGACTTCTAAAAAAAAATAACTGCGATGGGAGACTGAAATGGTCAGAGTCGTTCTATTATAACACAAGGTGTTTTTTTTAAGATTACTTACAATCCGTTGGAATTTCTTCACTGCACGGCTGAATATAGCGTGTATCCGGTAGGTCCTCATGAAAATAGAACCGAAAGCAAACGAAAGCCCGAGGGAGATAAGCATCCTCTCCAGCTGAAATAGGGAATACAAATCCCCGTCGAGGGTTCTCAAAACACGTCAAACGTGAAATGGCTTTTCAGGTTGGTACAATTCAATTAAATAAGACCCAGAACATCAGAATATGCAAGGTCGTTTTGAAAAGCTTTTTGTCAATAGCCTGCAATTTAATCCTGAGAAAGTAGGTTGCTTGCGTGACATTCCAAGTGTCTTGATCACTTTGATATGATTGAATAAACATCGAGCTCACAAAAGGTTGGCCAAAATATGACAGACGGTACATATTCCTGTTGCTTTATCGGATTCGTAACTTTTTACAAACTTTTGTGACCTATTGTAACGGGACCCCCCCCCCCCATGAAGGCCACACCCGCCAGTGAATTGACACAAACTAAAATTATGTCAAACACTAGGAGACAATAAATTTTGGTCTCAGGAAAATAAATGATATGATTAACTGTCTGGGCAGTCACAATTTGATTTCGCAAGCCCCAAATAAATTTAGCCACAAAAATATAGTAAACAGATGTAATGGGCCACGCCCGCTGTAAAAATGGAACGCTCGACATATTGCCAAATAAATATAAAGAAACATACTTACATAAAGCATTGAGGAGCTCGACGGATATATACAAAATTATACAAAAATAAGAACTAGCTACAATCCGGCTTGGGTGGGGAAACTAAATACATGTAATACACAATAAAGAACCGCCGCCCGCCTAGCCCCATAAATGTGGCCTATTTACTGGACTGCCTCCGTAAACATAGGCCACACATCCACATGTACAAAAACGTGTCGCACTTTGCCAAATTTTGATTTTCGCATTTAGGCTTAGTTTGTAGGTTTCTTTGCTTTAGAAGCATACTCACCCTCTTAATAGGCTAATCAGAAAGTGCTGCCTTTTTCAGATGTATATTTTTTTTGTGAAATTTCCAGATTCATTTTTACACGTTTGCGTATCAAAATTTCAACATGAAATTTCACAAAAAAATATACATCTGAAAAAGGCAGCACTTTCTGATTAGCCTATAAAGAGGGTGAGTATGCTTCTAGAGCAAAAAAAACATTCAAACTAAGCCTAAATGTGAAAATCAAAATTTGGCAAAGTGCGACACGTTTTTGTACATGTGGATGTGTGGCCTATGTTTACGGAGGCAGTCCAGTAAATAGGCCACATTTATGGGGCTACCGCCCGCCAAGCTAAGCAAGTGTCCCCAGCCACCCAGATGTAAGGAATGCCTAATACTTCATGTTCATTCAAGCATTGAGGAATGACTGCAGTTCAATCCTTTGTTAAGACTTTGTTAAGAATTTAGACGCATAACTAAAGGCAAACCAAAACCTGGGTGGGGAGCAAGGATGGCCGTTGGTAAACGCAGCCCATGGAAAGTTAAATAATGAAATGCATTCCAGCCGTGGCCATTCAATAGACGAACTCGTTGTGTTTGTCACACACACACACACACACACACACACACACCCACCCAGACTTGTTTCACATACCTAGTGTGGACTTTCCTTTCTTTTCGTGTAGTTAAGGAACACCAGTGGAAAAACTCATTTTTCTCAAACTGTGAAAACTCTTACAACCCAATTTTTTTTCAATGATTCCCTTTAGTGTTTCTCTTCATTCTGCTACCGATAAACCTAACCCAAAAATGCCTCTAAACCTGTTTTCCAGAAATGGGGAAACACTGTGTGGACGTGGGCAAGTCCACACTTCGTCGCTGCTACCTACATTATGTGGACGTCTTTTGTTCGGAAGTCCACACTGCGTATGTAAGACAAGCTCAACACAGCACCAATACACAAATGTGATTTCTCGCACGTCCGTGGAATGAGATGGTACATTAGCATATTCATTAGCGTCACTCTGGGGTTTTGGCGTGGGTCTCGGTATCGACCAATGGAAGCCGGCAAACGGGGTAATATTTATCAATAAATAACTCGTGAAGAGGATTTTCTCCAAATTTATACTGCATAAAACACCATTTATGAACAGGAACCTTATTAATATTTGTGAATCTTGAAAAGATTTACAGATATTGCAAACGCTAGTCTACCAACTTCAAAAGTTCTCCTAGCCAGGCCTATTTTTCCAATTTCAACGAAAAGTAATGAACACATCACAACGATCTTTAGCACATACATGGATCATTATTAGGGAAATAAACCCTGAAAGTTGCATGAAGATACGGTCTTCCAAACGGGAGAAATTAATTTTTAAAGATTTCGCCCGCCAACGTGAACATGTGCGTGTACATGTAGTTTCATTCAAAATGAAGTGTTGCGTTACCTTCAGAAATTGCCTTCGCAACCCCATGACTACAACAGCTCGATTTTTGAGAGCACTAAGAGTGAAAAAGTTGACCCCGAAATTTGTTCTCGCGAGGTCCTCGCGAGGACGAGGCATGCGCAATACTACACTGGCACAGGTGCGGAAATCTCCGTATCAAGTTCGTTGGTAAATACGTCATACACGCGCGCGCCATAGAGCTATATAATAAAGAACTATATACAGCTCTATGGCGCGCGCACAACTGGCATTTGCAATTACACGGCTGTAAGGAGATGTTTACTACTATACTCGCGAGAGGCATATGCCATTAACATAGCTAGAGGAGTGTTTTAAAAAATGTGGTAAAATTGTTGAACAAAATCATTGGAAAGTTATATTTTTGACTTGTTTTTGACTCTTTGACCTAAAATATATCTTTTACCAAAAATGGTATTTCGGGTCATTGTCGGGTCATTATCATTGACCATGCTCAAAAATGGTCATTAACCTAGTGTTTAAAACTGGCCAAGCACACATTTATTTACTTATTAAAACGTAGTGCTAGCTCCTTTGACAATAGTTTTGGCGTCACATTGAGAACACGCGCCACATGCGTGTTCTTGTACGGTCATTGAGCTTTCCGCGGTACGACCACACCGTGGGATTACTCACGTGACACTTGACGATTATAGCCGTATCAGACAGGTCTTTCTTGTCCCAACCAGTAGCGAAGACGGAGGCGTAGAGAAGCAGACAACCAACCACAGTCAGGTTACCCAGGGAAGGACTCGACATCTTGATGGCCCTTGAAAATTAACAAAGCAAATATTTATAGATTCAGCGCTTGCTTTGGACTTGATAAGTTAACTTCAGAATATGATTTGGTATCTTTAGGACAGGAAAGTATTTTAGTTTTCTGCAGCCGCCGGCTCTGTTTTCATGTCCACCTCAAAACCTTGAAATTTTGTGGATATGCTGTAAGCAGTTTGGTATCTGTTTGGATTCAAGGGGCGATAATTCAACTGAATACAAAACCTTCTCAAATGCAACGTACCGCAAACGGCTTTCGCTGGTGCGTTTTACAAAGATTCAAATATATTTCTGTTCATACGCTTGTGATCCATGAGGTTCAATGTAAACTCATTCTAAATGTTGTTTGATGAGCCACGTCTATGTCAATCAAAGAATCAACGACTCTCGCCCTATTCCAGAGTTGTAACGAGTCACTGATTTTTGTGACTCCAGTAGAGTTGAGTCATTTTAAAGAAGTGACTCGAGTCGAGTCGAGTCGAGTCAAGTATTTAGTTCAGTCAATTCGAGTCACAAATATTTGAGCACTATACAATAAATAAACACAAGAGAGAAAGTCATTTTTTGGCTATTTAAACATGTGGTGACACCACATTTGCTTCTTAATGAAAATTAAAAGGGGGTGCCAGCTGATCGTCATTCAACTAATGGGGACACTGATCAAACCACATTATTTGCGAACATTCTATTAAACGTGACGTGAACAAAAACCGGCACCGGCGTAAGTCATTGCAAATATTTTTCGCAAAGTTTTGCTTTTATATTTGGGACTCGAGTCTCATTAGCCTTCCTCGAGTGGACTCGAGTCATTCTGATGAGGGACTCGAGTCGAGTCGAGTCATTTGCTTGCAGTGACTCGAGTCGAGTCGAATCATTTGACAAAAATAAATCATATTATGTGAAGTTGTACCTCCTGTGTTTGTATCTGACGTTAAGGAAGAGGAACGCTAACGCCAGGACGGCACCGAGCGAGGCTAGGGAGAAGAGAATGGCCCGTGCGGTGGACGAGACCTCCAGGACCAGGGACCTCCTTGTTACGCCATCCACCGGAATACGGCCACCTTAAAAAGTTGCAAGTCAGAAAAGAGTGCATGTTACGAAGTTTGAGAGGATTCTATAATTTCAGATACGGATGTAATAATGAGTTATCACCGTACATAGAATCAATACACCTTTCTAAAACACCTTGCGTCACGGCCGTGCCACATTGGCAACTTTCATTTGATTGTAGAGAACAAATGCAACATTCCACACCAGGGTAGTCCGAAAAAGTGATTTTTTTCCTCAGCATTTCTGTTATTCCGTGGTGGCCGGCAATTCATGCATACCCTATGCACTTACGACATTGTTAGGTGCAATGCCAATAAAAATAAATAAATAAATAAATAAAACTGAACTCGACATTTCTTATGCTTAAAAGTGTTTAGGTATAATGAAGACCAATAGCAACAATGCGAGTGCGGGAGACATTATGCAACTTGAAAAATGAATTACTTATTAATTAATTCGTGCATTTTGACGTTCAATTCACGTAAATATCTTGAGATGGCAATTTTTCCGTAGTTGCATAATTTCTAATTTTTCCTAATTGTCACATATCGTTCGCATGCAGGTGTATGTTAATTTATGCGCTGAAAGTGTTGATCAAATCAGGACAGTTTTATTCTACTAACATGACGATGTTAATTTCAACACTTAAGTTCCAGGCGACAAGATTATAGTGTTGACAAAATTAGAATAAAAATATGTTCAGGCATGTTTTCGTTTTGAGGGGATATTTAACAACTAGGCCCAACTGTATGGTGAACGATGATAAAACTAAAAAGAATAAATATATTCTATTAAGAGTCTGTAATTTTCAATTAAACAAAAATAAGCGCTGCGTGCATCTTCTATACTCATGTAATTTTCCATCCGAATTCAACTTAATGCCCAAATCGTATTTTTTTCAGAAGCTTTAAGGACTTTCACTTACCTGGCCACTTGATTCTAGTGGTCTCAGAATCTATCAGGACAGCCTCCTGAATCTTGTATTGCATCACGTTCTTCAAACTTGTGCCTTAAAGAGAAAACACAAAAAAAATCCGTAGTTCTCAATTTTACAAAAATAAATAAGTGTTATGACGTATTCGTGAGGAATATGACGTATGTATTTAAACCAAAGAAACGAACCGGCAAGAAAGCAATCTTGTTATTGAAAAAAACACTGCAATCAATTAGGGTTCAACGGCTGTTTCATGAGTGTATATGAAGTTCTTGTATAGTCCCATATATGGCATGGCACTTTATCTGGTCTAGAAATGAAAGAAACATATATAAACATTATACTGATATTTTACAAATATATTTTAATCAGTATTGCAACGTTTTTACCTTGGGCCTGGTCAATGTAGACTCTCTGTGCTATACGCTGGCCATCCTCTATGCGAACACGACCCTACCAGAAATCAGACGGACACTTGTGAATGCACCGTGTACTTGAACATACTCGTCTTACAGTGCACGGACTTGTAAAAAGCAACCAGATTTAATACAACGCCATTAACGAAACAGTCTATCTCTTCACATTGCATTAGTATACCCAATTAAAATGTTAATAGGCTGTGGGAACACTGCATTATTTTATACAGGTATTTTCAGTGATAATGATCGATGCTGTAAATGTGATCTTCTGGGTCTACTTCCATTTCGCGAACCCACCACCAGTTAATCAACGCAAAACCCCTTTCTTGGTCTTGTTGTAGGTGTAGATTGCAAGGCTACTTTCGCTAAAGGCCGATACATTTCCTGCGGTCAATTCGTATATCATGTCTAGTTCCATTTAAATCAATATTAGGTTTTGCCCTTCACCGACGTTTGAACATTGTATACTCAGTGTGTTACCTCCCGAGTGCAAGAGGCAAAAAAATCACTCGGGTGGGACTCGAACCCACGACCTCCTGTTTTCTAGTGCAGATGTCTTACCACTCGACCACCGAGCTAACAGGATCGGTTATAAAATTCCACCTTATAATTGTTCCATTTACACAAAAATAATGACCTTGTCGCAAGTGTCTGGTAACTGGACCAGTGAATTTGAATGTGAAAGGATACAACTGGAATACCTAGAGATTTCTGGAACTTTTTTTATTGCATGTGGTAAAGAAAAAGCATTCTCTGATCTTCATCTCCACGAATCACTCATCAATTTGACATCTTAACCCTAACCCCCTATACAAGGACTCTTTGGGGATACCAGATACCACAGAATACTACATGTTGTGCACACTTGTATGGAACTTTGTAGCTTTAGGTGAGATTAGGGTGAAATTATATGCATACAATAAATGGTTGAAAAAATGTCGATTGTTCCTTTTCTATACGTACAAGGTTTATATTAAAAGTAAAACAAAAATCTGAATTACCGACAATCCGGAGAACTCCATGTTCTCGGCGTGGTTCAAAATCACCCTCGCCATCTCGGTGTCGGTATAGCTGAAATCTTCAAGTCTTCGAGGAGGTTGCAGACGCTGCAGGTCCGCTATGGAGGAATTCAAGGCCAGTGCCACGGACATGATGCCGTCGTGCGTTACCGGCACGACGTTATTACTGAATGGGAAAATCCTGTTGTAGTAGTCGTAATGTTCTGGCAAAGGTTTCTGCGAATTACATCACATGAAGCATAAACGTTAAAGTTCTCACAGTGTAACATGCAATGATCGACATAATAATCATTGTACGTCAAAGTTCTGGGTCGTGAAAACATCAGCTTAGAAACCGTCACAACATATACACACATCGCGTTTAATAAATCGCTGGCAGCCCGTCTTTTGGATGAGCAGCTATTTACTTAGCTCAAGTGACGCACGTACCACTCCGCTGAAGTCCAGTTCTGGTAGACCCTGGGAGCGATGTTTGACGTTGAAATGTAGGGATAAATCAACAGCAGAGATGATCTCCTCTTCCGTGCAAGGCTCGATTTCTGACGGTGTGCCGAGCAGCCACCATTCAAAGTTGGCCCAGAACGGCGGTATCAAGACGTACTTGGCACCGGTCAATCCGGCGATATACGCCTGCAACGTTAATATTGAATTACAGTAAACTCTTGTTAACTCAAAGTCGGAAAACTCGAAATTTATCTCGAAGTAATACTCCATTCCCTTCAAGGGATTAAATGTAAATGGATACTCCGTAACTCAAATTGCCTGCACCAGTATATACCTCCGTTTCACTCGAGCTTTTGTTCGGCCAGTCCATAGAAAACGCTGCTAAAACAGTCCCAAAAAAGCGTAAACAACATCGCGAACCTTTACTCTTACCTAAGTGGAAGAACGAGTGTCTTATTTCATAAGAGTGACAATTAGGAATCAGACTGAAAGTAGGGACCAGCAGACGTCTAAGAGTCAAATTCATTCAATCGAATAGATGGGGTGTTCGAACATCCACGATGCATCAGATCGGGCATCCATGTTCATGAACTCACCTGACAGAAAAGCTTCAGCATCGCTGGAATATTCGAAAATCCGGTATATATGATTCTGACATCTTGGCGCTAGAATCAAATCAAAGATAACTTAATTTTATTGTTCTAAAACACAAGGCTACATAAGTTTTCCAATGGTCGATTATGGCAACTTGTTTCAAGTGACATTTAATTGCTATAGTTACTTCTTTTATGTCGGGAGTTTACATTTTCGGTTATATTTCTAGGTTTAAAAATAGAACTCACAATTGGAATCGAAAAATCTGGAAAATCGATGACATTTCACTTGAAATTAATGAATACCTTGAGGTTTTGAAGATGCACTTGGAACAAATCGATATTTTTTACTCCTTCAGATGCCACTATTTCGACTTCATCTGCCTCTAAAATCTGACGCAGGTCCTTCGTATGCTATGAAAATAATAATATTACCACACACAAAGATCTGGGATTATTTGATATTTCAGCGCTCCATAAAAAACACCAATATGATGCAAGTCTCTAGGACAGATGTAATTAATTTGGGAAAAAAATGCAACCAAAAACATCAACAGCGTGTCGAGTGTTTCGTCTTGGTGTTACAGCATGTAATCGCATAAAACAAGTGATCTTTTTTGGGGGGAACGGATATAACGCCATCGTTGCACGTGTTATGGCCAAGTTTATCGACAAAATAATATACATCAATAATTTGCCATGATTGCAAGGAAAAGTTTGAGCAAGTACAAAACAATTGGTAGGAGTATCTCTTTGAGTAGAGCATCTCTTTGATTAGAAGAATTAAAGGCCTTTGTATGTTTTAATTTTCCTTTTTTTTCACCACAATCTTACAAAATATGATGGAGTAATCAAATATTTAAGAAAATATGCAAAATAGACAGGGATATTATTTGTATATTTATATATCTGTACTTAAAGTTAAGGTGTCTTCATTCATGCATTAATTTGTGTTCTCCACGAGCAGCATACTGGTAGGTCTTCAGTGCCTATACTTTAAAATTGTGTAAGGCATTATTTCTTGTTGTACCTTGCAAAACTTGTTTTCTCAAGACCATAAACCGACATGATAGGCCCAAATAACATGAAAAAGATGTATCTTTACATCCAAGCTTCGATTCGAATACACAAACATGGACGTATGAGTATGCTCACGGTTTGAAAGGCGGCGTTCTCCTCGAAGATGAATGCGATACGCCTCCACCCCATTTCCCTTATAAATGCTGCCACGCCCAGCGATCGGGACCTGTCACTCGGGTAGGCTCTGACTGTGTACGGGTACAAGCTGCGATCTGTCAACGCTGGGCCCGATGCTAAAGTTATCTGTCAGTTAAAACATCATCACAAAAATGTTTTCAAATCTCGACTTCGTCTCGGGCATCATCATGCAGCTTCATCATTCCGAAGCCTTTGATGCCCAAAGCAAGAGTGCGTGGCTAATTTTTTTTAAAGATTTTAAAGAGCTAATTCAAGTCGGAACGTAGGCAATCGGGTTTGTTCAAAGGTTTCTTGGATTCCGCTCTTTCCAGCCTCTTGACAGCCCCTGTTTCTATTCTATAATATTTAGATTGATTTGAAGACGTTCCCTTTAAATCGCTTGTATTTCGATCGGCTTTTCTTATGCTCATCCCTCTTGCGTTGATTTTGAACCCCTTTGTTCTTAAGGGATACCCCTCCTCCTTCTGAAACCTACAATTCTGTCCTCGTATCCTCTCAAATGACAGGACTTTTCACAGGGAAAACAGTGCCGGCACTGTACGTTCTGACTTCAAAAAAGTCCAACTATAGCAGCTAACTATATAGATTTGGCCAAATGGATGCAAGCTGTTCTAGTCGAACCTGATTACTTTTTGAAGAATGGGCTTCTTGACTGTATGAAATCACCTGAACGATGTTGAATCTTGCCGCTACCTTGTTGACTATGATTGCTTCCTGCGGTAGGAGTGGTCCCCATATAATTGGAACCGGAGCTCTGGAGTAGGCTAGATTGTAGAGTATTCGCAACCCTTCCTCCGGATCGGCACTCTTCAAAGAATTTCAGGGACACAGGAGAGGCGCATGAGTGCCCCTTCAATCATGAAAACCTGTGTGTCACTATTGGGACAAAATGTATTAAATTCTAAGCCTAACCCTATTAAACCAAAACTCCTTCAAAGAATTTGTAACCATTACCGTCACGTTCTGATCGAGTCATCGATGGATTTCCATAGACGAGGTTCATGATACATTAAGGGTATTCATGGAAATAAAGATGTGCGGGTAAAAGGCAGGTTGAGATTATTACGTGACCTAGTAAGGCGACTGTGAATTTCGTGTAAAGTGGTGAAAAACGAGAAATATTCGGGGAAGTGGACAATAGTACCAGGGTTCGACCTTAACTTTTTTTCACCAGCCAGCCGGGCTACTGAAACAGACTCTTAACTAGCCCGCAGGCATTTTCACTAGCCCGTATGTTTTCCAGTTTATAGAGCGTCTCATAAACAACAATGTACATACATGTCAAACGTGTATCCTGAGGCAATCCTAACAATTAAACCCTAAAACAGTTAATAAAATTGTTAACGCCACCTAAACAGTTAACTCCATCAGGTTGCTCAGTATCCTTCTTTACCTATGTTGCTTCATGTGAACATAATGCACACATTACAAGTGATGGACTTTATGTACCTTTAAATGCGCGCTCTCTTTACTACGTAACGTTTTGTATCAATTAATCTTATTCACGCCAAGTTGCATATCAAACTTTGCCGCTTGGATTCCGTGTGAACAGGTGGGTAAATATTCACTGGTTTACCCAATCAAATACCTGTATACAGTACTACATACACAATTTTAGTTAACATGTACTACATTGTGGGGAAAATGCGTCTTCTGAACTCTGAAGATAATGCAGTTATGATGCAAGGCTAATATAGGTTTCATTCTTTACCATAATTCACCTCCCCGCTTTTTCGAATTTACCACAGCTGGCCCAGAAACAGTGTTATGCAAATGATCCTTGTCTTCGTTGCAGACAATATTTTATGTAAGTATTTCCATATTTGGTAGTTCACATTACTTTGTAGTAATTTAAGCGTGTGGATACGCAATTCAGCCTTTGGGCAGCAAAAATAAAAAAAGGCAGTTGCAAAAACAAAACTGAAATCATATGAAAACAAACCCGATTTCGTTCATGCCACTTTTTTTATGAATATATGAATACATTTTCGAATCTTAAAGTGTATTATATTCTACGGAAGCCTAATGCTGCCATATAAACGAAAAATTTGTTTCGTTATAACGAAAAGATTTTTCCGTTATTATCACTACAAATTTTCCCTTTGTAACCAATAGTGCCCGATTGCTGAAAATGCTGTGACTATTATAAGGACATTGCGAAGACGAATGTTTTCTGCGAATATTACCAATCATTGTGAATTATCGTAGTCGGATATTTATAACAGAAGACATCAGTCGTCATGGCAAACAGATGAACAGTTGCGGATTAACGAATTTCAAATTCTCAATTAAGAAAATTGACGATTTATCTGGGTTTCTTAGATAAAAGAAAACAGTTCTGATTGAGTTCTAATGCCTGAAAGTCATTCATGCATAAAGGCAAGAGAGTATAATTATATTATTTGACAACATATAGGCTGTAGGTTCTGACATGCTAGAGTAAGGGGTCTCTTATAATCTCCTTGCCTGTTGTTGAGATTGAAAATAAATGCCCTTTGTGTGACTTGAATCTTTTTAATCAGGCATGAAGATTAAATCAGCATCCAGAGCGGGCCTGTGTGCCATGATCTTAAAGGGAGTGAAACTGTCATTAGGATTGGTGTGTTTATTTAATCATAGAATATGGGACGGCCAACTAATATACACGAAGCGGTATAATACTGTGAATTGGCCAATGCCTTGCCCAAGTGTGTTCAATTGAGCCTGGTTCTACTCATAGTGGGCCCGTATTGGGACTCGTGTGGGTGAGACGACCGTGTGGCTAAAGCCTAGATGCCCGACTTGAAATAGAATGTTATCATTACTTTCGATAATTAAATGCCTTTTGTTATTGGAGGAATCTTAAAATGGCCACAAATTGTAATGCTTTGAGGAATGCTGCGTGGCGATCATCAGGCGCATGGACTTGTTCTTTTGCACGGCTGGGTGGTTAGTTTTCCTTGCTGCAGTCCGGTGATTTTGTATTATTGTAGCTGTGGCGGAATTTATGGCCAGCTTTTCCTATATACAGAGATTTCTGAATTTTCAGGTCACTGCAGTCGGTTATCAGTTTGCAGCAGTTTTTGTTTCTTTCGAAAGCCAATAAAGTATAGCTAGCCAAATACGACTTACCCCAGTCCAATTCCACCTCATGCTGAGATGGTAGCCATCCAGAATCCCATCCAAGCTGTTGACGTGATCCAGTGCCGTCTGCGCCACCTCTTGTTGCATACCTATGGAAGGGCTGCCCGGGAAAGCGAACAGGCCGCCCATGTGAATCACGCATCTCCCGCCAAATGTTGCGATGTGCGTGTTGTTACATCCTGCGGACTCGTGTGGCGTGAACACAGCGAGAGAAAGCCCGAGTGCCGCGGTGAATGCTACTAGTTGAAAGACATGCGTCATTGAGAATGGCAAAACGTACCGCGAAAGTACAAAAACTGTTTTCAAAAAATGTTGGTCTACATTTTTTTCTGTCTGTTCTAAGGCAATATATGTGGCAGGGATGTCATGCTACACACACATTCAGAATCGCGCGCTAATGAATGGGCCATAAGGAACTTGATACGTTGATAGCTTACGGATTTGACGGGCAAACTTCACAGGTGGTTGGCATAGGCCTATTGAAGGCATGTCTGAGCGTGATCTGTGATGTATTGTTAGTATGCGCGCGCATAGACCAGTTCGCCAGTGAGGCAAAAACACTCGACTTGTTCCCGCTTACATACACGTCTTCGTGCATGGATAAACAAAATGTCAGCTGCAGCACATGACATTGAATTGAGCCCTTTGCATCCAGAAACATCTCTAGACCACTTTGAATGTAGAGTGGGAAACAACAATTTTACCGACAGAACATCCGTGCTAAAATTGGACAGGATTTTTTTTCCAGGTCACCCGACCTACGTAAAATCGAAGAGCGGACGACGAAAATTGGCTCTATCAGACAATAAGTGCCGCTCTTCATTACGGCACATTCGCCGACGAACACACAAGTTTGCTGACAGCAAGACGATTTTGCAGACAACATCCATTAAAGAGGCGCACTGCGTCCTGAAATCCCGAAAAATTCATGTTTTGGATTGTTTACTTATCATATTGCAAACATCTGGTTGAAAGGAAAGCAACCTAATGTCTGATCGTTCCCGAGAAAAGACGAAAAAAATCCGGTTGATTACATCGGACGCGACGGAGTAGGCGTACGTTTTGCCTGTCGTTTACTTTCAATGTATGATACACGTTGTGTGTGTCACCAATGCACAAATTATGGTTTCTTACACGTCCGCAAAAGGTGAAAACTTTATCTTGATATAACCATTCTGTGAATAAGTCCGAGTATGGAATATCTCCTTGCACAGCTAGGGTTTATAATATGCGCGCAGATTCGGCGATTAATAATACAAAACAAGACTGCGTCTTGACCTCAAGATCCTGACCAACTGATTCAACACGTTCTTGTATAACAAAATGTGGGCAGCCAAATTGACCAATCAACAGCTTATTAGCTCCGTGCGCTACCAAAAGAGGGCGCCCTTTTACCTAACAACGACATCCCATGGGTGGGACATTTTGCTGGTTGACGCGCACCGTTCCTTGTGCGTGATCGACGCACGCACACCAGGGGATTTGTTCTATTTACACGCAGTGGCCGCGCTTCGCGGCAAATGAATTGCAGTCAGGAGATGGCGTCGGTCGGTCACCCCCAACTGTACTTCCTTTGCCGGTGAGGGGGTGCTTGGGAACGGAGCGGATAGTCCACATTTGTGATCGAAATAACGTCACAAGGCCTAAAGTCGACTCCGATTAGCTGGCCCCGTGGGATCGCATAAAATGTGTATGCTCACATTATTATGAGACGTTAGTTACGGAGAGAGGGCTCCGTTAACAACGGATGATACTCAGATCTATGAATCGGCATGAACCAATGTGTTATGTGCATTGAAATACTCAATAGAGGGGGCGCTTTATCAACGTAGCGGGAAATCTTGGAGCAAGTTTGATCAGAAACTATTGGTCGACTATACCGTATGTAGTACTAACGTTTTCAGGTACAATTGTAAATTTTTCTCCATTTAATACAATTACCATGCTTAATTTTAGGCATACTCATAGTACAATCAATATCAATATACATGTGCAAACAGATTTTATTCAATATTGTTGTATTTCCATATAATTGAGAATTTTGAAATAAATAATTTTAATTTGTGCATAACTTTAAAATGTACTTAAAGTATGTTTAATTGACAGATTTGTTTCGTAACATTTCCATATAGTTCTCATCACTACGACAGGCACTGATGAAATTTTACTCCTTCTTTATAATAGGGCTAACCGTTTGTGCGTCCCTTCATTAAAATACGATTTTATAAATAGTATTGAAAGGTATACGTCTATGCGCAAGAATATTTTCCCTCGGGGCAACTTTTATGTATTAGGTTGAAATATAGTACAAACTTTAGTTTAAACAGACTGAACTGATTATTATTTCGCTCTAAAGTTTCCAGACCTGTAAAAAGTACAATTTTATTCATCTACGAGTCAATTAATAATTTCATTAGAAATTCATTATTTCGTGTAAGTACAAAAGAAAATACTTCGTTCTCCATGGTCATTACCTCACAGTGACTATATATTAGGATGTTAAAACGATATATAACAGGTTGCAAGTGTGCAAAATCACAGTGTGCAAGTTTAGTTTAGGCCAAAATTAACGGCAAGAAAAGTTGTATGCATAGGAAAAATTTTCCCGCAGCCTTTACAAAATCGGGAATGACTGTCTTTTTCCCCCCAAGTAGATGCGATCCACTCCAAATGACAATTAAAAGTCCGCTACCGATCTGTGACCTAACAGTTAATATTCTGAACAATTAAGACACGTTCTTTTTTATTTGAAGAAAGGCTTTTGGCTAAGATTGAAGTGAAATGCGTTTTGTGTATTTTGGTATATGCTGTTAACAGGAACATGTTTTCGAAATCATGTATTGTTTCACTGATTGGTTCAGGTGAGGAGCAGAAGATGGTAAGCTGAACGTTTAAGATTTCCAGCCACCAAGCCTTTCTTCTTTTTTCTGATAAGTAAAACTCATGTCAATACGTCACGCGGTTTTTTTTCTGGTTCTTATAAGGCATCGTGAAGTGGTTCATTTCTTATCGAAACATTTAATCAAGAAGCTCCTTATTTACAATTTGCAAACATAAACAGGCTCACTCGAAAAAAAAGCAACATGCATCAATAAGACACATTAAAACATCTGAAATAATAAGTGAATAATGTGTGTTTGGGAGGTATTAAAAACTCTGTTTAAGACTGGTTGGAGTCTGGATGGGTGTTCGCCTCGGGTAATTATCAGCACTCCAGACTCCAACCGGTCTTAAACAAGCACATATTTATTCCCATTCATAAAGGTATTTCGGTAAAAAAATAAAATTTGGTCCACAAATCAAGCAAGTCAAAAACTAGACGTTGCCAACCATTTTGTTTAATCATTTTGCTTCATGTTTTATGAAACATCCTTCGGACTATAATATGGAATGTCCCTCTAAAACTCCTTACCTAATATAAGGAGATTGTCGCGCGTACTGCGCAATCTTGCGCAAAACACAGCTGTGCTGGTGCATGTTGTGTGAATTTTGGACTATGAAATACTGATTCACTGGTAGTATTGGGCATGTCTGCGTGAGGAATGTGAACGTTCAACCAATGAAACATTAAAAGGCATCGGATTTCATGGGAGTCCAAATTTCATGGACACTGGAAAAGTGTTTAAGACCAGCCAGCCGTATTTTATCATTCGTTTTAAGACCGGCCACGTTCTCTACCAATATAAATTGGTGAACTGTCTTAGGTATTTATGAATGAAAGTTAAACACCAACGAAGGAAAAAATACAGGTCTGTTGGGATTAACGTCTTAAGAGTAGCTTATGGGTGAGATTGAAGGGTATCATTTGAGAATGGTTATAAGCTGTGTAACTTAACGAGCTTGACACTTTACTAGGCATACACGCATGGAACACCGTCTACAATGAATGAAAACTGTTCAAACTTCAAAAGACGATCTGAAAGGGCAGTGAGTTAAATATGAACATAACATTCTTGTAAGTTCTTAAGGGATGAGAATTTGGGCTGTATGTGCTGGGCATGTTTTTGCTACAAATTCTCCTAATTTTCGAATGAATTTCTTTCAATATGAAAGCTTACAAAAAAATAATCATAGGCGTACGTTTGTTTACTTTGATCGACCTCTGCCACATTGTCACTAATGCGGTGCCGTTCTCCACAATATTTGAGGCCGGTGCATAAATCCCAAGAAAAGCTTCACATTTATTATCAATATTATCATCCCGATATCCTAACAATTAGGGTTTTTCTAACGATGTCATGAGGACTGCCGCAAGACTGCCACAAGTTGCAAGAGTTAGCCTTATATACTCACTTTACTACGCTGTTGTATTAACCAATTTACGCCAAGGCACAATCTAATTTACGTCCGTGGATTGTTTAACTGGAATATCCTCAGTAAGCAGGAAAAGTTGGTCTTCCTTCTGTAGAACAAAAAAAAGAAACAATTCGAACAAATTGATTTAGAATGGCTAAAACGTTCAGAGATTAAGCCGCGGTGCACGGTAATCAGATGAAAATGAACAATCCACTTTCTCCGTTCGAATGGTGACTTGACTTATTGCCCTAAACAATGTAGACCTATCACGAAAGTCGGCCTATATGTGGAACAAGCTGCGCCAGACTAATGCAAAATCACATACATGAATAGGCAAGCCTCGTAAACCTGGTCCCAGACCTGTCTAAGTCGCAAGTGAAAGACAGTCAGTGAAATAGGCAACCAGTCTAAGTCACAAATGACGTTAAGTCAGTCAGTGAGTCAGTCAATCAGGTACTAAGATTAAATATGCTATAAAATTGATAGTGCACCATTCACTTAGCCTCATTTCGTGTCTTTTATCTAAGACTGTAAACCCCACGAATACACGTGTCATCAAGTCACTCAAAACACGGTGTAACTGAAGCCACTCGTGTTGTACACATCGTAAATATCCTACCTGCTTCAGTTTTTCTCGGAGTTCCTCCAGTTCATTAATATTGTCCCTCTCTGAAGCCTGTCCAGCTTTGGACGCGGAGGACTCACCATAGCCCATGGAATTCATCATGCTCAAACTGAGGTTCTTCTCTTTCACTGAGACGAGAAGGTACACCTATAGTGAAAACACATTTAATTTTCAAAGTTAGAACAATACTTGTTAAGAGTGATTGGTATGAAAATAAAAGACCAACTTCTTTAATACTTGTCTGTTTTCATCCCATGTGAAATAGTCCACAGGTTATCCCAGCAGCGCCTTCATTGCCTCAAATATTTGATAATTTTCTAGTGGCTAAACCCTGGTGACCCCCGTTGGTGTTCGTATAATACTTCTTTTGAGTCGTAAGTGAACCCTTAGAAGAAAAAACAATCCTAGCCAAGGATGAACAGTAGCAAAGGAACACGTTTATCAACGTTCATTCGATAGTTTGACTGACTTGGCCGGACTGACTTGTGCTTAACTTGTGAGGTATTACCAGGACACCTTATGACATGTACCTTTTATCAACAATAGTTCGAGTTCAGTGCTGCACCGCATAGTAGGATTAATACAGCAAAGTACTATGGTCTGTTGAGTTCGAGGTTGCAAGCATTACCTTTGGAATGAAATTCAAGCACAGCACTGCAGTATTGACGATCACTCTGGCAACCCCGGGAACCAGAAACGTCATATTGACGTCATCACCCAGGACGGTCATGGTAGGGACAACAAGAGCTATGGTCAAGGCGACGATGTACACTGACGCTGCAATGTATTTACCTGTAGCCAAAACAAAATCGTCACCCAAGAAAAGTATTCTTCGCCCGAGATACTTGAAAAGTATTGTGACCCAGACGTGAGTTTGAATTACTTTCGCTAAAATGAAATTTCGGCCTAAAAAACCCAACAAAATGGCCAAACTACAGTATGTCCCAACAAAAATATCCGTCTGACTATTTTTAAAATAACTACCAAACCATGAAGTCAATTTTGAAATTGTTTGATTGTGCAAATACTCCTGAGCCTTGGCCTCAACCCCTATGAGTTCCATTTCAGTCACGCATCACAACACAATTGTCAATTGATCACAACAACATTTTTTTGGACACAACAACATTTTTGGACACATGAACATTTTGTGAAAAGGGCTGCAGTTGGGATTGGAATCATGTGCCTTGCTATCAGTCGTCTTGGGAAGACCTCAGTTGAATGACCAAGGGCAAATGATTCCAATCCCAAACCACATCAGCCTTTTTATCACAACATGCAGGATTTTACACAGCTTACATAAGACAGCACTGAAAAAGATTAAGGATGGAACTTGGTCACAATGTCCAAAAATGTTGTTGTGATCAATTGTTGTGTAGTGATGCGTGACTGAAATTAAATGAAACTCTTAAGGGGTTGAGGCCAAGGATAAGAAGTATCTGCCCAACCAACAATGTTCCTAATTGACCTTGTGGTTTTGTAGTTATTTTTAAAAACAGTCAGACGGACACTTTTTGGGGACATAATACTGTATAGTCATCACTAATAAAACAAATCATAACTTTGAATAGAAAATGAAACAAAAAGAATAGAACCTAGAAATGATTTTGTTTTCATCATTATGCATTCTCTTACTGTCATTAAGTCGTGTCACGGCGATGTTTCTTGTCTCCCAGGCCAAGAAAAGGCCAAAGGTCAAGAGAACTACCTTCAGGCCGTAGAGGGCGATGGTGAAGTACAGAGCATGGTCACTGCTGCAATACCTTATGATCGGAACATCATAAATCTCCTTCTCTGGCTCTGTCGTGTCAAGCTGTAAAAAAATTAGACTGATAACAACTATGAAAACTTAGTATTCCACACTACGTCTTGCGTTTCTGTCTTCATTTATGACCCAACGAATGAAGAAGTGATTGATTTTTTTGTTTCACAAAACTTAATTTCCTCAAAGCCATGCTAATGTGCAAAGTTTCAGCATCATTCTTTGCTAGGAATATGAAAGAAAAGGTCACTCTTTGTTTCTGATCATTTAGAATTCGGTTTAAAACATGTAGGACAATAACAATAAAAATAATACTGTTTATACGGCTGTTTCATGTGCACCCACCTTGGGCTCAAGATCTCGACCGGTAACAGTCGTCGTATCCAGGGCAATCCACGCGGCAAAGATGACGCAATCTACGAACACAGCCGTCAACACTCCGCATATAAGTTTCCAGTCCGGTAGGTCCTGCAAGTCAATAAATTCGTCAAACAGCTACGCGTTTTGGAATCAGCAATCTATAGCTTAAACTCGGATTTTAATTCCAACAAAATCACGCAGTGTGTTTTGAAACCCTTATTTTTTTTTTTTAATCATGACCGCTCCATGCATTTTATACACTAGTGCAGGGCCAGTCGAAAATGTGCGTGTTCGGAAGGGGCAGTAGAACTGCAGCTCATGCAAATAACGCACATTATTCAATGGTGTGAACGCACACTCGCAAGTTAAACGCACAAAATGTCGTCACCCCTCTGGCACTGATATTTACCCCTACCGGACAATATGGTATCGCCCTACAACTGTAGGGCGTAGTTGTAGGGCGATACCATATTGTATTAGAGTTGCTCCGTCAGTCGACCGCCTACATACAGTGCAGTGATGGTTGCTCAGTTGACTACAAAATGCATGTGACAGTGCATGCCACTCACGTATATGTACGTACGAAGACATGGTGTGCAGTGCTATCGCCCTATGTGCCCGTCCCTTTTGCACTGTTTGCGTCATATTGAGCACGTGTGCTTTAGCTCGAACATGACGTAAACAATTGAAAAGAACCCCATGATGTGCCCGTCCTTTTTTAATTGTTGCGTCATATTAAGCACGCGCGCTTTTGCTCAAACATGACGTAAACAATTGAAAAGGACGAAAATGTGCCTGTTCGGGAGGGGCAAGTTGAAAATGTGCCTGTTCGGGAGGGGCAAATTGCTTGACCGCTGCGTTTTTGAGAACTTTTCGTGCAAACAACGCACACGATTCTGAGGAAGAAAAGTGTACCATTGTTTATTTACCCTTTATTCTATGCGCGGACGCGGCATATTGGCGCCATAGATATAGAACTATATCTATGATTGACGCGGCATATTATTTTACACGCGGCTTTTTATTCTATGCGAGGACGCGCGCTTTAGCTCAAACATGATGTAAACAATTGAAAAGGACTGCGCGTGTTCTAGGTATATAATCTGCCACGTTGAGGCTCAAAAAATGCTGCTTGTTTGCAGCTTTTTCGAGAACCCCTCGTCCAAACCACTTCCAACTTGACACTGCACATTCTGTTGTCCCGAGCAATACACCCGCCGATTTTCAACTTCATACGATGCAGACAGAGATTCCTGGAATTAGAGTAAGGACTAGTGCAGGGCCAGTTGAAAATTTGCCTGTTCGGGAGGGGCAAGTTGAAAATGTGCCTGTTCGGGAGGGGCAAATTGCTTGACCGCTCATGCAAACAACGCACACGATTCAGTGGTGTTTGTCACAGATTGAACGCACATATCTTTTTACATGTGGACAGACAATCTCCACTTTAATTCCAGGAATTCCAGTGAAATACCCATATAACTACATCGACGGTTGCTCAGTCGACTGCAAAAATGCATGTGCTCGTGCAGCCACCCAGTCACGTACGTGAACATAAGGAAACATGTACGCAGTGCTATTTACCCCATAGATAATTTACCCATACTGGACAATAGTATCGCCCTACAATGCACGTGCGCGCGCATGCCCGTCAAACAACGCACATTACATGTTGCTAGCTTTCACAGGTTGAACGCACATTAATTTTATAGGTTAAACGCGCACTTTGTACACGTCGCCATCCCCTGGCACTGATATTTACCCATACTGGACTATGGTATCGTCCAACAGTAAAGGTTGCTCAGTCAGTCGCCTACAGTAATTGTTGCTCAGTCGACGACAAAATGCGTATACCCGTGCAGCCTCTCACGCCCTCGTACGGCGTACAACCGTGCTGTATTGTGTCTAAAATGTGCTTGTTTGGGAAGCGCAAATTGCTTAGCCACAGGTATTGGTTGCATGCTTGCAGAGTTTTTGAGAACTGCTCGTGCAAACAACGCACGCGATTCAATGGTGTTGTTTTCACAGATTGAACGCAAACTTACGTCAAAGTTTGTGCCAAGTTTGAAATTGTTTGTGCGAGTGTTTCTCAAAAAGGCTGCAAAAATAGCGCAAATATTACTCTCCCCCACTGGACAGTGGTATCGTCCTGCAGTAAGGTGGCTCAGTCGACTGCAAAAATAATGTGCCCGTGCAGCCACCACGTAGGCGTACAAACGGTACTGGACAATATAGTATCGCCCTACAATGCCCGTGCGCGTGCAATAGAGTTATGGCGCGTGCCCGTGTCTTTTTTGCATTGTTTGCGTCACATTGAGCACGCGCGTTTTAGCTCAAACATGACGTAAACAATTGAAAAGAGCATCAGTGCGCGGAGTTCTAGGCTATATTCTGGCGCGTTTGCCTTCAGAAAATACTGCTTTTTTGCAGCTTTTTCGACAACCGCTCGTCCAAACCACTTCAAACTTGGCACTGCACATTCGGTTGTCCCGAGCAACACACCCGCCGATTTTCAACTCCATACGGTGCCCGGTTCTGGAGATAATCGGCGGACAGACAGACAGACAGACGGACGTTCTAGCCAGACGGACTTGTGGGGTGATAGCATTGTGTTCCCATTATCCCTTTTTCTAAAGATTCCCTTCTGGGGTGATGTTTTTCCATTGTGTAAAAAGTGGGGTGATGTGTTCTGAAAGGAACATCACCCCACAAGGGTGGTCTGGTCAGAACGGACAGACAGACGGACAGACAGACAGAGATTCCTTGAATTGTAGTATAGACTAGTGCAGGGCCAGTCGAAAATGTGCGTGTTCGGAAGGGGCAGTTAAGAACTGCAGCTCGTGCAAACAACGAACATTATTCAATGGTGTCGACCGCCTACATACAGTGCAGTAATGGTTGCTCAGTTGACTAAAAAATGCATGTGCCCGTGCATGCCACTCACGTATATGTACATACGAAGACATGGTGTGCAGTGCTATCGCCCTACAATGTGCCCGTCCTTTTTGCACTGTTTGCGTCACATTGAGCACGCGCGCTTTAGCTCGAACATGATGTAAACAATTGAAAAGGACTGCGCGTGTTCTAGGTATATAATCTGCCACGTTGAGGCTCAAAAAATGCTGCTTGTTTGCAGCTTTTTCGAGAACCCCTCGTCCAAACCACTTCCAACTTGACACTGCACATTCTGTTGTCCCGAGCAATACACCCGCCGATTTTCAACTTCATACGATGCAGACAGAGATTCCTGGAATTAGAGTAAGGACTAGTGCAGGGCCAGTTGAAAATTTGCCTGTTCGGGAGGGGCAAGTTGAAAATGTGCCTGTTCGGGAGGGGCAAATTGCTTGACCGCTCATGCAAACAACGCACACGATTCAGTGGTGTTTGTCACAGATTGAACGCACATATCTTTTTACATGTGGACAGACAATCTCCACTTTAATTCCAGGAATTCCAGTGAAATACCCATATAACTACATCGACGGTTGCTCAGTCGACTGCAAAAATGCATGTGCTCGTGCAGCCACCCAGTCACGTACGTGAACATAAGGAAACATGTACGCAGTGCTATTTACCCCATAGATAATTTACCCATACTGGACAATAGTATCGCCCTACAATGCACGTGCGCGCGCATGCCCGTCAAACAACGCACATTACATGTTGCTAGCTTTCACAGGTTGAACGCACATAATTTTATAGGTTAAACGCGCACTTTGTACACGTCGCCATCCCCTGGCACTGATATTTACCCATACTGGACTATGGTATCGTCCAACAGTAAAGGTTGCTCAGTCAGTCGCCTACAGTAATTGTTGCTCAGTCGACGACAAAATGCGTATACCCGTGCAGCCTCTCACGCCCTCGTACGGCGTACAACCGTGCTGTATTGTGTCTAAAATGTGCTTGTTTGGGAAGCGCAAATTGCTTAGCCACAGGTATTGGTTGCATGCTTGCAGAGTTTTTGAGAACTGCTCGTGCAAACAACGCACGCGATTCAATGGTGTTGTTTTCACAGATTGAACGCAAACTTACGTCAAAGTTTGTGCCAAGTTTGAAATTGTTTGTGCGAGTGTTTCTCAAAAAGGCTGCAAAAATAGCGCAAATATTACTCTCCCCCACTGGACAGTGGTATCGTCCTGCAGTAAGGTGGCTCAGTCGACTGCAAAAATAATGTGCCCGTGCAGCCACCACGTAGGCGTACAAACGGTACTGGACAATATAGTATCGCCCTACAATGCCCGTGCGCGTGCAATAGAGTTATGGCGCGTGCCCGTGTCTTTTTTGCATTGTTTGCGTCACATTGAGCACGCGCGTTTTAGCTCAAACATGACGTAAACAATTGAAAAGAGCATCAGTGCGCGGAGTTCTAGGCTATATTCTGGCGCGTTTGCCTTCAGAAAATACTGCTTTTTTGCAGCTTTTTCGACAACCGCTCGTCCAAACCACTTCAAACTTGGCACTGCACATTCGGTTGTCCCGAGCAACACACCCGCCGATTTTCAACTCCATACGGTGCCCGGTTCTGGAGATAATCGGCGGACAGACAGACAGACAGACGGACGTTCTAGCCAGACGGACTTGTGGGGTGATAGCATTGTGTTCCCATTATCCCTTTTTCTAAAGATTCCCTTCTGGGGTGATGTTTTTCCATTGTGTAAAAAGTGGGGTGATGTGTTCTGAAAGGAACATCACCCCACAAGGGTGGTCTGGTCAGAACGGACAGACAGACGGACAGACAGACAGAGATTCCTTGAATTGTAGTATAGACTAGTGCAGGGCCAGTCGAAAATGTGCGTGTTCGGAAGGGGCAGTTAAGAACTGCAGCTCGTGCAAACAACGAACATTATTCAATGGTGTCGACCGCCTACATACAGTGCAGTAATGGTTGCTCAGTTGACTAAAAAATGCATGTGCCCGTGCATGCCACTCACGTATATGTACATACGAAGACATGGTGTGCAGTGCTATCGCCCTACAATGTGCCCGTCCTTTTTGCACTGTTTGCGTCACATTGAGCACGCGCGCTTTAGCTCGAACATGACGTAAACAATTGAAAAGAACCCCATGATGTGCCCGTCCTTTTTACATTGTTGCGTCATATTGAGCACGCGCGCTCTTGCTTTAACATGACGTAAACAATTGAAAAGGACTGCGCGCGTTCTAGGTATATAATCTGCCACGTTGAGGCTCAAAAAATACTGCTTTTTTGCGTCATATTAAGCAGGCGCGCTCTGGCTCAAACATGACGTAAACAATTGAAAAGAACGGCAGTGCGTTGTGTTTTAGGCTATATTCTGGCGCGCTAGGCCTCAGAAAATACTGGTTTTTTGCAGCTTTTTCGAGAACCGCTCATCCAAACCACTTCAAACTCGGCACTGCACATTCTGTTGTCCCGAGCAACACACCCGCCGATTTTCAACTCCATACGGTACCCGGTTCTGGAGATAATCAGCGGACAGACAGACAGCCCGACGGACAGACAGACAGACAGACAGAGATTCCTTGAATTGTAGTATAGATGTATAAAACTCCAACTTCATATTTCGCGTCAAGGGTGAAGCATATCTGCTGCCACCAAGAGTTTTACAAGTGCCCGTTGGCTAAAATTTGTACGGTTTGCCAAATCACGTTTTCGTTTCTGGCATTGGATTTATCTCGCACAGATTGAGAAGCCTGTAACGTTCAAATCAAATAAATGTACTCCACCGAGTGCTCTTCTATTTCTTTGTTTGGGGGATTATCAGCTGCAAATAACGGATCAATACTGCAAAAATGTAACGGAATCTCTAGAGAAGGATATCTCAACTCCTTGAATCCGAACCACAGAGAAAGCTGAGGTTTCGTTAACCCCTTTATATTGACCGATTCCAGTTCTCTGTACTGTTTTAAAAGTTCATTATAGCTAAAACTTCAGCCTCAAAGAATGTTAAGGTGGAAACGCTGAAACAGCGTTTTTAAATGTACCACCATACTGTTATAATATAGGTTTTCCCCGGCCAATTTCCCGAAATGTCCATTCACTTCTAAAAATTGGTAATTTGTTTTCGTCTGAATTTGAATGCACGTCTTTAATCCCAGTTCAATTCAACGAAAGTTAAATCGTTTTCATTGTCCGTGCATTTGGTTTTGAGAAACAGACGGCCAATAACGTTACCCGTGCATTCATTTACGTAAGTATACCTTTTCTAAATTGATTTCAGGTACAGCTTATTTGATTGACGATTAATGAAAAAAAAAACCTATTTGTATCTGGCGCCGATGGCATTAAACTAAAAGTGAAATTGAATGGTGAATGTTTGAAATCGCCCTATAAAAGCAAAAAAACGAAGTTTTGTAAACGAATCTGAATGGACATAAACGAAAGGTGCTGCTTAATCACTTAATTGATTGAACTGAGATGGAATCGAATGCTCTGGTAGCGAAAATGAAACGCCTGTTCAGAGCGATTCTTAAATGCAGACGAAAATGAATGTCCGATTTTCAGAACTGAATGAACATTTTAGGAAATTGGCTGGGAAAACCTATTTGTACTAAAAGACATTTCCATATAGACTTGTGCACAAACAAAAACCCTCCCATTACCCTGATTCTAACAACTTTCTCAAAACCAAAACTTTTAAATAATAATCTAGATACATGTATAAGAAATCCTTGTAAGCAAAAGTGTCTCCCTTTCTTCAAACAATTTACTTAGAACGTGTCTCCTTGGAAGAATTTAACCTTGCTGCCAGTTCACACAGTAAAGTGTAATTAGAACACGTCACTCAAATTATAAAATCATCTTCGGTTCCCCAGTGCAGAATTCAATCAAGTTTGTTAGGACCCTCCAGTTGAAAGCTGTTTCTATCCTTGAAGTGATGTCGGAAACTTCAAGCCAAGAGCTTTAATAACAAATTTCTATACTAAAAACAAATTCCTCTTCTGATTTGTATTGTTGGATTATCCAGATAAATATGCTTTCCTAGTTTGGCAAACATCGTCTTCTGTTCAATTATTGAGTGCATGAAAAAAAAACTGCGATGGAAGACTGAAATGTTCAAAATCGTTCTATAGAACACAAGATATTCTTGAAAGATTACTCACAATCCGTTGGAATTTTTTCACTGCACGGCTGAATATAGCGTGTATCCGGTACGTCTTCATAAAAATAGAACCGAAAGCAAACGAAAGCCCGAGGGAGATTAGCATCCTCTCCAGCTGAAATCAACAAGAATACAAATCCCGAGGAGGGTTCTCAAAACACGTAAACACTAGAAATGTATTTGTGGACAAACACAAGCTGTTTCAGATGTACATGGGGACATGAAATGACTCTGTGCCATTGTGAGGACGACATGAAAGTTTCCAGTGAAAAACAAATCACTGCCCTACTCACTCAGTGGCGCATTTTTGAGGTAATTTCTTCTTAGTCCCACGATTTGACCTTGGTGATATGTATGCGACCTATTTTGTGTTATAATGTAATAGGAGTATAAGTGGCGCCACCAATGTCAAAATAGTTCGCCCCCAAACAAAAACAAAAACTTCTAAAAAATGTGAAAACAAAAAATTGTGAGTCCCCCCAAAGCCAAATCCTGGGTGCGCCACTGGCCTTACTCCTGAGTGCCTCCTTGCTCATGAGTGCCTCTCGTTATGTCCGATTTGCCTGTATCCATAGACATCTAATAACACCTAGACACGACATTTTGTGCTTTTACGTTGTGAATTTTGTTAGCAAAACAGGCCGAGTCAAGCGGCCTGTGACGATATGTTTACCCGCATACGGACACGTGATGAGCGTTTGCGTAATTGACATAAATATTCTATACGTGCAGCATCATGCTAAAAGACGCGAGAGCAAAATGTCGAATCTATGTTTTACAGGTTTTCCCGGCTATTTTAAAACGTTTGTCACTCGAATTCACCGTTTCTAATATTCGTCCATCAACATCGATTTAGTGCACTTTCAATGTTTAATTTCGTCTTTTATCAGACAATTTCAAAGTTAGTTCAGCCAAATTTGAAACAATGTGCAAACGTTTTCGTCCCAGAGTATTCAATTTCGTCTCGTCTACGCCAAACCTTGTTTTTCAGAAATCAAATTCGTCTAATTGATTTATATCAGACGAGTTCGATCTCTGAATGCTGCCATTCGGCAACAGCTTAGGCGAAGTTTATCTGTTATGACGAATATTCTCGATCAGGTGACCAAAGAGGTTGACCAAACTTTAAGATTGAATGGTAAATGACTAAATTGGTTTTGGTAAAAGCGTGTAAAATTGTTCGTGGATGAAATTGAATGTTAGAGTTGGTGAATTTGAATGCAAAACCTTTTCAAATAGCCGGGAAAACATATATTAGATGTCCATGGTTGTATCATTATGAGCGCGTAATTAGTGCAATGGAACCATACGCCATAGATATAGAACTTAGTTCTATATCTATGCCATACGCACGCAGGTGCTGTACGCGCGCACTTAGTGTTCCTTGACAAATAGTTTTGCCCAATTACACGCGCGCATCAAATTAAGAACACGTGACACAAGTGTGTGTTCGTGTCGTCATTGAGCTTTCTGCGGTACGATCACACCGTGGGATTACTCACGTGACACTTGATGATGATAGCCGTATCAGACAGGTCTTTCTTGTCCCAACCTGTAGCGAAGACGGAGGCGTAGAGAAGCAGACAACCAACCACAGTCAGGTTACCCAGGGGAGGACTCGACATCTTGATGGCCCTAATTTAACGAAGCGAATAAGTGATTGTCTCTTGCTTCAGAATTGAGAAGTTAATTTCAAAATATGAGTTTACAAATTATATCTTTTAGGGTAGATAGTAAAGTATGCCGCCGTTTTCGTTTTCAGTGCCACATCAAACACTTTGAGATTCTGTAAAAATTTCGCAAGCTTTTTGGTATTTGTTTGGATTTAGGGGCGGTAAAAAGTAAAGTACCTCAAACCTTGTTCGCTGGTACCTTCGCTAAATTTTCTCAAAAAATGTTTTTAAAATGGCAACATTTTGGGTTCACACTTGGAACAAAAACCCCCTAAACCGAAAAGTGTCTTCCTGAACAGCAGCAGCGCCCTCGTTCGTCTGGAAAAGCATGGAACATTTTAAATGTTAACCAAAAAGGGATGTTAAGTTGTTTTCATACATAAGAGGACTAGAAAATTGCACAGAATATGTTCCCCAGGAAAATTCATGTCATTGGCCCTTTAATATCGAGTCCGTGCTCGCTTCCGTCAGGAACATCTTATCCTAAAATACGCAGCCAACATCAAGCATCTTCAATGTCCTTGACATTAACTAAAGGGACAAAGCGCCATCGTTGAGGCAAAAAACCGGCGACAGTTTTAAACAATCGCCCAAAAATGAATCACATGTGAAGTTGTACCTTCTGTGTTTGTATCTGACGTTAAGGAAGAGGAACACTAACGCCAGGACGGCACCGAGCGAGGCTAGGGAGAAGAGAATCGCCCGTGCGGTGGACGAGACCTCCAGGACTAGGGACCTCCTTGTAACGCCATCCACCGGAACATGGCCACCTGAGTAAAGGTTACGAGTCATAAAAGAATGCATCATTGTACACCTTTTTACCATTTGAAGCTGACCTGTGATGCGAAGTTTTTTAAAGTATTGAACGATTTTACATATGGATTAAAAAGGTATCACTTTACATCAGTGGCGTAATTACGGGGTGGGGGTGGGGGCACGTGCCCCCCTCCCCCACCAGCAGATGTTCGCGCCCCCTTGGTGTCGGCCCACTTTCAAAATCTGGAATTGAAAAAAAAAACCATTTGCCTTCAGTGTCCCCCTTGAAAAATTCCCGCACTCCCAGCAGCCCCCCCCCCCCCCGACGTTTCACTCTAGCTAGTTACACCACACTGCTCTCAATGCTCTGCTCTCAATGCTCTGCTCTCAATGCCACATCTGCATAGTTCATGCGATTTTCCGTGTACTACCTTAATACTGAAAAATGCAAACTATTAAATACGGGTCACTACTAACGCATCGCGCATGACAAAGTGCACAGAACAATGCGAAAGCAAGTGTACATTGTGTCGTAGTCCAAACTTAATACGATTACTGCAGTGACCGAAACCCCATCATTAAAATTTAGAAATAAACGCAATTTCAAATGAAATAAACTGACATTTTTATTCGGTTGACATAAGGAATATGTGATTAAACGTTCATGCATTGCGAATGAAATATGCAATTGTGATCGAAGAGAAGTTCAGTGTCTACCCGAAGTCGAATGCTAAGAACAATGCATTCTTTTAATTATCAAATTGCATTTTATCTTCTTTTTTTGTGTTACTATTCAGCATACAACTACAGCATTTTCCCATTGTATATGTTTTTGTCTATTTATCAAATAGAATTCATTTGTTGTTTGTGGAACCTTTTGATATATCTTTTTTCGCAAAAATGTATTAGGTAAAATTAACATACTCTCTTGTAGCTCAATCATTGAACTACCTCGGACCAACTTCCGTCAAATTCGTCAGGCTACCCACAGGGCATAACTAAAAAAAGACCATCCATTGCTTTGGTTTCGTTTGATGCTCAATATTTGAAAAGTTAATTGCTTCGTATACTGCGCCACAGTTAATGACCCTTTTGTGCTCAGCTCGTAGGCAACTTGATTAGATAAGGGTAAAGTAAATTAAACTTCGGCTGTAAGGGTTTCCGTAACCGGGAGCTCGTTGCGTCAGAGAATGATAATTTCAAAACAGCTCAGAAACCAAGGAAGTCTATGCTAATTTTGGCGGAGACGATTGAAAGAAAAAAGGTCGCATCTGACAACCCCAAGTTGGGTTTCAATTTTAAATTCGTCCCAAGACCATTGCTCTAAGATGCAAGTATAGTGCAGATTTCTTTTTACTTCACATTTTGTCTATGGGCAGGTTTGGTAACAAATATCCTTATCGATTCCATGTAGATAGCATTAATTTATGCGACTCCTCAAAAGTGATTCGGAATGTGACGTGGACGCACATCAATTCTCGTCGATGAATACCCACGAATTTCGCCCAAAAGGATACTTCTTATCTAATTGTGCACCAGATTGTGGTTTAAATTTTCCTGGAACTATTGTGATTTTCACTAGCATTTTGGTGACACCATGGTGCCTGGCTAATCATGCATATCGTATGCACTTCAATAGGACATCGTATAGAGGCGTGATGCAAATAACTGAAATAGCATTCTTTTAGGCACGTCTTCATTTTGAAGGGACATGAAGGGGCATTTTGAAGGGTTCATTTAACAATGAACTGTACAGCGAACGATGATAAAACTGAACAGGGTAATTATAATCTGTAAAGAGTCTGTAATTTTCAATTTAACCGCTGCGTGCAACTTCTGTTCTCATGTAATTTCACATCCGAATTCAAATTTTCACTTTTTGATTGATAAGCTTTAAAAGTTTCAATTACCTGGCCACTGGATACTCGTGGTCTCAGAATTTACCAGGGCAGCTTCCTGAATCTGGTATTGCATCACGTTCTTCAAACTTGTGCCTAAAAGAGAAAATACAAAAAAAATCCATACTTTTCAATTTTCTTAAACATTCAGTAGTATTATGGATATACATTAAAACCAAATAAACAGCCAATATGCAAATTAAGTATACGGAACGAATATTGCACTCATTTAGAGTTCCAAGGCTGTTTTATGCATGCCCCTGTAATTCTTAAACAGTCCCATATATGGCACGACACTTGATTTGGTCTCAAAATTAAAGAAACTTATACTAACCATTTTTCCCCCCTGATATTTTAGTAATATTTAATGGTAGTTTTAATTCAAATTACAGGGGAAAAAAATGGCATTTCAATGATATCACCTTGAGCCTGATCAATGTAGACTGTCTGTGCTACACGCTGGCCATCCTCAATGCGAACACGACCCTACCAAGAAAGCAGACCGACATAGTGAATACACTGAATAATTTTAACATACTCTTTCTACACTGCACACAGTGCCACGCACATGAACAAAGTACCCAGCTTCAATACAACGCCATTAATAAAAAGTCTATCTCTTCACATTATAGGAGCATAACCCATAGGTCTATTATCGTAAAAGGCTGTGGGGACATCTCTGCATATGTGTTTTCAACGGTAAACTTTGCTGCCTGATTACAGATAAGACTAGTATGATCTCTTGGTCTATCTTCAGTGAAAACACCTGTCGCTAAAAGGTAATCAATGCAAAATCCCTTTTTTGTCTTGCGACAGCTGCAGGCCTACTTTCGCTGTGAGCCTTTTCCATACGGTCAATCCGTATCATGTTTTGTTTCCTTTACACTAAATGATGACCTTTTCGCAGGTGTCTGCACTTGCACATTGGAATGTGAATGGATACCACGATAATGAATACGATAAGCTTTTTGTATACTTTTTCTTCATGTGGTAAAGAAAGAGCAATATCTGATCTTCATTTTCAAATATCACTCATCACTATTTTCATATATCACTCATCATTATGACATCTTCCTATACGAATGGCCTACATTGAATGGGTGAACATTTTGATTGTTGAATACAAATCTGGATTACCGACAATCCAGAGAACTCCATGTTCTCGGCGTGGTTCAAAATCACCCTCGCCATCTCGGTGTCGGTATAGCTGAAATCTTCAAGTCTTCGAGGAGGTTGCAGACGATGCAGGTCCGCTATGGAGGAATTCAAGGCCAGTGCCACGGACATGATGCCGTCGTGCGTTACCGGCACGAGGTTATTACTGAATGGGAAAATGCTGTTGTAGTAGTCGTAATGCTCTGGCAAGGGTTTCTGTGAATTGCATCAAATGAAGCTTAGGGCGATTTGCAAGGCTTGCGTAATACTATATATTTCGAATGAAACAAACTGAAATTACCGTTACACGGACATTTTGATGTTCGCGGGCAAAATCTTTGAACATCAATTTTTCCCGTTTTAAAGAACGTATCTCCATGCCACTTTCTGAGTTTGTTTCTCTTATAATGATCCAGCTATGTGCTAAAATTCGCTTTGACAAGTTCAGTAGTTTTCATTAAAATAGGAAAAGTGGGCTTGGGTACGTTCATTTTTCAAAGCTGTAACAAATGGTGTTTGCTATATCTGTCAATCTGTTCAATCCTCACGAATATTAATAAGGTTCCTATCCATATATGGTGTGCAATAAAAATGTGTACGATTGCCTCCTTCATGAGTTATTAATAAATAAATATCGCCCTTTTTGACAGGCTTCTATTGGTCGATACCGAGACCCACGCGAAGTCATGCAAAGTTTTGTTGCAAAATCAGCCGACCCGAAGAGCACGTGTTAATTTGCTCAGCACATGAAATCCTAGTCGAAATTTATCATGGAGATAGTTCAAGGTGTAACACAAGCGTCTGCACAACAGATTAATCTAAAATTTTGGAATATGCTTAGATGATAAGTGTTCAACTACTCGTGAATTAACCACTGGTAAGAATTTCTAGAAATTGATATAAGTAAATAGATTTGGGGACCTTTTCGAACGATATTTCCACGACTGTGGAGTGACCAGTATTAACGTTTCTGAATCAATAACGGCGATTTTTGCACTGACATGAAGTTTAGGATTTCTTTGTATTATAATTTAACATTTCAATCATACCGAGCATATTGTTTTGAAAAAAAAGAACGTTCAAAAACGTTTTGGGGGTTGAGAAAACGTTTTTGGGGTGCAGTCATGCTCTGTCTGTGGAGTCCATGTACTATCAGATTAACTTTGCTTATCAACGCACGACGCAAAGCCTTCCCAGTTCTCACAGTGTAACATGCAATGATCGACATTATAATCATTATAAAATGCGTATGGTTTTGTTGACAAAATGATCAAAACTATAATTTCGCGAGAAAAAATTGAGGGAATGGCTGGTTTATTGGAGACAAAATTTGTCTTTGTATATCCTCCTCAAAAAAGTTGAATAAATTGGAATCACTGATATATTTCATGCCATATTACTTTTTTGTGTGTTTTAGACGGAGGATTATACGCATCTATAATATGTGGGGAGTTTTTCCATCTTCCACGCAAGTGCCCAACTGTCTGATTGTACCGAAATTCCCAACTATCAACCAATTCCCAAAGAGAAAAAAACACACCGACTATGGTTACTTGTATACTCAGAATTTTTTCCAATAGCTTTTATCTCCAATGAAACTTGGGCCTCATTTCATGAATATCGTATATCAATTTTCTGGGCCAAGCACCATTACCGGCTTTCAAAATATCTTCAGTATACTCAACTGATTCATGCACTAATGGCAGCTATATTAAATGAGGCCTTGATCAAATGACGCACGTACCACTCCGTTGAAGTCCAGCTCCGGTAGACCCTGGGAGCGATGTTTGACGTTGAAATGTAGGGATAAATCCACAGCAGAGATGATCTCCTCTTCCGTACAAGGCTCGATATCTGACGGTGTGCCGACCAGCCACCATTCAAAGTTAGCCCAGCTCGGGGGTATCAAGACGTACTTGGCACCGGTCAGTCCTGCGATGTAAGCCTGCAACACGAATCTCGCATTAAGAAGAGGTAGAGCAAGTGTCTTATTTCCTACGAGTGTTACTTATGGAGGAGATATAGAGATAAGCCTTATAGAGATAAGCCTTATTTTCGAAGTCTCGGCCGCGCAATGAATTGTGGGAGAGAAACTGGATAGACAAGCCCAGGTGTGTGCGCGCCGTAACGTGTTGTGCATATAGCATACCGCAAGGGCAAACTGATGTAAAAGCAGCACTTGTTTTCAATTGGCCATTTTGGCCATTGACCGATAAATATGACCCGATTGGAAATATGTTTTGTTGTTGAAAAGCTAATGAACTATTCTCTCCAAATATGTATCGATATTTGGGACTTAATTTTTTTTAAGCTGTGAAAACACGTACCAGTAGCATACTGCCGAATACGTGATCAGACAAGTTCTTTTAGAACTTAAAGCAGGACTGTTCTTATCAAAAAAAACTACAAAGCGAAAGTTGATAATAAGCAGGACAAATTCTTTTCAAAAGTCTATATTTGAGCAGAAGTTATTACCACATGGCGTTACCGCAAACCGAACCGAGGTATTTGTTTGTTGTCTAATCCCCCTCGTTTATCCATTGTCCCGAACTCATCTCCGGCACCCGCACAGCGCACGTCTGATGCAACACGTAAAGTACGACCAAGGTGGTATTGTTTATTGCCAAATTTCCGCAAGTAGTAATTGCTTGTTGTTCTTCAAGAAGGCGATCTAAAGATCAAACCCAATTAAACGAAAGTTACAAGTGAAATTGGCAAAACACCTAGCTCGTCGCTTTCCTAGACTCTGGAATCACTTACCTACTTCAATCCGGGATTCTGCAGTGCTTAATTCACTAAACTCATTTCTAGCCAGTCTCAAGACACACTTCCATGACCAGCTCACATTATAGCGTAATTAACTTAATCTTAAGTTTAATCTTTGGGCTTCCCTTTATTGTGTTATTTCCCTGCCATTTGTAATCTTGTTCTTGCGTACTTGTTTGCCTTTTTTGTCTTGTTCGTTTGTCATTATGTGCGGGTCCGCATGCTTCCGAGCAACAGTGATTAGATTTGCTTTTGCGGTCCCTGACCCACATAATCGTTTTCTTTGTGATTTTTTGTGTCTTACTGGTTATTGTTCAACTCCCAATTGGGAAGCCCACTCCAGCTGTCATTTAAAGTGCATGCCCTCTACTTCATGATTTTTTAATAATTTAAATTTTAATTTAAATTTAAATTACATGTTTATACGTTTCTTTTGTTGTGCGTTTCAACCACTTTTGTGTAATTTTTGTTTGGTTTTGTATCACTGTTTGTAATTCTTTGTTGAGGTCGAATAAATAATAATAATAATAATAATAATAATCTTGAAACAAAAAAAAACACAGCTGAATGATGACTTTGAATAAATTCATACGACATCTGTACGTCAAAGGAGGTTTTAAAATACATCTTTATTGCCATGGAAATCTAGATCTTTAATCGTTCGCAGTTCCGTGCGTTGTTATCAGACAGACATGTTTGCTTATCCTGGCTGTCAAGGCGGCTGGCGAGTTGGCGCATGCGTGAGCAAAATATCAATATGACTTCACTCCCATCGACTGAAACTATAAGGCCTAAACGTTTTAGAGTGGAATTCATTTAATCGTATTAGATACCATGGAGGAAGGATTAGTCCATTCTTTCCTCCTTAATAGACACAGTCTTCACTCGAGTTTCCGCTTGATATATTTGTTTTAAATTCAGTATTTCAATCTTATGCTAGATTCCACATTCCCGAATTAGTTGTGAATACAACCAGAATAATCCACGAATTGAAATTGGTTTCCGAATCACACCGACACTTTTGAAGATGTTCAAATAAAAAAATTTGTCGGGGCACTTCCCGGTCTTTCACGCTCTTTCACCGAACTAACAGAATCATCCCGAGGCAAGAACCACCCCCGATTTACTCAAGAATAGCTCTTGGTGATTCGGCTTAAACATCTTGACTGTGTAAACCTACAGCATAACTGACTTCCACTCTAAATCGTCTATAATCCTTCAATTGATAGTTTCACTCTGGGAATCAGAGGGTGTGATGTGTGGTTTTGGCTCAAATAAAATGAATTGACAGATAATGGATAGGCAGGCGCTATAAGATGATTCATGACTGCACGCAGTGACAGGCCATTTCCTGTCATGTGAAGTTGTGTCATCAGAACCCCTTTAACAATTAAAACTATCTCCACAAAGGCCACCGTTGCTATAGTTATGCCTTTTAAAAAGCACACTGAAACGAGCTCATGATCACCACTCTGCACTTATAGTATAGTTAACTCTGAAATTATCTTGGCTAGTGACCCAAGCTACAAGAATACTTGCGGAAACACGAAATGCTTGCTAGGGCACATGTGATCTAGCGGCAGAGCATAGGATTCACGATCGTGAGATTGTGGGTTCCAACCCCGCCGTGGCCGCCGTGGCCGTGCGTGTTGTGCCCTTGAGTAAGGCGCTTTAACTCTATTACTCTTCTCAACCCAGGTGTTAAACGAGTTCCAGCATTATTCAATGTTGAGAAGGTAGCAGACTCGCTGTGGAGGAGGTGTGGCGATCCCCCCACAGCAGCATTTCATGGACTCGAGTCTGGCCCAATCGCTTCGAAAGAGAGAGATGGGCACTCCGTTCCTGTGAACACAGGTTCGTCCCTTTACTTTACTTTTACGTTTTAGCATGGAATTGTCTCTGCTTTTCTAGGTCTGGAGAGCGCATTAGCGGGATTCTTCGGTGGAGAGCCAGCCATGCAAGGAGTCGGGCTCATTTCTTAAGCATCAATGTCCATGAACTCACCTGACAGAAAAGCTTCAGAGTCGCCAGAACGTTTGAAAATCCGGTATATATGATTCTGACGTCTTGGCGCTAGAATCAAATCAAAGAGAAATTGTAATTCTATTGTTCGAAAAAAAGAAAGTTATCATAAGTTTTCCAAAGGTCGGGCAGGTCGGTTGACACAAAAACAAACCCCTCTGGATCCGCACCTGATCGGCTACGGCGAATTTTTTTTTGCCCCCCTAGAACCGCGCGTGAGGTCGGTTATGACAACTTTTGTTATGTCTGGCTTTGCATTCCCGATTTTCTATTTCCGGGTTTACAAATAGAACTCACACTTGAAATTGAAATTTCAGGAAAGTCGATTTAAATTCCTCTGAATGCAATACCTTGAGGTTTTGAAGATGCACTTGCAACAAATTGATGTTTTTGACTCCTTCAGATGCAACTATTTCGACCTCATCAGCCTCTAAAATTTCACGAAAGTCCTTCATGTGCTGTGAAAAAAAGAAGATCTGGATTATATTCTGTGCTACATATACAACAATTAGCGACAGATGTTATTCGCCAATGATTGAACAACATTAATGCAACCAAAACAAACAATGCGTCATATTTCTCGTCTCACTGTTACAGCGTCCGATCACATGGAACACACATTTAACGCCATTGCTGCACTCGTCATGCTTAATGAGAAGTTTATCGACCAATATATTCATAATTTGCCGAAGGAAAGTTTGATACGAAACAATTGGTAAGAACATCTCTTTGTATGGAAAATAAACCGTCTTTATGTTTTAAATTTCGCCACCATCTTCATGAGTGCATTATTTTTTTTTATTCTCCACGAGCAGACTGGATGGTCTTCAGTGCCAATTTAAATTAAATAATGCAAAGCAATATTTCCTTGTACATCATAAAATTGTTTTCTCCAAGAGATCATATACCGATGATATATGCCCAAATAACATTAAAAAGATACATCTTTACATCCAACATGGACGTATATGAGCATCCTCACGTTTTGAAAAGCGGCATTCTTCTCGAAGATGAATGCGATACGCCTCCACCCCATCTCCCTTATAAATGCTGCCACGCCCACTAATCGGGATCTGTCACTTGGGTAGGCTCTGACTGTGTAAGGGTACACGGTGCGATCTGCTAGCGCTGGGCTTGATGCTACACACATCTGTCAGTTAAGAATTCATCATAAATGAAGTTTTCTAAATCTCGGTTTCGTCTCTGCATGGATTCGACTTCATCATCCTTGGCCTTGTTCTGAAGCTGAAGCTTTTTATCCGCTTTGGTTTTGGTTGTCTTACAGGTTAAGAACATCCACAGTTTATGATTACTTTACTTGAGCTAAAAAAAAATCTTGCTCTGATTGGTTGGTTTTTCACAACACTGTTGTCAGATCTGATTCAGAAACAAACTTGACTTCCCATTGATTGGTTCACCTCTTTAGGTACGGTTAGTGCAACTGATAATCAGTCTAAATAATGATATTATTAATAATTACTGAGATTGGTACCTCAGGGAGAAATGAAAATAGTTAGCACAAACAAAAACCTTCCCACACTGGGCATGCCCCATTTGTCATTCTCCAGTCCCAAAATGGTTTAATTAGGCCAATACTATTCTCGATCTAAGGAACAGTTCTAAGCAACCGTCGACAGTAACATTCCTTCTAGAAACAGTATATTAAAAAGATACTAAAATGTCTCCCTAATGACCAACATCTCCTTTATAATTTACTAGAAACTGTTTTCTATGGAACACCATTTTTTGTAATAAACTGAATGGAAAATGTAGCGTGTGTTATGCGTAATGATTGGATGTCCAGTTCGCTTTCACGAGCAAGATACATGGACGATGTTTTATTTGAACATCGGCACGATTGAAGAGTGCATGGCTGGAATTTTTGAAAGAGTTGCAAAAAAAAAACAATTTAAGTGAAGGTGTGCAATCGGATTTGGTTAAACGATTTCGAGCTTTCCAGGCTCTCCACTATCCCTGTTTCCGTTCCAGCTAGCACTTGCGATTGAGTTTGTAGGCGCTCCCTAAAACGCAAGTACACGTTTGAATAGGCTTGTATAAGTTCCTCCCTCATTGCATGGATTGTAACCAATGTGTTCTCGAGGGGTTTCCCTCCTATTACTATAGCTGACTGATTCTGTCCTCGTATCCTCTCAAAGTCAAGACACAGCACTTCAGGAAAAACAGTGCTGGCACTGATCTGACTTAAAAAGCAATTAATAGCAATTAGCAGCTCAATATAGCCCATAATCAGCAGGATGCAATTTTTGCCATTGTCTAATCAAATCTGAATACTCGGATGAATAATGCATTTTAAAAAAAATGCACATTTACTGCATGAAGTCACCTGAACGATGTTGAATCTCGCCGCTACCTTGTTGACTATGATTGCCTCCTGTGGTAGGAGTGGTCCCCATATGATTGGTACGGGTGCTCCGGAGTAGGCTAGATTGTACAGTATTCGCAACCCTTCCTCCGGATCAGCTCTCTACAAAGAATATTAGGGACACAGGAGACTGAGGTGTGGGTGAGTTTCACTTAAATCATGAAAGCTATTATGGGAAACATCACAATCTATTAAATTCTTACCCAAACCCCAACAATCTGAACAATTTCCCTCTTGTAATCAGTCTCAGTTAATTATCCATAATGACATGAGAGTGACAGTTTGATTTAAAGGCATATAAAGGCACATAGCATCGTTTGCATTTATCCCAAAAGTAACCTACCGAACTATTATCAAAAATCTAACTTGGTATAAGATTTGAGGCTTTGCATGGTGGAGCAGGACAAGTTGTTATCAGAACTGAATATCTACAGTAGTTATTACCACATCGTACTGGCACTAAAAACCCCATGAAATTTTTCCATCTGGCTTGCTGTCATTTTCAAGAAATCAAGAAATGTAGATGATTTCCAATGATCAGTCAATTGACTAATTTATTGGAATGAAGAGTAATATTGACTAAATCGTGTTTCATGATCAAAAGGTGCATGGCTTTTCTTTGTTTCCTCAAAAAGTGTAATATCCACTGAGCTGAAACTTTAACAGATAAGGTCTTTTAACATTCTTCTTTGGATATTAAATGGTGTTAGAAAGAAAAAAGGCACGAAAAGCAACAGATCCTATATGCCTTCAAGTCGGTTTGTGAATTACAGCTTGCGTCAGATGAATCAAACTTATCCGAGTATGTTGTATACAAGTTATCGCGATTGGTACTTTTGGACAAGCAATTGTGTGTTTTTTTGGGTTGAAGTTCTGTTTCTGACAATATTTAAATGCTTGGTAATCTGCCAATTTCGCGAAGCTGTGCAGGTTTTTGCATGACGCGTACACGTGATTATTGCGCAGTCAGCAGCAAGGAAGCGGCTCTTTCTCATATCTCTTTTTAAACCTAACTTGGTGGGTGGCATTTCATCCTTAGTTCATATTTTTGAATCTTCAAGTTGTACCTGAAAATCCCGCTCCCATTTATCTTTGCTCTCATGGTGTCTGCCTTTCCCTTGGGCCGCATGCATAGTACGTATTGCACTTTTCTGACCATTCGGTCGTGGACAAAATAGAGTCTCATTTCATAACGACCAATAAAATTAATTGATTTTGTAGCAATCGCCCTGCCATACAAAATGAACAAGTTAGTGATAGTCGGTCTAATGGCTCCGTATGGGTTCACCAGGGGCCGTTCCTTGATTCCTTACAGGGACACCGGAACATCGTTAATTACCGGAATCTGCCGATTTAATGAGAAAAACCTTGCTACGAGTGAAGATAGGGCCGGTACAAAATACTCTGAAATTACTCCGCCTGAAATTGTATTGTTTGGAAGAAAACAATCCTCGAGGGTGGTTAATGTAATCGTCCCGCGGGGACACTTTTTAATAATTCGACGATAATCATTAATTACTGTGAGGAGTACCTATCCACAGCGACCTCGACAACATGTGTACTTATACTGATTGTTGATTGAGAATCATGTCGCTATTGCAGAGGTATGTACAGGTATCGGTAGGGACTGTATACGCGAGAGATTTCATTTCAAAATATTAAACAGCATCTTTTCAATTTTCAATTGGTATTCTTATATAGGATGGCGCAACTTCAAAATGTAATAAACTGTTTTTATTACAGAAGAAAGCTGTCAGAATAATTACCGAGAAGCAAGTAGCCTGAATTCACATGACACTCGTGGGACATCGAAGGGTAATTTCTACATCAACTACAATTGTACCTCAATACCAAAGAATAAACTGACATCAAATGGATTATTGCTATGGACTGATTTAAGGGTAGATTTGAAGGAGTCAGTCGGGCTACATTCTTTCACAGGGAAAATGAAACAATGTCTTTTAAGCACATATATGTACAGCATCGGAAACTTACCCAATATTGGTGGTTCCAGTGTTTGTTTTTGTTTTTGTTTTTTATACACTCATTAATGTAACCTTGTCGGGTCTCGCTTAGCGTAGTGTCTTGTGTTCCATGTACGTAATGTACTTGTGTTTCAGTAGTCTTGTGTTTATTTTTTGTATGTTTAGGGATAAACTTCAAAGCTTTTGCTTCATAATTATCCCTACATGTTGGTAATTAGCCGATTAATTAATTAATTAATTAATTACTTGTGTAAATAATTGTAATTTAATACGTACTATATGTACCGATGTACATAGCAGCGGGTACAACATTAACTATTCATAAGGTGGAATTTTTGCGTCAGGGTGATGTAAATCAAATTAGGTGAGTATACACTCTGAGTATTTATACTTCGGCGAAGGGCAAAACCTAATTTGATTTATATCACCCCGACGCAAAAATTCCACCTTATGAAAAATTTTGAGAAAGGATGCACAATTTCTGGGTCTCGTTATTGGCTTCCGTTGCTAATGTGTCAAGTGTTTGCAGGCACCCTATTTTGAAACCGCCTTCAATGTTAGTCTTCTTTAAAGGGAATGTACAACATTGGCTTTTGCTGCAATTTTCAGAAATAAGTGCATTTGGAGGATTTATATGTTTTAGCAAATATTGTTAAACTGACTTGTTTCACGTTTTTGGCTTGTAGATACTGGAAAAACCAAGAAAACCAATTATATTCTTGTAGTCTGGCTCCCTGACCCCACTTAAGATGAAATGGAGCAATTTATAGACTTTGGGGAATTGTGCGGTCAGAGTATCAATTTAGCTGGCTTGTACCCATTCACAGGTGAGTAATCAATTGCAAAGAAAATGTGGAATAACTAAATATAAGAAATATGGAGTAGTTTTTGAAAATTACCAGTTTTCTCCAGCGCTGGTCGGCCTACCAGCGTTGGAAAAATACAATTTTTCTTGAAAATGTCAGCACACCAGGAGCCACAATTTTACAGGATGCTTTAGACTGTCATTCCCTAACAATCCAGTAAGGTATTTCGTGATAAGTGGATCATTTCGTTTTTTGATGTTTGCAAATGTTGTATCTTCCCTTTAAAACGATATCATGTCAGACACATTAATTTGACAGTGTATTTGACAACAGTCCTATCTTCACTTAAGTTGAGCCAGGTTTCTGTCGCTTATTTTCGGTAGGTAATTTTGCAGGTAATTGCAAATGATGTTACACATGCACGTGGCTTTAAGGAGTAGTACACATTCTGATGTGCTAGTTTTTTACCACTTTTTTTCTGCGTTTTTGGCCGTAACCATAGTTACTGTCAATATTATTTTCGAGTTATTGAGACAAATCTAAGGGGTAAATATTTTATTCAAAGTACTACAGCCTACCAAATACAAACTCACTTAGTTGATGAATTTTGGGCAGCACTAATGTCTTTCTTGGGGGATCTCATGAAGCATCGGCAGAAGGGAGCATTAGCGTCAGTGGACTTTGTCGTGTGTGTTTTTCTTATTGGGTCGCACGCGATATGACAAGGTTTGAGAGGTGGCCTGTCCGTTCAGATTGTCCTGCTATGTGTTGCACTATCTAATAGGATTTATATAAGGAGTGTAAGTTTTGTGTTCATAGATTCTTGAAAAACCAAGAAAAAAAACACGTTCTTGTAGTCTGGTTCCCCGACCCCGCTACAAATGATTTCTTTTATGTAAAGTATTCCCATATTTGGAAGTTCACATTAATGTTTTAATATTTAAGTGGGTGGATGTTAACGCAATTAATCATAAGTGAAATTTAATGAAAAAAGAACCACCCGTTTTTTTATGCGACTTTTTAAGGCACGAGAGTATAATTATTTGATTTGACAACATAGGCTGTACATAGGTCCTGACAGAAGCTTAGGTAAGGGGTATCTTATATCTCCGTGGCTGCTGTTGAGATTAAAAATAAGTGCCTTTTGTGTGACATGAATCTTTTTAATCAGACATGAAGATTAATTCGGCATCCAGAGCTGGCCTGTATGCCACATGATCGTAAAAGAAAAACTGCCCTAATTGGTGTGTTCGCTTAATCATACATATACAACGGTGGATATAAACGTGTGAATTATTGTAGGCCACGTACTTGATAAATTTAGGAAAGATTTGAGAACTTAAATATATTCCTTTGGGGGTCTTATTGAGCATCGAAAGAAGGAGCGGGCGTTCTCGTCAGTTAACTTTGTCGTTTGTGTTTTTCTTATTGGGTCACACGCGAAATGACAAGGTTCGAGAGGTGGGCTGTCCGTTCAGATTGTTCTGCTATGTCTTGCACTGTCTAATAGGATTTATATAAGGAGTGTAAAGGGAATACACAATGTTTTAAGTTTTGTGTTCATAGTTTCTTGAAAAACCAAGAAAAAAAAACACGTTCTTTTAGTCTGGTTCCCCGACTCCGCTAGAAATGAAACAGAGCAATGTACAGACGTCAGAGGCTTGTACCCATTCACAGATGTGTAATCGATTGCAAACAAAATGTGGACTAACTAAATGTGGTAAATTGTTGAAGCTTCAAAGCTTCAACATAATGTTATTTCTGCAGTCAAACCATATGCTTGTCATGAACATACTGTAGAGGAATCTAAACTAGATGAAGTTGAGGTGGAAAATTCTGAACCCGATCCTAAAAGCCGTAGATTTGAAGATATGGAAAACTATGAATCTGAGTGTACGTATGATGAAGACGAAGATCTTGAGGAGAACGAATCGGAATCCATAACGGGGGTGGAAGATGACGAATCATCTGCCAGCGAAGATTAGTCTAGTTCTGATTTGGAAGACAACACCGCATATAGAGACTGGTTGAAAGAGTCCCTAGAAGCGACCGATGAGATGTGGAGTGCAAAATATGGAAAGTACATCAACGGGGATATGAGTAAAGATCAGGCCAAGGAAAAAGCCAACATGAAGACCCCTTGGGCAGTCAAGAAAATCTTTTTCAACAAATACAAGGATTTTTTGTCAAGTTACCTACATTTGAAAGATAATGGCACTCATCAAGAAATTGTGGAAGATATCGAACAAAAATTGAATACAGGCATGGACGTAAAGAAAGCTCTAAACAGAGTAACGCCAAAATATCGTAACACATTTGACGGACTGTTCCAACAAGATGAGGATGAAGAAAACAAGGAAGACAGTGATGATTAAAAACTAGTAGTTTCAAAAAGATTATTGTCATTTAAAAAAACAATATATATATATTTATATATATATAAAATAGTCACCTCTTTATAGTCACTCTTACAGTAATTCCTTATGGCTATTTCATACCATGGACGAATGAGTTCATACCATTATGTTACATTGGGGACCTGGCGACGATTCAGTTGCTTAGAACGGAAGAGCATGCCCGTGCATGGAGATTTTAAACTTATGTGAGTTCTATACAGCTTTATATAGAAAGTGTATTGTAAAAAGGTATATGTCAGATACAAAAGACAAACGTATATAAAATACAGGTCTGAAATTATAAGGTTTACCTTTTTTTGACAACTAGAGTTGGCCTCGTATGTATGATAGACATTTGTATTAGGCCCTATGGGCGCTACAGAGACTGACTTCATTCACTTTATTTCGTTGACGGTACACACCACGAATTTCCAAGTTAATAAGCAGTTCACAGAAGTGGAAATAATCCAAAAGACGTAAAGTCCAAAATAATGTTCTCGGTATGAACCAGTGAGCTGTGTGATACATCGTTTTATAACGTATTACAAGTGTGTGGACATAAGGGTCATTCATCCCTACTTCAAGTGATTTTACTCTCCGTAGACAACCAAGCACATGTGTATGTATGATATAATGATAAATAATTTTTTTTTAAATCCCTGAAAATACAGTGTAAATAGGCTTCATTTAAATTCTCTTAATATTTATTCTTTATAATTCACTTTATCTGCTGACTAACTGGCCCACATACTTCAACACTTCCTCCCCGCATTGCTCACAGAACGTGCACAAATGGTCAAGCCAGTCCTATATAGACATTAACGCTAGTAACGTCTGAACCCATTCACGACTGGGATACCATGGATGTTAACAGTGCAGGTCATTGAAGCGATTATAACTGTGACGATTATCCCCCCTTTTAGCTTGACATGCGCTGGATAAACGAATTGATCCGAGGCATTCATTGCAAGCGATGGTCCCAGAGCCTGATACATGAACATCCCATTCACTGACCCATTGCATGCATTGTTAGCGGCACAGCGGCTCCAACAAATTACGGAGGTTCCAACTACATGTGCATTAACAAAGCTCTCCACGAAAAACCTTTGTCCACAGTGACCATGTAAAAAGCAAACCGGGTACCGTTAATGTCATCCTAAGCCCATCGATAAATTAAAGTATCATTGAAACGTATTGTATACAGGCCTAAAATACACTGGCATCTTGTATGGCTTGCCTAATTAATGTTGCTTTGCTAAGTATAATGACCCTATTGTTCCGATCGCCGTCCAACCTATGCCATTCATCCAAAATGACAAACAAATTCATATATAATCCCTACACAATGCATGCACTAATCCTCTTTTCTATTGAATACCCTTTACAGTGGATCCTCATTGCTCATCAAACCACCCCCACATTTCCCCATAGAACGTGTACAAAAAAAGGGGCGGGGCACTACCTATACTGCCCTCACTGCGCTGCTACTACTCCATTTCCCCCATAGTAAAAACATTTTTTTCACGCGATTTCCAGCGAGTTGACTTAATTGGCGCTCTGTTGGTGTGGCCTCCATTTTTAATTTTTTTCATTCACTGTTAGCACACTGCTTGAATGAATAGAAATGATACTCTTATAGTCATTTTCAAACGTTTAACACCCGTCTTTGTACTATATATTCCATCCGGCGTCTCCCTTTTGTCCGATATTCCAGTTCAAGTCTTCCTCTGTCCGATATTCCATCTAGGGGATGGGTCCCCCTTTGTCCAATTTTCAGACCCATCCTTTGTCCGATAAAACTTACATACGCCAATGCGCTCTTTTATAATGCTAACATAATTCACTGATATTGTAATAAGTTTCATTGATATGCAAATGAGTCCATTGTTTTGTGCATTATGCATAAAATTCTTTTATCTTGTCTCCTCAAGACCCTACACACTACTAACATATAGGTATTGGGTTCCCCTAAATCCTTTAGGGTTAGGGTTAGGGTTGGGGAATAATAGGAATTCGGGAACATAGGTTTGCACCCCGCAATATAGTATTTGGTTTATCGTTTGTAATGAATTGCAGACACAATGGTTACAAAAGTAACATCTCTTTAGTGGCGTAACTAAGAGTGCGCTAGGTGGGGGGGGGGGGGAGCTCTCCCCTTTCCCGATCATGGTAAGTACCCTCCTTTTGCACCCCCCTCCCCGGCTCAGAATTTAGTGGAAGGCCAAAAAAGATTATTCCCCATCCAGGAAATATGGCTCTCCAAGTGTCCCCTGTAAATTGAACACACAAAAACGACAGCATCTTGTCTAGCAGTGACGTTGCAAAGTGTCCGATTTTCAAGGTGATTTTTATAATCGCTTTTAGTGTTCAACTGTATTTCATATAAGGTGCAAGACTTGTATAATGTGCATTTTTCATCCTTTCGTGTGAATATATTTTGGTAGCTGAACATCTAGTCTTTTCACAGAGTAGGCCTACCTAAATTGGAAATGAGTTTTTTGTGTGTTTAATGTTATTCTTGGGGGGGGGGGACGAACTTGTGTTCACAGGAACGGAGTGCCCATCTCTCTTTCGAAGCGATTGGGCCAGACTCAGTCTATGAAATACTGCTGTGGGGGGATCGCAACACCACTTCCACAGCGAGTCTGTTACCTTCCCAGCATTGAATAATGCCGGTACCCATTTAACAACTGGGTTGAGAGGAGTAATTGAGGCGCAACACGCATGGCCACAGCCGGGCTCGAACCCACAATCTTGCGATCATGAATCATATGCCCTACCGCTAAAGACCACAAGTGACCACAATGTTATTCTTAAGAACGCCTGATAGGAGAGGTGCATTTCCTTGGTGCTTTTATCAAATTAAAAAAAATCGATAAGAAGGCAGGACCTGACCTAGAAGATTATTTATCAAACTTCGCCATGGAGACAGATTCTGCTAGGATCGAAACTTCAGACCTGACTTTTCATGTCACTCTAGTCAGTCATCAGTTTGCAGCAGTCTTTCGAAAGCAAAATAAGCTTAGTATAATTTTATTTCCAAATAAAACTTACCCCCGTCCAATTCCACCTCATGCTGAGATGGTAGCCGTCGAGAATCCCTTTCAAGCTGTTGACGTGATCTAGTGCCGTCTGCGCCACCTCTTGTTGCATTCCTATGGCAGGGCTGCCCGGGAAAGCGAACAGGCCGCCCATGTGAATCACGCATTTCCCGCCAAATGTTGCGTTGTGCGTGATGTTACATCCTGCGGACCCGTGTGGCGTGAACACGGCGAGAAAAATCCAGAGGGCTTCGGTGAAAGCTAGTATTAGTTGAAAGACACGCATCATTGGGAATGGCAAAACGTATCACAGCGCTGCAAAAAATGTTTCCAAAAAAGTGTTGCACTTTCTTTCTGTTCTATGGCAAGTAGCAGGAATTCCTGGCATCCTATCACATAATGCAGTTCAGAAGCGCGACAATGAATGGGCCATTAGGAATGATACGTTGACTGCTCACGAATTTGACAGGCAAATTTTACATGTTGGAATAATTATTCAATGCACTCTTCTTGTGAAGAGAACGTGATATGTGATGTATCATCTGTGATATATATTTGTGATGTATCATTTGTGATGCATCACCAGTTCGCTAATAAATTCAAATTTATGCGCGCATGTGCCGACGCAAGCATCGAAGGCACAACACTCGACTGGTTCCCGCTACCATAAAACATGAGGACTGCGACCGGTAGCATGCATTTCAGCCTGCAGCCTTTCATTGGACATGTTTTGCGCCTGCGTAGAAACCAATGTTAACATAAAGTGCATGCATAAAGAATGCCAGTTGCAACACCAAGAGGCCCGCGAGACCTAATGGCGTAACGCTTTGTTTTACATGTGCGCTTTCCTATGTGGTAGACGGTCCCTACGTCGTCTGGCGTCCCGACTTCGCTCCCATAGGAAAGCGCACATGTAAATAAAGCTATTACGTCATTAGGTCTTAGGTCTATAAATAATTGTGAGCTCAAGCTAGTCATAGTAGGCATGAAGACGTGTGAATTCCGAGCTATTTATTAACTGAAGACCGCCTCAATATATAGGCCTGCGCAACTACCGCGGCCCATCGTGACATGCCGATCAACTTGGACGAGGTTGAACGGCCCGCTCGTGCCAAAACACGTCGCATGCAATTTGCAACCTTCTTATTATCGGACTAGTAAACGCATCATGATCTGTTGTCCAGTTGAGGTCGTAGGGTACAGGTACAGAAGTGACAGAAGTGACGGCGTTGACCCGTCAGTCTCGGATTTATCATATTGAAACATGCAACATGTGGTAATAAATATCAAACCCGTTTTCAATAGATTCAAAAATGGTGAACTGAATCAGTCTGTTTTGCTCAAAACAAGACGGCCCCAAGGGCACTCTGTCCCATAAAAACTAAGAAAGGGGCTCTGCCCCCTTTACCTCCTCCAAGGGGGCGACACCCCTTGCAACCGTCTTTTTGGTGTGCCTCACAATGTGTTAAAAATCCTGGATCCGCCTGTTTCTAAAGTGTGAACACTAAACAAAATGATTCTAATAACTTATGTGACACTCTTGAAATTAGGGATCGGAAGCTCTTGAGTTGCGGTATATGCAGCAGCGAATTTATTCCGTATCTGTATATGTGAAGACAAGATTTACATGAAGTTATGTTACTTCAGGTCTTAAGGAATTAACGGATAATCACAATATATTTACAAAATGGCTACAGTTAATCAGTAAGATTAGAGCAAGATGAATTCGAATTACTTTCAGTTCATGAAATAATAATGATTCATTCAAATGATTAAACAATAGTTACGTTTTCCCGCCGAAACTTTCGCGGGGTCAGCCATCTTGAATTTCAACGTTTCAAGAATAGAACTTAGTTTAAAATACCATTAAATACAAGAATAAGAAAATGCAAACAGAAATGGGTAGTCGAGGAATTGTGATGTCATCTAAGGTTATTGATGTAAAGATTTAGAACAAAAATAAATAGATAGTAATAATTACCTGTATATGTGAAGACAAGATTTACATGAAGTGATGTTACTTCAGGTCTTCGGGAATTAACGAATGAGCTAGCGCCCGATATCAGACGTTGGGGGCGCTAGGTTAATTTGAATTTACATGTAAATAAGGTTGAACCAAAAAATAACGGGGGTGTCTTTTTATAACCGTCACACTTACCCCACGTTTTCATATTAATTGAAGATACATTATTATTACTGGTTAAATCTGTCCATTGCAGCCAAAAGGCTGAATTGTGACACAAATGAACATTAAAAGTAAGAATTACATAAACAATTTATACAATTAAGGCATTAAAATTAAGTGTTAAAGATAAAACCAATAAACCAACCAACAGTAAGAGAGAGATTTAAGAAGAAAATTACACAGAAAAACAGAACAAGACAAACTTAGCAAAAAAAAAACAAAACAAACAAACAAACCAAGCCAAAATAGTTTACAAACAAGGAACAAAAAACAAGCACAAATGTAATCAAGGAACAAAAACACACACCCCAAAAAACAAGAACAAAAACCATACAAGACAAACAAAAGATAAACAAACAAACAAACAAACAAACACCCCAACAAACAAACAAACAAACAAACAAACAAACACCCCAACACCCCAACACCCAACTCCCCAACAAACAAACAAACAAACAAACGAACAAACACCCCAACAAACACACAGAACAAGCCAAAACAAAACACACCCCAACCAACCAAACAAACACAAAACAAAAAACAAAACCATAGAGGCAAGAGAGAATCAGTAAAAACACACAACCAGGCATAAAAAAGGGTTTTAAAAAACAGGGGCTAGTGAGCAGAACGTTTACAAAAACAGAAAGAGAGAGGCCTACTTTTACATGTTCAAAATGTTGGTCAGGTAAGGAATCGTGCTAGTTTTGTATCGGTTGGTTCTTCTGCACCCGATAGTAGTCAAAGAGTCCGAATTCCTAAGGTTATTATTCCTAGATGGAGGCAACCAGTCCCTACGCTCGGTTGAAGACAATAGCCTAATACCAAAGTTCAGAGAAAGCTGTTCAAGTCTCTCAATGAGGGGCGGAATGTTAAGAATCTCACAAATATCTGAGTACGGTTTAAAATTACAAAAATCACAAGTAAGAATAAGTTTGAATGCCTTCCGTTGCATTTTCTCGAGGCACTCTCTCTGGGATTTAGTGAGACCACAAAACCAGGCTGGTAAGGCGTATTCAAAAGTTGGTCTAACATATTGCAAGTACACAGTTCTCAAGTCGTTAACAGGAATGTTACATTGTTTAAGTTGACGTAAAACGTACAGTTTTTTGTTAAAATGCTTTACACATGTGATCAACCTGAGTATCCCATTTAAGGTTATATCCCATATATGCGACTATAGGAGACCATAAGAAATTATTCCGGCGCGAAGCCAGTGTCTTTCCTGCTTTTTTTATATTTTTTTTTAATTTAGTTTAAGCACGGATCCTAGACACCAGGATAAACGACTGTTCTGAGCTCTAGTACAAAATGCACTGAGCGGCCTTGCCTTTATTGGTTAGACGCGTGATAACGGGCATTAATACCCGTTGGCGCGTAATCGCGAATTTTCCAGATGTGCCATTGTGTTGGGTTTTTGCATGACATCTAAAACGGAAATATTCATAAAACTGTAAGCAAAACTACTTCTTATTTAAGATATAATTGTTCCAAATTATTTAAGAAATAAATACTTCAGGATATAACAGATGGTATTGTGCAGTTTTTGTCGTCATAAATGAATTATTTGCCCGGGAAATAAACGTCAAATTTCGAGAACACCGTTTACCCAAATTTCGTTTTTAATGAGGCTTTTATTAAACAGTTTTAGAGAGATGCGATGCCGAACTGATGAAACAAAAGCGACATTTCATTGTTCATCTTAAAGCTAAAGATATTGTGCTTGGCATTACCATGGTTATATAGTTATCACTTATCAGAATTCAATAATAAAGACCAAAAACGTAGACTCATGAATGTTCAAAAATATAATTCGCTGGCTTGACAGACTTCGAGGCCAGATCGGGCTCAGAGCCTTGCAAATCTGAAAGCCACCGCGCGCAGTGGTCTTTGTTGAAAAGTATTCACGGTATTTGCCACCAGTACAGGCCGTTATCACGCGTCTAACCAGGAGTTGGGCCGAGTCGTTTATCCTGGTGTCTAGGATCCGTGGTTTATGGTACTTGATACCTAAAAATAAAAACCACTAAGCTCGGCTTTGTATTAACAAAATACAAATTTTAGCCTACGTGCGTGCTTGGATAATTAATCAAGCATTCGAATCATCAAATAAAGTCCATCCACCACTCTCAGGCGCAGATCCGGGGGGGGGGGGGTCAACCCCCCCCCAGCTCTGTCCAAAAAAAATTGTCATACAAATTCCTAAAAAATAAGTCGAACCCCCCCCCCCCCCCTCCCCCTGCTGTGTCACCCCCCAAAAAATTATACTGGTACAATGTCTGCCTGTTTAAAATACGGTACACCATTCTGTAATCTAGTGTTAATACTTGTCGGATTTGAACAACGCCCCCTATTGAAATATGGTACCAGACGTTGCTATGATTTGATACGCGATAACCCGCCGCTGCGATAACCCGCCGCCGCGAGAGGGCGTTATCACGACCAACCAATATCAGGCCGTGTCCGAACCAGAGCTACGGCTACGTCTTATTGTCAGCGCGTCCCCGCGTATTTTCAATGGGCGCAAACCTAGACCTAGCTCTAGACAGCTGATTTGGATACAGCCTCAACCACGAACTGCCAAGATTTTACAAGATTCCCTAGACGTTGTTACTGGCAGTTCCAGGTGATATTGGTTGATCGTGATAACGCCCTCTTGCGGCGGCGGGTATCGCGGCGGCGGCGGGTTGTCGCGTATTCATCATAACAACGTCTAGCCCTACAGACTAACGCGCACAAACAGATCCTCCCGCCATCCGACTGGTTCCCGGCCCCTGTGCTATTGACTCTAAATGGGGTCTAGAACCAGTCTAACGTTCTAGAACACATTTATCGTTGTGTCGCAAATGCTTCGCAATATTTTTGGGTAATTATTCCCAAAACGCGGGTTGAATTTTGTTCTCAAAGTCTCATTCAAATGTAAATAATTTTTGTATTGTTGAGTTAGTGAATTGCAGATTTTTTTTTCGGGGTTAGCCCTATAATAGCTGGGACATTAAATCCTTGCCCTTCAACTGAATACTGCAATTTAATTTGCAATCGATTTTTCTTATATTCAAGATGAGTGCAAGGAAATTCTACTTATTACGAAAAAATGAGTAGACATCACCTGAACAATACCACTTGTTAAGAGAAAGATGCATACAAAATATTCCTTGAGAGGAAAATATATATATATACGTATTGTTCAGGGAATTATTTTTTTCAGACCATAATATGAGATTTTTCCTATGATACACCTGTAGCATGATGATTTGACACAGACCCATAAATACTATCAGATATAGGTATGCCACTAATTAGTCTAAGAGTCGTTTCTCCTTCAGTATGCGATGTGTTGATTGGTCTACAGGATCGCGAAGTCTTCCATACAGCCTTCACTAAGGTCCAAACGGCGCTTCCTAAAACATACAAACGAATTGGAGTAATTGGATTGGTAGTAAAAACAATCGGTGATCAAAATGAGGAAACATAATCCATGAGTTTGCCATAATACGGTATTTTTATCCGATTTAAAAGTTTTATGTAATCAGAAATTGTAAGTTTAATTTAAAACAATAATAATGTGGTATTCTGGTTTGTAACGGCTTATACTTTGACATAGATCCTATATCAACGAAAGTGGTGTTTGGAGCGAACGGCCTGGATTTATGAGCTAACTTATTCTCAACCAAATTTCTTAATTAAAAAAAAAAAAAATTCAAATCACCTGCCACAAAGGCAACTATGTTCAGGTTGATAACAATCAGGAAGACGACCAGAAATTCCTTTCTTGCATCGCTGGACTGGTTCTCTTCATCTGGTAACAGAAGCAAAGATGCTGCCGACAGATTCAGGAAGATGGTAGTCAGGGAACACATCTGAAGACGGTGCTCTGCCGCATCCTTCATTGGTTTCAAGTAAGCATGGGCGATAAGAAAGGCCACGGATAAGACAATGGTAGCAAAGAGCGTGAAATGATCATCAGCACCGAACATCAGAACGAAGACAACTTGGAGGACTTTGCGAGCAAGTTCCACAATCTCCCAATACCAGAACTGCTCCTTGTAGTTCTCACACAAGAAACTAACCCAGGTGATCTTATTGTCGTCAGTCTTTTCTCGGTCCGACTCGGGGAGAGAGGAACTTGTCACGTCATCATGTTCAACATCTTCAGATTGCACACCGGTACCTTCAGAAGTATTTATCTCTTCAGAATTGGCGTGACACAAAAGTTCGGTATCTGACTTAGGATCAAGATCAGATTCGTTTTGGTAACCAGACTGATCCGTCTCACTACAACCTCTTGAATGACAGGTGTTCAAACTATCTGGCTGATAATTTTGAGCTGCAACGTCACACAAGGGCTGCCCGGCATTGCAATCATCTGACGGTGCAGAGGAGCATTGATCAGATCCCTTGTTGCTTCGACAACTCGCCCACAACATGAGGAACAGTGCCAACGGAAGGCCAACAACATAACACAGGGACACTTCGGCGGCGTAGTTGTAGCTGACATGCTGATTTGATTCGCAGTCGATGGAGTAGTCCGATCGGAGTCGCAGGACTTTGAAGTGATCGGTGTCATCTAGGTAGAACTCGTCACATCCAGGAGGCAGCAAGGTAAAAATGGCACTCGATACGCTTGGATATGTGACAAACAGAAGAATAACCACCACCAGGTAACAGGTTTGTTTAGTTTGAGCCAACATATTGTTGCAAACCTCCTTGGACAATTTGGTCATTTTCAGGTAACTTTTCCTGCAACCGTACACAATCAGTGCCAACAACACTACAAAGACAACGAAGCTCATACCAGTTATAAACTCTATGTAAATAGTTGGGTATGTGAAATTTGGGAAGTAACATCGAGGGCTAACGATCAATTGCGCAATATTCACCTCTAACAATCGGAAAAATGAACCAATGTTAGTAAGTGCCTGTGGCCAATGAATCCCATCCAGTGCTTCGAATATTTCGCCCATGATCTGATAGAAACCAAGTACGATCTTGAATCTGGAGAACAACGCGTTGATGGCAGAACGCCCTCTACGCCGATGTCTTCGAAGGTCCCACATTACGATGATAATTAAAACAACAATAACTACCAGAGCAGCCACAATCTCTAAAAGAAACACATACCATCTGGGACATTCAAAGCATCTGTTAAACCAAGAATAGTAGTTGGCAATGCACTGAGAGCACAAGAAATCCTCATAACCAAATTCACATGTAGCATTTATTCCGTCACCCCCATTCTGACACGATTCTTTTCTTGGACATGGATGAACTTTTGGCAAGGCACCTTTAAACCTTACCGTGCTTTCGTCGTAGCTCTCGTTATGTATGAGGATATTTTGTACATATTTCTCGTAAGATTGATAGTTGTCGACCGAGCCCCAGTCCCAAGTCCACCAGAATCCTGGCAGAAGATGTTGATATTCTTCCGAACAGTCAGTTCCTTGCAACGGACAGGCGAAGCATTCACCAAACCGATCTTTACGGTAGTAATTCGACACACAGGGACACGCGCGGAATCCTGCGTGGCGGCTTGTATCCGTGCCTGATGGACACACCACGCAATCTCCGATGGTTTTACCAGGGTGAGCTTCTGGTGGAACGTATGTGCCATTATTGCAGAAAAAGCAATTGAGGTCTGCTCCTCTCTTCACAACTTGTCCTGTTCGGTTTTGAAAAAAACCTCCTGAAGGAGACATCAAAACAAACTATTTTATTGTATTTATATGCCTGTCGAATATGTTGCAAGGCTCAGTACAGTTTTGTTACATTTTTATTTTAGAATAAGCTTTAGGGCAGTGCTTTTTCTGGTAAATTCTGCTGAATTACTTTTCGTAAGGTTAATCACAGTATTTACACAATTTCCAACAATGTAAATAGTAGTTTAAATCTTGAATGAAAGTGATTGGGTTTGTTTGCAAACTGCAGAAGCCGAGACCGACTTAGAATGTTATTATTTGTATATTTAATACGTGTACTATCCTCAATTAAGTTCAGTCATTGAATCCAAACTTCTTCGTTACAGAACATTAATCAGAAGCAACAAAACCACGGCATTAACAGATCTGTACGAGAGGGGAATAAAGTGCTTGTGTTGCGATACCTTTCGATAAGTTAAGGATATCATTTTAATGGACCGATCCAGTAAGCACCGCTCCATGGTATTCTGACCAATCACAGCCATGATTTACGTCCGACATGCGTGCATAAAAGTCCGACATGCGCGTGCACGCGCGTATGATGCGCGCGGCAGAAAAATGCAGTGTGGCATTGGAAAGGAGCACGTGTTAATTTGCCCACTGCGCAGTGGGAGGGGCTTACTGGATGGTCCATTTTGGGTGCATTGCTCGACGACGTCTGCGGAATATTTCATTTTAAAAATTGCTTAACATACCTGATGGACAGGGTTTACAATCCTCGGGGGCTCCTCCATAGGTTCCCTGATGACACGTAGTGCACTGATATGTTCTATAGCCTGTTTTTTCACAGCTGAATCCGGCTCGAATCAATAGATTGCGTTCCTCCTTCGTCACGGATAGTGTTTGAACAAAATCAGTCCCGACCAAATTTCTGCATAGTTTTAATGAATAGATACAATTATGTTTCAATGCAATTCATAATTTAGCACTTCATTAATACAGAAAATGCAATGAACACAAAACAATCTCAGCTCACTGTGGTAGGGCTGAGGCGAGGACTGTGGTTAATTATGGAAGGCCAAAAAAAAAAAAATACTCGGTCTCTGGTCAGCGCGCGCGTCGATTTTAATCATGCGCGTCAACCTTTTTTTTCCCCTTCAAATTAACACGGAAGCTACAACAGCGCCCTCTATTGTTGCACCTCCTCAAATATTTGTACCAAGGAGCACCAAGAAATGGGGAAATTGCACCAAGGCAAATGATAAAGGGCACCAAGGCAAATTATGGAGGACACCAATGTATAATGAGGACACAAAAAAGCAAAATAGTACCCACCTTGTCAGTACAATTCAAGCTTGAAAAAAAAAAAAAAAAAGCCAACCAAAAAAAAAAAAAAACCTGCGTCGCCGCATCAATTCAGGAACTTCGGTCTGACCAGAGACCGATTTTTTTTTTTTTGGCCTTATAGGATGAACTTTGTGCCCCCCATTTTTTTCTAATTCCCAAGTCCTCCAGAGTTAGGTCATGCACTTTCTTAGAAATGGGTTGGTTGCTTGGCAGCTCGTGTGGGCGGTTGGTAGCAGGACTTGCAACCAACCACAAAAGTCCTTGAGGAGAAACTGTATAAATTCGGTGGCCAGTGAACTTTCCCTTCACTTGACCACCGAACTGCAATTAACAGAGACAGGTAGATGGCAGCACCCAGCTCCACTGTTTAAACTGTCTCTGTAACCCTCCAACTGAACCTGCGGTATACATATATACATTCTCTGTCCTGCTCTAGGTGAGTTTGATAATACTTGTATCTTACTTTTACTCCTAGGTTAAAGTGTTTATTCTTTACTCAAAGTTTAGACCAAGTCGTCATAATGTTGTTATTATTTCTATTATGTTCCTTTTATGCCATCACTATATTTTAAGTTGAGAGTGTTGTTAAGCTTGATAGATGAATATTGAGTTCTTAGACATTCCAACTTTGGCCAATTTCCACTTGAGAAGTTCTTACTGCAGTTGACATTTTTATTGTTTCGTTGTTGTCATTTCTTGAAGCAAGCACAATTTTCTTTTGAATGTTTGATGCATTAATTTTCTCATAACCTGATTTGAGAAGTAGCCATGTTCTCTGAAAGTAGAACAAATTCCAAATTGATCGATTCCCTAAATTGTTTGATTTTCTATGATTGATCTGAAAGTTTATGTACTCCGATTTGCTATTTTTGTACTAAAGACTTGTGGCGACTCTAGTCTAAATGAAGTAGAACTTAAGAAAGAAGAGTTTGTAGGACTACAAGTACAAAAATAATGATTTATTATTATGAACATCCTTGGATTATTCAGTTAACTTTTTGGCATATGAAAGACAATCAGCATCTAATAATCATTCCCAGTTACTTTTGATTTAAGTGAAAAGAGGAATAATTTCCTTAGTACAAATTCTGTGAATTTGTAGTTCTCTTTGATCATTTGATAAGTGTATTCATTTTACTTGATATATCTAGCATAGCCTTTTAAGTTTTATCTAGTTTAGTTTATTCCAGTAGCTAGCATTTTCTTTATTTTCTTTATATCCAAGTTTCAAGTTTTCAATCTTCGATATTCCTTTTTGTTTTAAGATTAATTTGATTATTCAGGACCTTGGTATTTTCCATCCTGGTCAACTTTTTCTTTCTTATTATGAGTCATTCGTATTCCCTGAATTGTTTTAAGTGTTATGATGCAACAGGTGTAACCTTGTCATGCCTGAGGCATTGGTCTTGGTATAATGTCCTTGGGGGTATCTTACTCACTTCCGGGTAAGACCTACCTGCATACACACTAGTGGTAGAGGGCATTGACCAGCGCTGGTGACCATGACAACGGTACACACAGCCTATTGTTTAAAGGGACTTTTGACTTTTGCTTATTTGAAGATTCTATTTACTAAGTATTTTATGAAGTTGATATTTATATTGACTTGACCACTGAACTGCAATTAACAGAGACAGGTTGTTTGGCAGCAACCAGCTCCACTGTTTAAACTGTCTCTGTAACCATCCAACTGAACCTGCCATATTCATGTATTCATCCTCTGTCCTGCTTTAGGAACGAAGGACACGACTGCTTTATAACTGTACAGTTGAGAGCTTTTGCATTTATCAACTGACAGCTAGAGAAGGAGTATAGACATATCCTTTTGGACCCCTTTCGTCCAGTCGTCTTTATCTCATTGTTTAAAGCATTGAGAGTCTTCATGTAAAGTCTTCAAGTTTCCCTTAGCACCGAGTCAAAGAATTCCGCCAAGCTAGTTTTACTTTTTCCGACAAATCAAGTCAAGTCAAGTCAAGTCTCCAAGTCAAGCAAGTCCCGTCAAGTTCCGTCAAGTCAAGCAAGTCCCGTCAAGCAAGTCTACAACAACGGATCAAGATAGGCCCTTTAGTCTCTCTTTTATATTCATATAACCGGTAAAAATTAATTGTGTCGGCGTATATGCATTTGACTATATCATGCCCGCTACACATAATGCGACTAAACTCACTCAAACGCTTGAGATTGCTGCTTGAGTTTGTGCCACATCGGTGGACATTGATCCCTAACCGAATATTAATTGAGACTTACATATTGAGGTCAGACCTGGTGAAAGGAACTCTCCTGAGTGTGCTGCCAATGGATCTGTGGAAATTGAATGAGCCGATGATTAATGATAGATAGCAAGATCAATCTGTTCTTTGGGACGCAACTGACATAATCGAGTCCGTTGTTGATGAAAAGATGTTTCTGTAGAAACAGAAAGGATATGCCGTGCAGTCGAGTGTAGTTATGCTGGCACGCTAGCGTAAAATAAAGTATGAATGCCAAAAGATGCATACCCCATGCACGCCCCAAAATGGAGTGTTTTTGTCCTAACGAATTTTCAATTGGCATGTTTTGTTTGAACGAAATCTATTTTATTCCGATTGTTTAGGTGTTGGGTTATGAACCCACAACCTATTGTTATTGGCGTCTGTATTTGTCTCAACAAGGTCTTTCATATTGTGCACAAATAACCCGCCCTGCGAGAGCAAAATTGTCTTTCAGTAGAACCTTGCTAGTAACTAGGGCGCTAGAAGTTATTTTCAGGTGTTGGGCTTTAGCCCAAAACCTATTGTTTTTGCTAGGATTTTTAGTTGTTTTTTTTCTATACACATTCCTTCTCCAGAACTGTGTGTCAAAATGAAACATATATGAACTTCAATTGTCAATACATGAATGCACAACCTACCGCAGATGTGCTTTTTTGGAATTACGTAATCATGACGTCATCACGGGTCACGTGACGTCACTTCAAAGTTTAATAAATTTAATCTTTGAAATTCCATATATTAAAATCAACCGTGAGAGACCGGAACCTGAAATTTGCGGGAATCGACATGGTAATACATGATCTTCATTTTATTTTGTGCGCGTAAAATCACGTGACCCTTCCTTCCAGTCGAAACCGGAAGTGCCTAATAATTTGAAAGTGGAAAAGATATGAACTTGCTTGTAACGATTGAAGTGTCTTCCTGGATTGACCTTTCAAAAAAAATAATAGTTGACGCCATGAAGTGTTGGAGCGCCCTCTAGCGGCAGGTTAAAAAAACGTCAGAAACGCATTTTCACTTGATGTCTGTGGCGAGGTTTGCGGTAATCGCTTCAAAATTAATGTACATGATGACCATAATGCAGACAACACCTGTGCGCGAAAAAAAATTGAAAAAAAAATTGATTACGTCATCAGACCGGAAGTTACAATAAAAAGACCTTTAAACCTTCAAAAATTGCTAGAAAATATACCGTGATAGATATAATCAAGATTTGGCTGTATATAGCACAGTTAAAATAGCTCTTGAACTTTCTGGTAATGACGTCATAATGACGTCATCAAGTATCAGGTTTCTAGATTCAATCTTTGAAAATCAATATAAAATCAACTGCTACAAATTTGATTTTGTTTTTATGGCAATCGATACAATATTGCAGGGTCTTCAGTTTTGGTATTAAATGCAAAATCACGTGACCCTTCCTTCCGGTCGAAACCGGAAGTGCCTTATTATTTGAAATTGGCAGAAGATGCGAACTTGCTTTCAACGATTCGAGTGTCTGCCTAGGCAGTACTGTACAACAATTTTACAGGTGACGTCAACAAATGTTAGAGCGCCCTCTGGCGGCATGTTGAAAAGTCAAACATGGATTTAAACATGCATATTTTGAGTTGATGTGTGTGGCAAAGTATCAGTTTTATGAATGACACGTTAGGAGATAACATACAGAGATCATCGCTTATTGCGAACCGCGTGTGGTATTTTCACACCATCAACGGATTCTTGCTCATTGTGAACTATCATATCACTTCCTATGAATTCACTTGTCCATGTTGACTATACAGGGTGAGTAAGAAAACGAAACCCAAATGACAGGACCAATTTTTGAATGAAATTTTGCCTGTAGCACTTTCAAAATCTAGATTATGAAAGCCCAATCAATGCGCTTTCTTTTAGTCCAACAAAAATTCAAATCACTCATATACTGTTCAAGTTACAGAATTTTGAACACGAACGCTCTTACATAAATTTAAAGTTCTGTCCACGGATCACAAAAAAGGTAAGTGTTCTATCAGCAAAAAGAAAACAATTCACATGCATCATGAGAATTGTTTTCGTTTTGCTGAAAGAACATTTACTTTTTTGTGATCCGTGGACAGAACTTTAAAACTGTGGTTGTGTTCAAAATTCCGTAACTTGAAAAGTACATAAGTGATTTGAATGATTCTTGTACTAAAAGAAAGCTTAATGACTAGGCGTTCATATCCTACATTTTGAAAGTGCTACAGGTAAAAATTGGTCCTGCCCTTTGGGTTTCTTTTTTTTTACTCACCCAGTATGATGCATATATGCACTTGCGCTTCCTTAACGCTACCTTCGACTTTCCTTCGAATTTATCGACGTGCGTTGTTATTTGGCAATCGTATCGACCTATGAACACCGAAGAACACACTGAATTTCTGCACTTGTTACGAGAAAGATGGCAATCGAGCACCGTCAAAAGAAGGGTAATTTTTTTACGTATTTCCGTTTGACATATATTACGTAATAATGTCGAGGGCGCCCTCTACACATGCCACAAGGTGCTTCATTTGCGTGGACGGAAATGTCTGATTTAGCTTCACAATTTCTGGGTCGTTTTTCAAAACATCTTATGATACATTTTTGTATCCATGTTTTTGGTCAATTTGTATACACAAATAACTACAACAGTACAAGGCTGTTAACCGAATGCACTTTCTGAACTATTAAACTGTGAACACCATTATTTTTCTGTACATAGAATCTATATTGTATTGTTATTTTCACGGCTGCGATTCAAAGCCACATCATACCACTGACAGATGGCAGGTTGATATTTTTACGACGTTATTGTGCTTGTGATTTTTTTATGACCATGGATTTAGTTGAGCTTTTCTCAAGCTATACCGTGGTATTTCCTTTTTGACATGTCTGGTTATTGTTGCAAGGAGAATAATAGCTTTCTACCTTGTTCACACACCGGGAATTTTAGTGATTAATGATCCTGAAACCACACTGCGTGCAGCAATGCCTCTCCAATTGTAACTCCACTTTTATTTAGTACGCGTGACCCACGTCGGTTAGTTGAGGATTAAGGGGGAAAATACCCCCATCTTCCGGCTTATGACAACGAATAGTTGATATGATTTATTGAGCCGAAATGGCATACAGCATGAAGGTAAAATAAAACAACGATCTTGCACCTTTTAAAAACTGGTGCAAATCCACAATGGGGAAAGTACACCCCAGAGTTAATGAACCCATCAACTTGTGAACACCTGTTTACGACAAAGTAGTTCTTAAAAGTGAAACATTTCACTTACAGGTCAACATGTCTCATTTACACCATTTTGTACACGGACCAAAAGTGTTGAACATTGGTAGATTTTGGTTCAGCAGATATTTGTGTCTGCTGCATGGTTTGCATAAGTATATGAAATAACACAGACAAAGCACTTGCAACACGATCCGTTAGAATATTCAGGGGCGGATCTAGCTCTCAGGAAACGGGGGGGGGGGGTGATATAAGGGGTGGATCATAGGCTATAAGGCACACCCTGCTGAGGGGTTCGGGAAAATCCCCCCCCCCCCGGAAAATTATTTTGAAATCTACGATACCTTCTCTTGCATTCTAAGGCAGTTAGAGAACAAATTTAGGAAATTTAGCATATTCCATTCATTATTTTTGGCTTTTATGTTTTTCTTTGAGCGCCCGGTGGGGACCCATAGAAGATACAGGATAGAAGATATCATCTGGTCGCTGGGAAAACAAAATTCTGGCAATTATTTTTCTTTCAAAACCCGTATTAATTGACATTAATGCATGGGAATTCCCTCGGGTGTTGTCAGCCGTTCGTTTTTGACGTGCAGGTTTGACCCCCCAAAAAAAACACCGAGTGGTTTTTTTCTCACGTGCAAAAAATGATTGCGAACTTGCCAAACATGCTCAGTATAATATCGCAGTGTCCGTAAACTACGAGGCGAGAGATACAACCACACCGGATCAGTCTCCTCCATCTACGCCAGTCGTTTCCCGGTTACCCTAGCTGTCGTGGGGTCAGTCTGAACGAGCGCCACATTCAACAGGAGTTGTGAATTGCTTGTTTTTTCTTTCTCTCCGATTCTCCCACGTCGACAAAAAAAAGATACGAGGGGAAAAAATGGCATCCACTTGTAAGGGAGGCTGTTGGATATCTACCGTGGGCGACACGCAAGTGATCCTCATCTGTCTTCCCCCCCCCTTTTTTTTTGGGGGGGGGATTGAGATAAATAAAGCTTATCAGTTAGAGCGCAACACGACCCCGACTGGCCGGGGCCGAGACCTCCACCGGTTGACGCGGCCGTGTTGCGCCCCGTCTAGCCGGTTGACCACGCCATCAGCAAATGATTTCTTCGTTGTGTGGTTTGAATTTTGATAACCATTGTTCCCTTTTCCTCAAGTTTCTGACAAATTGGTGCTTCTTTCCTGTACAGTACACAGATCTGGAAAGAATGATGGCATAATTATCATGTTATCGTTCAATTTTATTCCGTCAAGCTTTCGAACTGTTGGACGATTGCAAGGTTCTTTTCTGTTACTACAAAATGTTGGCCTTTTTTACAGCAGCGATATGGTCATCGAACTATCTTGCGAGTTTAGTGGCTACAGTTCATCAGTTATTTTTTTGTTTTACCTTATTGGACACTTGCCAACACCGAAAATACAAATCAAGCAAAACCTTTCAACAAAGATGTGCCTTTTTAGCTTTGGGTTGCGTTAAACATTTTCCAAGGAAGACTCTGTTTGGTGTTTACTATGCTTATTTTCCAAATTACTCGCTACCCAAAATACTCCACGTACGGGGAGTACTTCGGTACGGGCCCAGAGAGACGGTGATGTCGCTTTAAGGCGAAGTGTCATCGACGATGTGTACCAACGATACGGTAACACAATGGTAACGTGTAGGTTGTTCTCGTTAGGCCCAACACCTACTATTATTCTATGAGTTCACTTTTCTTGTTAGGTGTTGGGCGTCAAAGCCCAACACCTATTGTTATTGTAAGAATTCTACTTTTTTTTTTTTATTCAAGACACTTTCGTTTCTAGAACTGTTTGGCAAAATGAAAACATATATGAACTTCAATTGTCAATGCATGAATGCACAATCCACAGAAAATGTGTTTTTTTTGTAATTACGTCATTATGACGTCATCATGGGTCACGTGACGTCACTTGAAAGTTTAATAAATTTAATCTTTGAAATTCCATATAAAATCAACCGTGACAGACCGGAACTTGAATTTTGCTCTTCATTTTATCTTGTGCGCGTAAAATCACGTGACCCTTCCTTCCGATCAAAACCGGAAGTGCCTAATAATTTAAAAGTGGAAGATGATATGGTTTCGACCGGAAGGAAGGGTCAAGTGATTTTGCACTTAATACCAAAAATAAAGACCCTGCAATATTTTATCGAATGCCATAAAAAACAAAATCAAATTTGTAGCAGTTGATTTTATATTGATTTTCAAAGATAAAATATGGAAATATTTATTTGCTTGTAATATGACACTTGATGACGTCATTGTATCCAGAGCTATATTTACTCTGCTATATATAGACAAATCTTGATTATATCTCTCACGGTTGATTTTTTAGCAATTGTTTAAGGTTTAAAGGTCTTTTCTTTATAACTTCCGGTCTGATGACGTCATCCATTTTTTTTCGCGCACAGGTCTTTTCTGCATTAAGTTCATCATGTATGTTAGGTTTGAAGCGATCACCGCAAATTTCGTCACATATCAAGTGATAATCAACATGAACAATCAACATTAACATCAACAATCAACATCAACAATCAACAGCAACATCAACAATCATCAGCAACATCAACAATCAACATTAACATCAACAATCAACATCAACAATCAACAATTAACATCAACATCAACAATCAACAGCAACATCAACAATCAACAATCAACAATCAACATTAACATCAACAATCAACAATCAACAGCAACATCAACAATCACTAATCAACAATCAAAATCAACATCAACAATCAACATTAACATCAACAATCAACGTCAACATCAACAATCAACATTACTATCAACAATCAACAGCAACATCAACAATCAACATCAACAATCAACAACCAACATTAACAATCAACAATCAACATCAACAATCAACAATCAACATCAACAATCAACAATCAACATCAACAATCAACATTAACATCAACAATCAACATCAACAATCAACATTACTATCAGCAATCAACATCAACAATCAACATCAACAATCTACAATCAACATCAACAATCAACAAAAGAACAACGTATGAGAACGACCGACCAAAATTTGCAAAAAGAGAGTTCTCGTGTCACATTACTGGGTCTTATCGAATTTTGTGAATCCAATAACTAAACGTCGGTGGATTTCTTTTGTTCAATGTAAAGTGAATACTTTTTATACCGCTAGGAAATTAGCAATTGAAAAACAAAGCTGCTATATTTCGAGGTGAAATCCGAAAATAAGTTTCAAATTAAGTATGAAACTGCTCATCATGTAAATTGCGACACAGCAAAATATAAGTACGATGTTAAATCACTTCAATGTCCTGCAATAATTATGCAAAGTATATACTCACACGTTGCAGCGAGGTCCTAAATCTTGCCAAACCGAATCAGCAATAACTTCGACGTCGTTACCGTAAAGAGATCTGAGACGAAAGCATGTGGATTAACAATCTTAAAAGGTTTTTTTTTATATATAAAAACCCATTTTTTAACGGATACACAGTTCAATGAATACTGTTTGGTAATCAAAATCATAAAGAGAATTGTTTTTGCACTTCGTTTTCATTGGAACTCACACAAGCAGAAGCGAATTGGCTCTCGTCATAAACGGCCTGGCTCCAATTGAACGCAACTCCGCGTTGAACAAGTAACTATTGAAAGAAACCAAACCGAGAACACAAACTAGTTGATATACCTTATGGTCAAATGGACACGTGGATATTTGCACCAATTGGGTCCAAGCGATGTGTATATGGGGCATTTTTATTCAAACTGTCCCATTAAGTTATCTATAGGAAGTGAAGAGTTTAATCACCAAATTCCTTGCTAGGACTACTCACAGGTTTACTAGCTGCGTATCAGAAAACACTCGCTCATCAATTTCGGTTATTGGGTTGTCAGCAATCATTCTGCAAACAAAAGAAGTAAAACTTCTTCATTTTGATCGATACCACAATCTTGACTTGTTAAAGGCATATATATTTGCAAAATTAACCCAAAATTAACCTACCGAATTATCATCAAAAAGCTTACTTGATTTAAAGATCGTACTGGTACTAAACACCCCGTGAAATAATTCCGTCGGGCTTGCTGTCATTTAGAAGAAATCAAGAAATGTAGGAAATTTCCAACGATCAGTTAGTTGAGTGATTTTGGAAATTAAGAGTTAGAAATGATGACATCGCGTTTTGTGATTACAAGGTTTGCATGATTTTCACTGTTTTTTCGAGACGTGTGGTATCTTCCTAGCTGAAACTTCAAGAGGTTAGGTTTATAACATTCTACTTTGAATTTTGGATATTAGGTAGTGGTATTATTGGAAACAAAATGCATGGACAGCAAGTGAACTTATAAAGCTCAAGTTTGGTTTTGATATTTCCATTCACATTTGAGTTACATCACAGAGACGTCATTATAGGTTTTCCCGGCTATTTTTAAACGTTTATCGTTTGAATTCACCGATCCTATTATTCAAAATCGTCGAGCATAATCGATTTAGTGCACCTCGAATGTTTAACTTCATCTTTTCGTTAGACAATTTCAAATTTAGTTCAAGCAAATTAAAACACTTTGTGTCCCAGAGTATTCGATATCGTCTCGTCTTTACAAAACTTTGTTATTCAGAAATCAATCTCGTCTAATGCACCATAATTAAGGTTTTTCCAGCTATTTTAACACTTTTATCACGCGAATTCCCAATATCGATACTTTAATTTAGCATTCCGATTCGTCCAAATTCTTTGAAATTCGTCTCGTGAAGCAATCGGCGTTGAATTGAAAAAGCAAATTCGTTTTTTGTCATTCGTTTTAATGTCTCTGGTGACTTAAAACATTACGATTAAAAATGTGCCAAATCTTTGGACTTGCAATGTTTGCGCATTAATAAAATTTGAATTTGTTACAAATATTTCATTATAAATGAAAGTATAGCGGTAAATTTTGAGTTTTCTTTTACAATAAACATTAAAATCAGAAATTGAACTTTCACAATATGCTCTTTGCTTAGCATATGGAAATTAAGCATTAAGATCAAACACCTTCGTAATGTTGCTCTTTAATATATGTATATGAATAAAACAACAGAAATAAGGTATGTCTATCAAAAAACAACATTAAGAAGGTTTTTGAACTTAATGCTTAGTGTCCATGTCATTTCGGTGCATATTGTGAAATGTCAATTTTTGACTCGAATGTTAATTGTGAAACACAGCAATAATAATTCACGCCTTACAGCAAACTACTTTTATTTATACATATAAGGAAATATATGTTGAGTTATCATTGTTTTAATTCGCATAATTCTTCAAATAAGTCTAAATATTGGGCGCATCGTATACGATTTAAGTCACCAGGGACGAAAAGTAATGACAACAACATGAAAACGATTGACAAAAAACGAATTTGCTTTGTCAATTCAATGCCGATGGCTTCACGAGACGAACTTCACAGATTTTGGACGAATCGGAATGCTAACAATTTAAATTATACTGAACCTTAAATGAAATCTAGTGGTGGCTTTCTGAAATTCAAATTGAGAAGTGAGCTTGGCGATGTTCGGGGATGAAATTAAAGTATCAATATAGGGAATTTGTGTGATAAAAGTGTTAAAATAGCTGGGAAACCTATAATAACATATACGAGGACATTTAAGAGTCTCCATTCGTGTTTTTAGACATTTCCGTCTTTCATTTTGACACTTATTTTTTTCGATTATTTATTTAAAGCATTTTGCTTTGTTGATCTTGGTAATCTTTACTACACTGTTTTGGCAACTGTTCTTTGAGTTCAGTACTGTACTTGGTCCGTGAATGAGCCAAATTGTACTGAGGAAAACAACCGGACTTACTTAACAAGAGTTTTTAATTAATTGATATCACACATTCGATGTCTGAATGCTGCTAACAGCTTAGACGAATATGATCTGCAATGACGAATATTCTCGACCCAGTGTTTAAAGAGGGTGACCAAACTTTGAAATTAAATGACTAAATTGGTTTTGGTAAAAGCGTGCAAAAAGTTTCTCGGATGAAATTGATTGTTAGACTTGATGAATTTAAATGAAAATAGCCGGGAGAACTTATATTATCGATGTTTTTAGTTCACAAATATTAAGCTTGTTGCTTTAGAAGGTTGTTAAATTTGTAATTATGAACATATTCTAAGGATATAACAAAAGGTAAGAATATGTATTATTTAAAAATTGTGCTGTCGGTAAAATATTGACTCTTGTTTTTTTTCACTTGTAATATCACTTACAAAGTCCTTAAGTTCTGAAGTCCAACAAACATCTCCCTTCTGAGAACTCTAATGAAGTTTTGGTGGAGATACAGAGTTCGAAGTTTCCGCTGAAAACGCAAAAGTCCATCCGGGATGCTTGACAAATCGTTTGAAGACAGATCTCTGTGAAAAAAGAAAGAATATAATTCAGATGATTCAAAATGATATTTTTAATCTATTTGTTAAGAAACAAAACGGAGTCGGAGCTGGGGGGTTGGGGCTTGAACCCCCAAACCCTCTCTGGATCCGCACCATGCGATTTGTTAGTACATTTATATTTTCATTTTAGCTAATATTTGACCAGGAAAAAAAAGATCTTTGAGTGAAGTTCATACAATGAACCTACAATAACTTACAGGGTGCCGAACACAGTAACGTTGGCAAACAGGTCTTCGGGCAGAGATGCAATGTTGTTGGAACTTAGAAATCTAGTACGAAACAAAATTAGATTTTACTTTAGCATATTTCATTAATTTCACGAGATACTACAAAGCTTCTTATTGCACCACTGACACACACTGATGACAGACAAGCAAAGTACATGAATGCACAACCCTATTGGGCAGTGAACCAGTCAAAATTTGAATTATGGTGTTTTTTTTTCAAAATTGACTGAACAGTAATTCACATATTAAGGTACAGAAAATGAAAAATTCAAGACGAAAATAAAATTCGTTTTCACCGCTAAGAAAAAGAAGAAGACGTTATCTTGATTGTTTTAATAGGTTCCATGCAGTCAGCAGAATCAGAAAAGAAAAATGTTTTACTGGCAATTGACCTACGGCAGTTTGCGAATTATCCACGCCCCTTAGACAACCCTATGGTTATTTGTTTGTCTCAGATTTTGCACGTTCCGCGTCCATTTGTATAATCATGTATATATTTGACAATATTTCACAAGCTGCGTTGACGAGATTCTACCGCGATAGGTCAATTATATTTCAAGTCTTGGCGTGACCATCTTTCCACGGTGAACAGATTGTCAATCAATTTTTAGGATTGTGTCCACATTTCAAAAATATGTATCAACGAAGAACACTTATTTGTCGGTATCATCTAATGCCCCACGTTTCATACTTATACCTTTAAATGGAATGTACAACATTTGCTTTTGCTGCAATTTTCAAAAATAAATGGACTGGGAGGATTAGTATGTAATAGCAAACATTGTTTCACGTTTTTGGTCCGGAGATGTCCGAGAAAACCAACCATGTTCTTGTAGTCTGGTTCCCTGACCCCACTTAAGATGAAACGGAGCAATTTATAGACTTTGGGGAATGGTAAGATCAGAGAATCAGTCTAGCACGCTTGTACCCCATCACAGGTGAGTAATCAATTGCAAAGAAAGTGCGGCAAACTAAATGTGAACATTTAGGAGCAGTTTACAAAAACAGTCAGTTTTCTCCAAAGCTGGTCGCCGGGCCGACCAGCGTTGGAAAAAAAAAGTTTTCTTGAAATTGTCAGCACACCAGGAGCCACGATTTTATAGGATGCTTTAGACTGTCATTCTTTAACAATCCCGTCAGGCATTTTGTGATAATTTGATCATTTTGTGTTTTGAAGTTTGCAAATGTTGTATCTTCCCTTTAATTGCATATCAACATTATTTTATTTGATATTGAAATAAAACATAAGATTATACTTACACCTCTTGTACGCCTTTCACTCCGAGTAATGCATCGGCAGCCACATGTTGAATTTTGTTTCCACTGAAATCCCTGTAAAAAAGAATAATTCATATGAGCATCTCTGCCAATAAACAACAATTTTGTTAGTGATAGGATTGATTACACTAACCAGATAGAAGACGGTAGTGATCGATAGCGGATTGCAATCGTGTCGTTATAGGGCGCCCAATCGATTGTGCGCCCTATAACGACACGATTAGACCAGTTTGCCAGCTCTTACTAGCCATGGACAATTGTGCGAGGGCACTCTACAACAATCACCAGCGATGCTCTGCATTGAGCATTATCAATCTTGGGCCAAGACTACTAACCGACCAGCCAACCCAACCTCCCATTTTTTTTCTCCCCATCCTCTAGAAGATAATAATAAGATAACTTTTACCAGACTTACAGAGTCAGTATGTGATGTTCTTGGCCTGGACGATAGAAGAGCCTTGAGGGAATCTCCAACAACTCGTTGTTGTAGATTTTTCTATCAAATCAATAAATACATGCATTTGAATACTTTTATTTCCCATTAAAGAAAAGTTTGTAAGAAAAACCGCTACCGCGTTTCATTTCAAATACCGTACATCCAGGACGAAAATGAAATATTTATGAGCTAACCAATGTTTCATCATCATCATTCTCCTAATCCATCATGGGGCACGTTGAGTCGCCCAGATCAGGCGATCATTAAAGAAAAAGGAAGATGCAGACTGCCACAGCTGTTGTGCACGTGTCTTGTGGTCAACTTCTAGCTGCCGCACCCATTGTGTTGCGAGGTCGGCCCCTGGGTCTCTTCCAGGCAGTGTCAGGCTGGAGTCCCCCTAGTACGTGGACAAGGGCGGCATGGGCTGGTATGTCATCCGGTAGCCATTGGACGTGACTAAAGAGAGAATGACGCCCTTTACCGGTCAATTCGCCTCGTGGAATGGAACATTTCGTCTGTCACCTCATGAAATTTTTCGTACCATTGCACTCACAAACTTAATAACGACTATACTTACACACGAATGTAGAAGGAACCTCCACTAAATGTGTATGGGCTGATGCTTCTGATACTATTATTAGATGCGCTGAAGTCAAGTCTGTAATACCCAAAAGAAAAAGGAAAATATGCCGTTTAATTACACATACTTCCCAAAAGACTGATAGAATCATAAGACAATAAACGTAATAGATACCTCGTTCCTATATGGCTTTTGAGTAATACGCTTCTACCAGCTAGCTACTCTTTCCCCTGTAGTTTATAAGAGGGTGTAATGTTAACGTTAGTACAAGGGACGTGGGACATTCAACCCCACTGTTTGTCTGGTTGTTTGTTGGGGTGTGGGCTGTTTGTTTGTTTGTTTGTTGGGGTGTTGGGGTTGTTTGTTTGTTTGTTTGTTTGTTTGTTTGGGGTTTTGGGGTGGGGAGGGGTATTGACAGTCACATCATATGGCAATGGCAATGGCCGTCAATAATTTCCCCCACATTTTTTAAAATAAACATCAACATAATTTCCTAACCAAACCTGCATCTGGTTTAAAAATGATGAAATATCTAAAATACGGCCTACCTGACACCCTTTACCGGTCAATTCAACAGTGATACTGTGAGAATGGGCGTAAAATGGGCATAATGTACAAGTTAATGCACGTTGCCGGGAACTGCATACTTGTTGTATGCAGTTCCCCATCACTGCACTATATAAGAAGATCCCCAGCCTTTCGAAAGTGACATTTCAAGATTGTGTATATATAAAGCCCCTAAAACCTTGTCTCGGTTATGATATCGCTGAGGGGAGCATACTTATAACATTAAGTTAAGAAATCATCATAATCAAGTCGGCCATCAAATGGGTTTATGATGTGCTGGGGATCGAATGGTGAAATGAGCAGCTCCATTCTCATTGAAGTGTCCCATTTATAGCACAGCGTCTCCCCATTAGCCTCTCCTAATCAAATCCTGTCTTCTCGCGCTGACCCTGTTTTTACAAGACAGAGGGTATAGGCGGGCCCCTGTCGCCTAAACCAGGTGTTTTGGCATGTAGAACTCGTTAGCCTTGGCGTAGCAGTCTGCCTACGAGAGGGGCAACTGATCACAAACCTGGGTATAGGTAGAACTTAGCCTTGGTCGGCAGTCTGCCTGTAGGGCTGGAATCCTGATCCAACTTATCCAACTGGTGTTTCAAAGTTTGTCATTGGTTTGATAGAGGCTAGGGAGGGGACCCAACTATCTTCACGGCTCAGATGAGGACTTGCGAACCTCTCGGCTTTTAATTTCGCATCGTAAGGCTTATTAAGGCTTACCCAATGACAGATCCACCGACACCTTTCATCATGTCTGGAGTCAACTCCGTCAGCCCATTCATTGACAGATCCCTACAAGGTTTAATAAGTAATCATGTTGACATTAGGTACTACGCATGGAAATCGAAAACAGGTCAAGAGGTTCCTAATAATCATATAATCGCATTGAGACGGGGGGGGGGGGGAGTGATATTGAATGAAGGCGTGCCCCTGCTATAGGGGGTCGGGGCACGCCCCTCCCCCATTCTAAGGAAATTTTTCAATAACTTTGAGAACTTTAAGTCGATTGTTTATTATGTTGGCCCCATTTTACTAGACTAGGTATACAAATTGTCAGCGGCTGAACTGCCAGTGTAGCCTTAATTCAATGGCATTTTTAAATCTCAAAAGCAACAATCATTACTATGAGAAAACTATAGAAAACTGTAAGCAGCTTTAGCCTATTGGTGCAGCGTCAAAAATATGAGATGTCAGAATCAAACAGAATAAAACATTAAGAATTTTTTTTTTTTTTTTAAATTCATGGACATCTTCAACTCGTACCTCTGGGCATCAGTCTCCCTTGCGATAACTGAATTTAAAAGGAAAAATCGACTTTGAGTGAAAATTTGCAAATAGTCCAGGCAGTAACCCGTGAACACACAATAGTAATTATCTGTCTGTTTGCATCAAAGGGCGTAATACTTAACAGATTTTATGACTGGTATAGAAAACTGCACGGCAAGTAACAACATAAATGTTTCTGGACATTGCATAAAAAAAAACTTACAGGCGGATTAAGCTGGTAAGGCCGCTAAAAGCTCCTGACTCGATGGCAGATATCTGATTGTTCGCCAAATACCTGGCATTGATTAAAATACAAAAAGGTCACCTTATTGCGCATTTTCCCCAGATAATTAAACAAGCATTGAATATGCCGTTTTAACAAGTTTAAACTTCTTATTAGGAAAAAATTGAGTTGGTTTATGACTTGGTTGAAAAAATTGTAATTTTTTTTTTATCTTCAGCACAGCATAACTACAGATTAATTTAAAATTGCCTCCGGCGCTCTTCAATAAATGTGATTTGTTTTCAAAATAAAAAGAATCAATTTCAGTTTTCTCGGCTACTTTAAAACAGTTTTCAGTCCGATTCACCAATTTTAATATTCACATTCGTCGTGGAGGAATTTCACGTGTTTTTCGTAAAATAAGAGTATTCGTTGCTACAGACCAAATTCGCCTTAGCTATTGCTAAAATAATGACAGCATTCAGAGATTAAATTCGTCTGTCAATCAATTTAAAACGTGTGTTATGCGTAAACTAGTCTGGTGTGTGTGTATTTTCATTATGTCATCGAGCACAATTTGGAACATTTGTTCGCATCATGTTATCAGATCAAGATGATTTTCCTAGCAGTTACCAAAAGAAAAGGCAATTTTGGACCCCCAAATCAAATTTCGTCCTTTTTCCTAAAAATGTTCACACAACACAAAGTACCCATCAGAGTCCAGAAATGAACACCATTTGGCACATTCGTTCGCATGATGTTATCAGACTAGAAGATTTTCCCAAATCAGAGCAGTTACCAGAAAAACAAATAAATATATGACCAAGAACAACAAAACATAATTTCTAACATAATTTTAAATGTTTTGAAACAGTAAACATAGTGTTAAAATGAAAGAAGAAAATGCCACAAACCAGTGGTGCACACGGGGGGGGGGAGGCCTCGGGGTGCTTTAGCCCCCCCCCCCCCCGAAGAAGTTTTCATTTTTTTTTGTCCCACGATTTGGCCTTGGTTATATGAATGTGGCCTTTGTTCGAGTAGTATAATAGGGGTGTAAGTGGCGTCACCAACGTCAAAATAGGCCGCCCTTCAAAAAAAACCAAAATAGGCCGCCCTTTAAAAAAAACCCCAATTTTTTTTTCTGCGGCCAAAAATTTGGCGCAAAATTGTTTGAAAAAATTCAACTTTTAACAAGTTTATAAAAAAAATTTTTTTATGAACCCCCCCCCAAAAAAACAAATCCTGGGTGCGCCACTGCCACAAACTAAGAGAGCCCATCGTTCTCTGTGTAACATGTATGCCCAAAACTGATTCAAACGCAGTTTTAAGAAGACAAAAGCAAAAGAAACAAACAATAAATTTATGAAGAAACTAAAAAAAGTGGAAAATTATTCTTATCAGCGGCCTGTATGCCTTCTACTGAAGATGTCACAATGAAGTATGACGAAAGTAAACAAGGTTTGGATTAAATTGGGTGGCATCAGTTTTCTGAATATCACGGTTCGGCGTAGACGAAACGAAATCGAATACTCCTGGACGAATATGTCAGCTCATGGTTTGAATTTGCCTCTACCAAAATCGAAATTGTATGAAAAAAGGACGAAATTAAATATTGAAATTGCACTAAATTGATTTTGCTGGACGAATTCGAATGTAAAAATCGTTGAATTGGAAAGGAAAACGTTTGAAAATGCCAGGAAAACCTCTTCTTATGTTTTATTTCAACGCCAAAAAAAATAGTTGCATTACCGCTTTTAGGGGTAAACATTTCTGTGAAAAAGTTCTTACTTTGGGATGATTAGCACCTCTAAAACACGAACGTAAACATCATTTATATGCAACGCAGTGTAAATGAGGTAATTTATAGGCAACACATGCACAGCGAATACAAGGTAATTAATAGCAACGCAGGGTACAGGATGGCCCCAAAAAAGTTTACACTTTTTCACCAGACGAAGATTTCTCAAAATTGAGGAGACATATTGAAATTGTTTTAAGTTATTCCTAAACTACAAGGTTTTGGCGGAATATAGTGGAAGTGGCATTGAAAATACCGCTTAAATTCAGAAACGACGGCCATTTGAGAAACGGTCAAAATCCAGTTTGTGCACATGTAAGTCTGTGAAACATAGTCAAAACAATTTCACTGCTTTCACAAAGAACTGCCATAACGATGACCACGCACCCATCTTTGTAAACACCGGCAATCGTGGACCCCCTATTGTCCCTTATCCTCATTCCTTTGTTTGTACTCCTACTTTTTAGCACCAGTTCTCATTGGTTTTGTACACGAATTTCAATCGTGGACTATCGATCAATCGTGGACCCTTTGTTTGTGCCCTAACCCTTTTGTCCCTAGTCCGCGATTGCCCGTGTTTACATACCCATGTATACACGCGTGTGGACTAACTGGCTTATGACCATTTTTTTGTATAGCGGCCATCATTGCTTAATTTAGGCTCTATTTTTAATGCCATTTTACACCATACGCCATATTTTAGGTACCTTCAATGGTACTATGTTTTATTAACCCGTTCATTTGTTTAATTAAACTAATAACGCACATATAGTTGCCAAATATGGCACTAACAAGTTTGAAGTCGGCAATTTCGTCTTAAAAAATATGGGTACGTCGGGTTATTGTACACACAATTGTCCTGGAGACAACAGTACCAAAGTACAGAAAGTCGTACGCAAGAGCTCCACAGCAATTATCGCTGACGCCATTATGATTCCAAAATTTCTCACTGTGTCACACAGTGAAATAACTAAACAGCGTCGTTGTATTGTGAACACATACAAGCATATAAGTCGCGTTCTTGCACACTTTATGCAAGTCAGCATAGATATCCTTGAACCACTGCCCCTGCTTTGCATAACAAGTGCACATGAATGAACGATTCGACTTTTATTCAAAGACATTTATATGTACAGTCACCAGACTCTATTCAGTAAAGTCCCCGTCAAAACGAAAGTAAACAATCCACTTGCATAATGCATGGCTATGTCGCCTTGCAGAAAGTGTGCAAGAACGCGACTTAAATGCTTTTATGTGTTCACAATACAACGACGCTGTTTAGTTATTTCACTGTGTGACACAGTGTGACATTTTGGAGTCATAATGGCGTCAGCGATACTTGCTGGGGAGCTCTTGCGTACGACTTTTTGTACTTTGGTACTGTTGTCTCCAGGACAACTGTGTGTACGGTAACCCGACGTACCCAGATTTCTAAAGACGAAATTGCCGACTTCAAACTTGTCAGTGCCATATTTGGCAACTATATGTGCGTTATTAGTTTAATTAAACAAATGAACAGGTTAATTAAACATAGTACCAATGTTGGTACCTAAAAGTAAACATAACAGCATAGAAGACCGACAGACGAACATAAAATGTTACAAAATAAACATATTGTCTGGATAATTATTTAGGACGTCACCGGCAAGTTATCACAAACTTGGTGTCAAATAGATCATGGGAGTTACTTTTCTTTGACTTTTCATACAAGTTTACATAAACTTTAACTGTATGACCTGCAGTGGCGTAAAAACTCAAAATCTCAGTGGGGGGGGGGGGGGGGCGTGGGGGGGGACAGCTCCCCATGAAACGTGGGGGGGGGGGGGACAGCTCCCCATGAAACCTTGTCGCCCCCCTCCCCCCACTGAGATTTGGAGTTTCTAAAAAAAAATCATTGATCTACATGACGCCCCCCATAAAATGTTCCAGCCCCCCCCCCCACCACTGAAAAAATCCTGGCTACGCCACTGCGGAGCTGCTCTGCAATTCATTCCTGAAATTATTGTTGCATTCCTTATTAGTTCATTAACTTTATATTAGAATCAACATTATTATCTATGATAACGAATTTGGCGGGAAACAGAGCTTTCACACAGTGACTTTATTGGTCAAGCTTTTCCTTGGTTTCAACACTGGTGACGGAGTCTCACAACATTAACTGGGGGAACCAAGTAAGCCAAAGATTCTAGCTGAACCGAGTGGGCACGGTACGAGCTATCGCTTCGCAGAGACGGCCGGAATGAAGCGGAAGCGGACCGCTACAGTCACGGGGAAGCAACAGCTGAACGGGGCCAGCGAGTGTACCGGATCACACTACAGTTCGAGCCATGGTGTGCATGGTCAACCGGGACCAGTGGCGTAGCCATGAATTTTTCAGTGGGGGAGGGGAGAGGGTGGGCGCTGGGGGAGAGGGGGCTGGAACATTTCATGGGGGACGTCATGTAGATCAATGATAATTTTTTTAGAAACTCTAAATCTCAGTGGGGGGGGGGGGGGGGGGGACTGGGGGCGACAAGGTTTCACGTAGGCTATACCCTAGGTCTAGGCTGTTCATTGGCAGACACAACTTTACGGTTTGTAATAAGCCTACTTACAACATAGCAAGCCACGTATGGTTCCGGAATGAATTTGTCTTCAGTGCTGTCAGCTCATTTTTATTGAACTTTCTGTGTAGAAAAAAAAACAGGATTTTCAAGAAATTTCGATAAAAAGTCGCTAATTATACAAGTATATAGATAACTACAAGTATATTACTTTGCAGATTTCTATGGAAAAAAGCTGGGAAAGAAAACATAAGAGTTGTAGGCCGAATGCAGCATTAGTGCATACATTAAATTTATATTCACATTACAATTTTAAATTCATTGGTTTCTACCCAAAAAGGGTTATATTTTGTTATTCATTACAATCTTGAATGGCACTTTTTATATTGAACTACAATTTTAGGCGGGATAGTTTCACAGGGTATATGATAAAAAAGGTCCTATCTTCACTTTGAGCAAGTGTTTTTTGGTCATTAAATCGGTGGGTAGGCCTACATTTATTTTCCGAGTAATTTCAAATGATTCTGCTAACTTTAAAGGGGTTGCACCCTAAAAAAAATAACGAGACACTGAAAAAACACCAATCGCTCCAGGCTACGTTATCATTTTTGTTTCACTTCAGCTTTTGAATTAGGAGAGGGACGCTTGTGTCCAGACGAACGTAAGTCGATATCCACAATCCACACTGCCTTCGAAATCCAGCCCTGAATTCATTCCATGCACATCAACGTCGTGCTCAGAGTGCAACCGTGCCATATAATACGCGTACCACTTCAGTGTGTGTACGTGTACGCATACTGCAAAGACTAGCTGCAGGCGCGACACCGGCGACATGGGCCAAGTCTAAATTCAGCTTAAGCAAGAAGAAGCAACATACAAATCTCTTAATTGTCAATGACATTTTTGGCTCTGAAGTCTAAATTAAAAGAAAACCGTTCAACGACATCATCAGCTTTGAAAATTCGTTCGGAAAAAAAATCAAACTTCATAGGGATACTTACTTTTCGCGGCTATTATATGCAATTGCACGTATGGATAGGGTGCAGGTGTACTATACTGAAATAAGCCTACTACTGATTTAAAACCACACGAGCTAACTTACAGCAAGGTTGTGTCATGTGGTATTCCGTTTGGCATCGATTTCAGACCTTTTCCATTGCAGTTTACAATTTTCTTAAAACTGTCACACTCGCAGACGTGACAGGCATCATCTTCTGTCGTTGCAAGACATAAAGGTAGTGTGCAGAGTAGAGCGAGACATAGCCAATGTATTCCTGGAGACTTCTCAGGCTCCTTGCGTCTCGTAATCTGCGCCATCACTGATGCGTCGGTCTGCACGGTTTAGGCTTATATATCACTTGTGTCTTGTTTCTGCTGAGGTTCTGGTTTAATGCTATGATAAGCATTGCGTCAAGGTTTTACTTCCGGTTGTGCTGCAACAATGAAAGTCCCTTTGTATGGTGTACTATAAAGGACACCTATCTGTTATCGTCGTGCGTGTGGACACTATTTGCAAACGTTCAAAAGTGAAACTGTCCAAACATCATGAAATATCCTACTTGATAAGTAAATAATAGAATCAAGCATCCTGTGATGCGTTGTTTCTCGTACAATAGCCAATGCTGTAGTTTCGGGAAAAGAGGAATCATAACCGATTCCTCGTGTTGGTTCGCGCTTTCAACACAAACTATATCACTCTTAACACTGAAATGTTGAATCCAACACTTAAGGTTCGGTGAGTGACCTCGCTTTGAAAGTATTAAATCTAGCATTGTAAATGTTAAATTAAATGTAAGTGTTTATTCAACTTTTTTCAAAGTGTTAAGTTTGAAAGTGTTGCATCCACAACTGTTGAATTAGCAGTTTAAGCGTTGGATTTAACAATTTAAAATATGCTGGATTTAACACTTTCAAAGTGTGGTCACTGATCGATCATGTAAGTGCTGGATTCGTTATTTCAGTTTAACATGCTTTGCGTTGAGAAAATAATCTTAAAGATACACTTTCAAAATTTTCTCAGCAAGTGTATCATCCATTGAGCTTAAAATTCGACGGGTTTCTTTAATAACCTGCTTCAGACTTTTGTATTCTGTTTGCTAATAATGTCAGTTACCTTAAATATTTTCCAAACCACTTGTGTATAGTATATGAGTTTTATTATTTGACGACACGTTTAAGTGCGGGGGATATAAGTATAGGTAATGTGCTATGCTTTTTTACCTTTTCATTTTTAAGTTAATACATTTTCAGAATTTCATGGTTAAACAGGCCCACCGAGGTGTAAAAGAATTACGAGGCAAAAAGGGAACAAAACCAAATTCCAGAAATAAACGCACGGGGTTTTACTTTAGGGAAGAAAGTGGGTGAATATGAATCAAAAATTACTCATTATTACTTGTATAACGAAAGCACGTTCATTGGTGTCAACGGGTGTTTGGTTTCGTATCGTGAGAATAAAAGATGACAATTGAAGTCATCAGTTTTTTTCCATTAATTAGAATTGTCTGACAATGCATGCGCTCAATTGGTTAGGGAAGTTCTACCAAAGTGAAAGTATTTCGAGCGAGTTGAAAGAAAGTCAAGGTGAGGTAAAAGAAAATACTTGAACACGCACATGCTTTCCGGTATCCATATATGAACAATGATTCACTTCTAGCTTTGACGAATACTGACACAATCTGTTTCGTTGAACATAGCTGTGTTAAAAATGTTGCAGAAAGTGCGTATGTAAAATACATGTTGAAGTTCATGACAGAAAGAAGGAAACAACTGCAGGAAATGGCGCCAGAGTTGTTGTCCAGCCGTGCGAATAGTCCCCGAGCAAGTATATCTATAGGAATGAGGTATTCTGTCCCCTTCAGGAATCCCCCAGTTTTCAGTCAAATATCCCTAGGACTCCAATACCTGACTTCTCAATGGTGATGAAGCCAATTTTAATAGTTTTTAAGAATCAAAATTATGATTGTCTTTTCACTCGATATTCACTATGAAAGATATATACGTGTACCTAGTTAATAACGAGGGTGAAATATTTAATTCTGTTTAATCTGTGGATGTCTACCTGTCTTGTAATGTTCAGGCGAAATTTGCAGAGTTTGTCCAAAAATTACGCCCTTTTTTCTCTGGGTCAGGTCAGGGGACATGTGCAAACCTTTTGATTTCCCTGGTTAGGGAATATCGAGCGAAAACAAAACAGTCCCAATTTCGATTTCCTGCAGACAACTTTTCCTTACATGTTGCTATCACTGCTGGTGGCTCAAATACGGAAAAAAAGTCCGCGTAGTAGGCCTACATTAAGGCCTATTTTGAGCAACAAAATAATGGGGCTTACTACATGTAGGCCTACATACAGGCCATGGCCATGCCCATCTGCTTTTCTAGATTTGACAACTTAAAAAACGAATTATTGCCACTAATCATCAGTTTTGTGAATGTGTGGTCACGATTAATAATTGGTTCTGACATGCATGAAAGAAATAAAACATTGATCCCAGCTGAGTGTAATGTGTAGCCAGGTGCGGCCACGGTGCACAGACAATCGTGGCTGCCATTGACTTCGGGTCGGAAGGACCGTCCGCGGAAACGCGTGCAGAAACTCATTTCCCCTGCACATAGCTGCTGTAACAACCAAACGATATCCGCATCGATCGTTGAGTTAAGCAATTTCAGTATAAATCGTACTAGCCATAAAAATACAGGAATTAGACGAGAATAATTGAAACATTAATCATGTACTGCTTAGTGTGAGTGCCGAGGTAAGTAACCAAATAAATGAAGGGGAGTAATATAACCATAAGCACTATGAATATAATTGTTTAAGCCATGCAAACAAATACATACAAGCTGTAAATAATCATAAAAACTATTCAAATTGAAAAATCACCCTAATAAACCTCTACAATTAATGTTTCGGATCAAAACAAAACAGCGTTAAAAAAATTTCACTAAATTGCAACCTTTGAATAACAATATTTTGAAACAGAAAATGACGTTTAAGCAAGACATTCATCGCAATATATACGGAACTCTCGGCCTCTATCCCTCAGCTCGGAGTGTTGTCTTTTAAATTACCAATGTTTCTTGGGGATTCAAAGTTGTGGCCAAACAAACGCTCAGCATTATTTGAAATGTAGTGTTTTTGTCTTTGAATTAAGCTCCGGTGCTCATATGCAGTCAAGCGGATGGAATAAAGCCGTCCGTGGACAAACAGGTTTAGCACATGACATTGTTCTCAGAGGCAAAATATGCATAATTGGCAATGTTTTTGTTCGTCACTTAGGTTTAAAGATCAATATTTTATTACCATTTAATTGAATTTTTGAAATATGCTCAACAAGTAGGTGAAAATTGCTGGCAAAAGTTGGTTTCCTTCTTTTTGCACCACCATGTATAGACATTTCCAGATCTATGGTTATTAAGTACCCACAAAGCCTACTAAGCCACTTAGCCACATAAAGCACCGCGATTACAGCTGGAGCTAATTAAGGTGAACACAATTAATTAATTCTATACTTGAGTTGTCACTCTTCATACTTTATCATAAGCTTATCGATAAGCTTCTATATTAGCACAAAGTAGCGCAAAGCCTGCAGTAGTATACAAAGCCTTAAATGAACTTAACAATTGCGAGAACTCAAACGGTTTCCACACTGCAAGAACTGCAGTGTTAAATTTACACCATTGGTATCTATATAGGACCATCTGGTGTTAAATTTTACTGGTGTTGTCATATATAGATACCGAATGGTGTTAAATTAACACTACAGTTTTTGCAGCGCATTAAAATTGCAATATGGAGGAAGATATTATGAAGTTGTATGCATTATGAAGTTGTATAATCATGAAGCATAATGTCTATTGCTATATATATATACGGTCATCAAACAAAGTCCAGTATACATTTGTACATGTATACTTCCAACGAAAGTGAGCAATATTTTAAGCTGACATTAAAATATACTTTATAATCAAAACATTACTTTATTCAGCAGTAGCTAATTTTCATGTAATGTGTAGTCCAGAAGTGAGCCAAAAATTTGTTAAATTCTGCCAAAAATCGTTTTGCTGCCAAAAAAAAGGAAAACAAAATACAAAATATATTAACAAGATTTGAAAGACAAAATATACATACATTGCTTCAACATTAAATTTTCATCAGGGTAAATGAAAATAAAATAATATCGTTTTATAATTGGAAAACGGTTTTAATGTTAATTTCAGTTTGTTTATCATAGAAAGAACTGTAAGCGGTAGGCGGAATTTCCATGGAGAATGACCACTTCCTTCGTTATTGTTGTCATTTTACCACTATATAAAAGCAAAATCCATTCCGATGCTCAACAAATATTCTAAACTTCCTTCTCCATACTTTTCCTTTCCTTACAATCGTTGTTTTACATTTGTCGCTTGAGCTGCTACTACAACATAACGGATTATAAAGACACCAGAAATTACCGATATCGCAATTTTTGACGATGAAAAGTTATCATCATGAGCTACAGATTAATCATTGATCTTCACAATCACAGTCAAAATCACAAATCTCAAATCTTAATGAAAAAAAGCTTGGCTTGATGAAATACATTACAGCTTGAATCACAAACTAATATATTATCTTAAGAAAAAAAATAACTACAGAAAAATAACATTTCACAGAAATATAACTCAATCAGTAAAGTCTGTAAATCCCAGATTTCGCAGATTTCAAAAAAGAGCCTTTCTGACCTCAAATCTTGCAACCAATAATCAGTGAATCTCTGATTAAAATAAATTTGAACTATACAGATAGGCCCCACTCTCCACCGTTGCCATAGAAACTGCTCATCAAACCAATTCCGAGGCTTGCTCAGTAGTATCGGATCTCGTTCACGACACAATCGCCAGCTATCTGCAAAGCGGTGATATTTTGAAACGGCAGACGATGCTCGTATTCGAAGAGATGCAAGCCATTCATAGCGACCTTGAACTTGTCTCTCTCGCAAAGGAACATGATCTACACGTACATATATATAAGGTACGTTGTTTATACATAAAATCACAAATCATACAATATAATGATTCGCAAAGGAGGGTGTCACACGACATCACCACAACCTCTCAAAAATCACGACAGCCCAACCGCATCAGATGTTTTCCCCAAGGCCGGTGATTTTTTTGTACGTGCCCCCCCCCCCCTCCCCTCCCCCCTCCCTAAAAAAAAAATTCTTTGCCCCTCACTTGCCCTCCAAATTGTAGAGTCTGGCGCCGCAACTGCTTACATCACACACAGTTAGGCCGACAATTATTTAACACCCCACCCCCAAAATGAAATGAAATTTGGAAGTTCTGATCGTAATTACTTGGTATCTTGCTTTAAACAATGAAATCAATTAATAAAATAACAGGCCAAAACAAGTAAACCAACATACTAGACTGATCGGTTGTAATTAAAAGAAATTGTACTCCCCTTGTAAACGATTTTCAGCTTGTGTCGGCTTGGAAATTAGGACTAATGAGGACTAAATGACGTACAATTTTGAAAGCGTTCAAATCAATATAATTTTTCACGCCAATGATCTCTATCACGTCAATGATCATACATCTACGATCTCTATCCCACTGCAAACTGTAAAATTTTAATCGAATTTCTTTTGCTTTTTTTCAGAAATTTTATTCATTTTGAAAGTTCGCCGAAGAAAGGGAGACCATCGAGTGAAATTTAGAAGTACCATAATGTTGTAAGCTTTTCGGTGGTTAAAGTCGCGTTGTCCATGTGTTTTCTTCTTACAAATTTACAAGTTGTATTTTTAAAGATATTTTTTTCAAATTGTTAACGTGTACATAAGGCATTGCTTGGTCGATTTTGCGTACGAGCATACTCTAGGGGTTAGGCGTTGTTATGATTTGATACGCGATAACCCGCCGCTGCGATAACCCTCCGCCGCGAGAGGGCGTTATCACGACCAACCAATATCAGGCCGTGTCCGAACCAGAGCTACGGCTACGTCTATTGTCAGCGCGTCCCCGCGTATTTTCAATGGGCGCAAACCTAGACCTAGCTCTAGACATCTGATTTGAATACAGCCTCACCCACGAACTGCCAAGATTTTACAAGATTCCCTACACGTTGTTACTGGCAGTTCCAGGTGATATTGGTTGATCGTGATAACGCCCTCTTGCGGCGGCGGGTGTCGCGGCGGCGGCGGGTTGTCGCGTATTCATCATAACAACGTCTAGCCCTACAGACTAACGCGCACAAACAGATCCTCCCGCCATCCGACTGGTTCCCGGCCCCTGCGTTATTGACTCTAAATGGGGTCTAGAACCAGTTTAACGTTCTAGAACATATTTATCGTTGTGTCGCAAATGCTTCGCAATATTTTTGGGTAATTATTCCCAAACGCGGGTTGAATTTTGTTCTCAAAGTCTCATTCAAATGTAAATAATTTTTGTATTGTTGAGTTAGTGAATGGCAGATTTTTTTTCGGGGTTAGCCCTATAATAGCTGGGACATTAAATCCTTGCCCTTCAACTGAATACTGCAATTTAATTTGCAATCGATTTTTCTTATATTCAAGATGAGTGCAAGGAAATTCTACTTATTACGAAAAAATGAGTAGACATCACGTGAACAATACCACTTGTTAAGAGAAAGATGCATACAAAATATTCCTCGAGAGTAAAAAAAAATATATACGTATTGTTCAGGGAATTATTTTTTTCAGACCATATGAGATTTTTCCTATGATACACCTGTAGAATGATGATTTTACACAGACCCATAAATAGTATCAGATACAGGTCTGCCACTAATTAGAGTCGTTTCCCTTCAGTATGCGATGCGTTGATTGGTCTACGGGATCGCGACCGGTTTGGGTGCGGTATCAGACGGCCAATGACAACGATGCATGCAAAAGCACGACTGCAGCAGGATGTCTTCCATACAGCCTTCACTAAGGTCCAAACGGCGCTTCCTAAAAAATACAAACGAATTGGAGTAATTGGATTGGTAGTAAAAACAATCGGTGATCAAAATGAGGAAACATAATCCATGAGTTTGCCATAATACGGTATTTTTATCCGACTTAAAAGTTTTATGTCATCAGAAATTGTAAGTTTAATTAATAAAAAAATAAAACAATGTGGTACACTGGTTTGTAACGGCTTATACTTTGACATGGATCCTATATCAACGAGAGTGCTGTTTGAAGCAAACGACCTGGATTATAAGCTAACTTATTCTAAACCAAATTTCTTAATTTAAAAAAAAAATAGTTCAAATCACCTGCCACAAAGGCAACTATGTTCAGGTTGATAACAATCAGGAAGACGACCAGAAATTCCTTTCTTGCATCGTTGGACTGGTTCTCTTCATTTGGTAACAGAAGCAAAGATGCTGCCGACAGATTCAGGAAGATGGTAGTCAGGGAACACATCTGAAGACGGTGCTCTGCCGCATCCTTCATTGGTTTCAAGTAAGCATGGGCGATAAGAAAGGCCACGGATAAGACAATGGTAGCAAAGAGCGTGAAATGATCATCAGCACCGAACATCAGAACGAAGACAACTTGGAGGACTTTGCGAGCAAGTTCCACAATCTCCCAATACCAGAACTGCTCCTTGTAGTTCTCACACAAGAAACTAACCCAGGTGATCTTATTGTCGTCAGTCTTTTCTCGGTCCGACTCGGGGAGAGCTGAACTTGTCACGTCATCATGTTCAACATCTTCAGATTGCACACCGGTACCTTCAGAAGTATTTGTCTCTTCAGAATTGGCGTGACACAAAAGTTCGGTATCTGACTCAGGACCAACATCAGATTCGTTTTGGTAACCAGACTGATCCGTCTCACTACAACCTCTTGAATGACAGGTGTTCAAACTATCTGGCTGATCAGTTTGAGCTGCAACGTCACACAAGGGCTGCCCAGCATTGCAATCATCTGACGGTGCAGAGGAGCATTGATCAGATCCCCTGTTGCTTCGACAACTTGCCCACAACATGAGGAACAGTGCCAACGGAAGGCCAACAACATAACACAGGGACACTTCGGCGGCGTAGTTGTAGCTGACATGCTGATTTGATTCGCAGTCGATGGAGTAGTCCGATCGGAGTCGAAGGACTTTGAAGTGATCGGTGTCATCCAGGTAGAACTCGTCACATCCAGGAGGCAGCAAGGTAAAAATGGCACTCGATACGCTTGGATATGTGACAAACAGAAGAATAACCACCACCAGGTAACAGGTTTGTTTAGTTTGAGCCAACATATTGTTGCAAACCTCCTTGGACAATTTGGTCATTTTCAGGTAACTTTTCCTGCAACCGTACACACTCAGTGCCAACAACACTACAAAGACAACAAAGCTCATACCAGTTATGAACTCTATGTAAATAGTTGGGTATGTGAAATTTGGGAAGTAGCATCGAGGGCTAACGATCAATTGCGCAATATTCACCTCTAACAATCGGAAAAATGAACCAATGTTAGTAAGTGCCTGTGGCCAATGAATCCCATCCAGTGCTTCGAATATCTCGCCCATGATCTGATAGAAACCAAGTACGATCTTGAATCTGGAGAACAACACATTGATGGCAGAACGCCCTCTACGCCGATGTCTTCGAAGGTCCCACATCACGATGATAATTATTACAACAATAACTACCAGAGCAGCCACAATCTCTAAAAGAAACACATACCATCTGGGACATTCAAAGCATCTGTTAAACCAAGAATAGTAGTTGGCAATGCACTGAGAGCACAAGAAATCCTCATAACCAAATTCACATGTAGCATTTATTCCGTCACCCCCATTCTGACACGATTCTTTTCTTGGACATGGATGAACTTTTGGCAAGGCACCATTAAACCTTACCGTGCTTTCGTCGTAGCTCTCGTTATGTATGAGGATATTTTGTACATATTTCTCGTAGGATTGATAGTTGTCGACCGAGCCCCAGTCCCAAGTCCACCAGAATCCTGGCAGAAGATGTTGATATTCTTCCGAACAGTCAGTTCCTTGCAACGGACAGGCGAAGCATTCACCAAACCGATCTTTACGGTAGTAATTCGACACACAGGGACACGCGCGGAATCCTGCGTGGCGGCTTGTATCCGTGCCTGATGGACACACCACGCAATCTCCGATGGTTTTACCAGGGTGAGCTTCTGGTGGAACGTATGTGCCATTATTGCAGAAAAAACAATTGAGGTCTGCTCCTCTCTTCACAACTTGTCCTGTTCGGTTTTGAAAAAAACCTCCTGAAGGAGACATCAAAACAAACTATTTTATTGTATTTATATGCCTGTCGAATATGTTGCATTGCTTTAATAGTACAGTTTTGTTACATTTTTATTTTAGAATAAGCTTTAGGGCAGTGCTTTTTCTGTTAAATTGTGCTGAGTTAGTTTTCGTAAGGTTAATCACAGTATTTACACAATTTCCAACCATGTAAATAGTAGTTTAAATCTTGAATGAAACTGATTGGGTTTGCTTGCCAACTGCAGAAGCCGAGACCGACTTAGAATGTTATTATCTGTATATTGAATACGTGTACTATCCTCAATTAAGCTCAGTCATTGAATCCAAACTTGTTCGTTATAGAACATTAATCAGAAGCAACAAAACCTCGGCATTAAGATCTGTACGAGAGGGAATATAGTGCTTGTGTTGCGATACCTTTCGATAAGTTAAGGATATCATTTTAATGGACCGATCCAGTAAGCACCGCCCCATGGTATTCTGACCAATCACAGCCGTGATTTACGTCCGACATACGTGCATAAAAGTCCGTCATGCGCGTGCACGCGCGTATAATGCGCGCGGCAGAAAAATGCAGTGTGGCATTGGAGAGGAGCACGTGTTAATTTGCCCAGTGCGCAGTGGGAGGGGCTTAGTGGACGACGTCTGCGGAATATTTCATTTTACAAATTGCTTAACATACCTGATGGACAGGGTGTACAATCCTCGGGGGCTCCTCCGTAGGTTCCCTGATGACACGTAGTGCACTGATATGTTCTATCTCCTGTTTTTTCACAGCTGAATCCGGCTCGAATCAATAAATCTCGTTCCGGCTTCGTCACGGAAAGTGTTTGAACAAAATCAGTCCCGACCAAATTTCTGCATAGTTTTAATGAATAGATACAATTATGGTTCAATGCAATTTATAATTTAGCACTTCAGTCATACAGAAAATGCAATGAACACAAAACAATCTCAACTAACTAGCGAAGGTTTAGGCGAGGACTGTGGTTAACCACATGGGCGTCACCAAGATTTTTTTACCAAAAAATGCCTGTATTTCTCAACACATTCTCGATTTATCAGTTTTAGAGGGGGCAGGGACATTTTGCCCCCCTCCCAACCCATTAAATTTACACAACTATGACTTCGCGCCTCTTTTTCTTTTCTTTTTTCTCTCTCTGTGTGTGTGTGTGTGTGTGTGTGCTTCTCCGGGGGGGGGGGAGCCTCCTTGCCCCCCCCCCCCCGCGACGCCCATGGTTAACCATAATTCGACTAAACTCACTCAAACGCTTGAGATTGTTGCTTGAGTTTGTGCCACATCGGTGGACACGGATCCCTAACCGAATATTAATTGAGACTTACATATTGAGGTCAGACCTGGTGAAAGGAACTCTCCTGAGTGTGTTGCCAATGGATCTGTGGAAATTGAATGAGCCGATGATATATGATAGATAGCAAGATCAATCTGTTCTTTGGGACGCAACTGACATAATGGAGTCCGTTGTTGATGAACAGATGTTTCTGTGGAAACAGAAAGGATATGCCGTGCAGTCGAGTGTAGTTATGCTGGCACGCTAGCGTAAAATAAAGTATGAATGCTAAAAGATGCATACCCCATGCACGCCTCAAAATGGAGTGTTTTTGTACTAACGAATTTTCAATTGGCATGTTTTGTTTGAACAAAAAACTACTTTATTCCGATTGTTTAGGTGTTGGGTTATGAATCCACAACCTATTGTTATTGGCGTCTGTATTTGTCTCAACAAAGTCTTTCATATTGTGCACAAATAACCCGCCCTGCGAGAGCAAAATTGTCTTTCAGTAGAACCTTACTATTAACTAGGGCGCTAGAAGTTATTTTTTCTCTTTAAATTTGGACTTTTGGTCGGTCGTATGAGAACGACCGACCAAAATTTGCAAAAAAAGAGGAAATCTCGTTTCACATTACTGGGTCTAGTCTTGCAGTCAATAAATCGAATTTTGTGAATCCAATAACTAAACGTCGGTGGATTTCTTTTGTTCAATGTAAAGTGAATAACTTTTATATCGCTAGGAAATTAGCAATTGAAAAACAAATCTACTATATTTCGAGGTGAAATCCGAAAATAAGTTTCAAATTAAGTATGAAACTGCTCATCATGTAAATTGCGACACAGCAAAATATAAGTCCGATGTAAAATCACTTCAATGTCATGCAATAATTATGCAAATGATATACTCACACGTTGCAGCGAGGTCCTAAATCTTGCCAAACCGAATCAGCAATAACTTCGACGTCGTTACCGTAAAGAGATCTGAGACGAAAGCGTGTGGATTAACAATCATAAAAGTGTTTTTATATATATATAAAAACCCATTTTTTAACAGATACACAGTTCAATGAATACTGTCTGGTAATCAAAATCATAAAGAGAATTGTTTTTGCACTTCGTTTTCATTGGAACTCACACAAGCAGAAGCGAATTGGTTCTCGTCATAAACGGCCTGGCTCCAATTGAACGCAACTCCGCGTTGAACAAGTAACTATTGAAAGAAACCAAACCGAGAACACAAACTAGTTGATATACCTTATGGTTAAATGGACACGTGGATATTTGCACCAATTGGGTCCAAGCGATGTGTGCATGGGGTATTTTTATTCAAACTGTCCCATTAAGTTATCTATAGGACGTGAAGAGTTTAATCACCAAATTCCTTACTAGGACTACTCACAGGTTTACTAGCTGCGTATCAAAAAACACTCGCTCATCAATTTCAGTTATTGGGTTGTCAGCAATCATTCTGCAAACAAAAGAAGTAAAACTTTTAGATTTTGATCGATACCACAATCTTGACTTGTTAAAGGCACATATATTTGCATTTACCCCAAAATTAACCTTCCGAATTATCATCAAAAAGCTTACTTGAATTAAAGATCGTACTGGTACTAAACACCCCGTGAAATAATTCCGTCTGGCTTGCTGTCATTTAGAAGAATTCAAGAAACGTAGGTGATTTCCAACGATCAGTCAGTTGAGTGATTTTGGGAATTAAGAGTTAGAAATGATGACATCGTGTTTTGTGATTACAAGGTTTGCATGGTTTTCACTGTTTTCTCGAGACGTGTGGTATCTTCCTAGCTGAAACTTCAAGAGGTTGGGTTAATAACATTCTACTTTGGATTTTGGATTTTAGGTGGTGGTATTATTGGAAACAAAATGCATGGACAGCAAGTGAACTTATAAAGCTCAAGGTTGGTTTTGATATTTCCATTCATATTTGAGTTACATCACAGAGACGTCATTATAGGATTTCCCGGCTATTTTTAAACGTTTATCGTTTGAATTCACCGATCCTATTATTCAAAATCGTCCAGCAACATCGATTTAGTGCACTTCGAATGTTTAATTTCGTCTTTTCGTCGGACAATTTCAAATTTAGTTCAAGCAAATTAAAACACTTTGTGTCCCAGAGTATTCGATTTCGTCTCGTCACGCGAATTCCCTATATCGATACTTTTATTTCGTCCCCGAACATCGCCAAGCTCAATTCTCAATTTGAATTTCAAAAAGCCACCACTAGATTTCATTTAAGGTTCAGTATAATTCAAATTGTTAGCATTCCGATTCGTCCAAAATCTTTGAAATTCGTCTCGTGAAGCAATTGGCGTTGAATTGAAAAAGCAAATTCGTTTTTTCATTCGTTTTAATGTCTCTGGTGACTAACAACATTGCGATTAAAAATGTGCCCAATCTTTGGACTTCTTTGCGCATTAATTAAATTTTAATTTGTTACAAATATTTCCTTATAAATGAAAGTATATAGCTGTAAATTTTGAGTTTTCTTTTACAATAAACATTAAAATCAGAAATTGAACTTTCACAATATGCTCTTTGCTTAGCATATGGAAATTAAGCATTAAGATCAAACTCCTTCGTAATGTTGCTCTTTGATATATGTATATGAATAAAACAACAGAAATAAGGTATGTCTATCAAAGAACAACATTAAGAAGGTCTTTGAACTTAATGCTTAGTGTCCATGTCATTTCAGTGCATATTGTGAAATGTCAATTTTTGACTCGAATGTTAATTGTGAAACACAGAAATAATAATTCATGCCTTACAGCAAACTACTTTTATTTATACATATAAGGAAATATATGTTGAATTATCATTGTTTTAATTCGCATAATTCTTCAAATAAGTCTAAATATTGGGCGCATCGTATACGATTTTAAGTCACCAGGGACGAAATGTAATGACAACAACATGAAAACGATTGACAAAAAAACGAATTTGCTTTGTCAATTCAACGCCGATGGCTTCACGAGACGAACTTCAAAGATTCTGGACGAATCGGAATGCTTACAATTTGAATTATACTGAACCTTAAATGAAATCTAGTGGTGGCTTTCTGAAACTCAAATTGAGAAGTGAGCTTGGCGATGTTCGGGGACGAAATTAAAGTATCAATATTCGGAATGCGTGTGGTAAAAGTGTTAAAATAGCTGGGAAAACCTATAATAACATATACGAGGACATTTAAGAGTCTCCATTCGTGTTTTTAGACATTTCCGTCTTTCATTTTGACACTTATTTTTTTCGATTATTTATTTAAAGCATTTTGCTTTGTTGATCCTGGTAATCTTTACTACACTGTTTTGGTAACTGTTCTTTGAGTTCAGTACTGTACTTGATCCGTGAATGAGCCAAATAGTACTTAGGAAAACAACCAGACTTACTTAACAAGAGTTTTAAATTAATTGATATCACACATTCGATGTCTGAATGCTGCTAACAGCTTAGACGAATTTGATCTGCAATGACGAATATTCTCGACCCAGTGTTTAAAGAGGGTGACCAAACTTTGAAATTAAATGACTAAATTGGTTTTGGTAAAAGCGTGCAAAAAGTTTCTCGGATGAAATTGATTGTTAGACTTGATGAATTTAAATGAAAATAGCCGGGAGAACTTATATTATCGATGTTTTTAGTTCACAAATATTAAGCTTGTTGCTTTAGAAGGTTGTTAAATTTGTAAATCTGAACATATTCTAAGGATATAACAAAAGGCAAGAATATGTATTATTTAAAAATTGTGCTGTCGGTAAAATATTGACTCTTGGTTTTTTTTCACGTGTAATATCACTTACAAAGTCCTTAAGTTCTGAAGTCCAACAAACATCTCCCTTCTGAGAACTCTAATGAAGTTTTGGTGGAGATACAGAGTTCGAAGTTTCCGCTGAAAACGCAAAAGTCCATCCGGGATGCTTGACAGATCGTTTGAAGACAGATCTCTGTGAAAAAAGAAAGAATATAATTCAGATGATTCAAAATGATATTTTTAATCTATTTGTTAAGAAACAAAACGGAGTCGGAGCTGGGGGGTTTGGGCTTGAACCCCCAAACCCCCCTCTGGATCCGCACCATGCGATTTGTTAGTACATTTATTTTTTAATTTTAGCTATTATTTGACCAGGAAAAAAAAAGGATCTTTGAGTGAAGTTCATACAATGAACCTACAATAACTTACAGGGTTCCGAACACAGTAACGTTGGCAAACAGGTCTTCGGGCAGAGATGCAATGTTGTTGGAACTTAGAAATCTAGTACGAAACAAAATTAGATTTAACTTTAGCATATTTCAATTAATTTCACGAGATACTACAAAGCTTCTTATTGCACCACTGACACAAACTGATGACAGACAAGCAGAGTACATGAATGCACAACCCTATTGGGCAGTGAACCAGTCAAAATTTGAATTATGGTGTGTTTTTTTTCAAAATTGACTTAACAGTAATTCACATATTAAAGTACAGAATATGAAAAATTCAAGACAAAAATAAAATTCGTTTTCACCGCTAAGAAAAAGAAGAAGACGTTATCTTGATTGTTTTAATAGGTACCATGCAGTCAGCAGGATCAGAAAAAAAATGTTTTACTGGCAATTGACCTACCGCGGTTTGCGAATTATCCACGCCCTTTAGACAACCTTATGGTTATTTGTTTGTCTCAGATTTTGCACGTTCCGCGTCCATTTGTATAATCATGTATATATTTGACAATATTTCACAAGCTGCGTCGACGAGATTCTACCGCGATAGGTCAATTATATTTCAAGTCTTGGCGTGACCATCTTTCCACGGTGAACAGATTGTCAATCAATTTTTAGGTTTGTGTCCACATTTCAAAAATATGTATCAACGAAGAACACTTATTTGTCGGTATCATCTGATGCCCCACGTTTCATACTTATACCTTTAAATGGAATGCACAACATTTGCTTTTGCTGCAATTTTCAAAAATAAATGGACTGGGAGGATTAGTATGTAATAGCAAACATTGTTTCACGATTTTGGTCCGGAGATGTCCAAGAAAACCAACCATGTTCTTGTAGTCTGGTTCCCTGACCCCACTTAAGATGAAACGGAGCAATTTATAGACTTTGGGGAATGGTAAGATCAGAGAATCAGTCTAGCACGCTTGTACCACTTCACAGATGAGTAATCAATTGCAAAGAAAGTGCGGCAAACTAAATGTGAACAATTAGGAGCAGTTTACAAAAACAGTCAGTTTTCTCCAAAGCTGGTCGCCGGGCCGACCAGCGTTGCAAAAAAAACCAGTTTTCTTGAAATTGTCAGCACACCAGGAGCCACGATTTAATAGGATGCTTTTAGACTGTCATTCTTTAACAATCCCGTCAGGTATTTTGTGATAATTTGATAATTTTGTTTTTTGAAGTTTGCAAATGTTGTATCTTCCCTTTAACTGCATATCAACATTATTTTATTTGATATTCATAAATACCTCAGACAGTTTAGCCATTCCTATTGGTCGAGAGCCAGTCACGTGGCCGGTATTAAACGGATGATAAAGACATGGCTAGCTGGTCTTAAACACTTTTCCAGTGTCACAATATAATGTGGACTCCTAAAAATCCAGTGCCTCTTATCGTTTCATTGGTTGAACGTTCACAATCCTCACGTAGGCATGCGCAACACTACCAGGGAGTTAGAATTTTATAGTTCTAAATTCAAAACGCAACGCGCCAGGTGCGTTCTGTGCGACATCGCATAGAACATGATACGCGCGCGTCAATCTCCATAAAAGGGTTGTTTTCATCTTACTCGCCAGCTGAACACTCCATTATTTTGCAGGAGGGATGATTCAAAGAGCATAAAGTGAATTTGTTGAACAAAATCGGGATGTTTTGAACGAATTATATGATTTTTTTTTACCGAAAAGGTATTTATGAATGGGAATAAATATGTACTCCGTCGGTATTTATCACTCTGTTTAATACCACTTAGAGTCTGGGTGCTGATAATTACCCTCGCCTCCGGCTCGGGTAATTATCAGCACCCAGACTCTAAGTGGTATTAAACAGAGTAATAAAAACCTCCGGAGCACACATTTATTCCCTTATTGAAATAATACATAAGATTATACTTACACCTCTTGTACGCCTTTCACTCCGAATAATGCATCGGCAGCCACATGTTGAATTTTGTTTCCACTGAAATCCCTGTAAAAAAGAATAATTCATATGAGCATCTCTGCCAATAAACAACAATTTTGTTAGTGATAGGATTGATTACACTAACCAGATAGAAGACGGTAGTGATCGATAGCGGATTGCAATCGTGTCGTTATAGGGCGCACAATCGATTGTGCGCCCTATAACGACACGATTAGACCAGTTTGCCAGGTCTCACTAGCCATGGACAATTGTGCGAGGGCGCTCTACAACAATCACCAGCGATGCTCTGCATTGAGCATTATCAATCTTGGGCCAAGACTACTAACCGACCAGCCAACCCAACCTCCCATTTTTTTTCTCCCCATCCTCTAGAAGATAACAATAAGATAACTTTTACCAGACTTGCAGATTCAGTACGTGATGTTCTCGGCCTGGACGATAGAAGAGCCTGGAGGGAATCTCCAACAACTCATTGTTTTCGACGTTTCTATTAAATTAATAAATAAATGCATTTGAATATTTTTATTTCCCATTAAAGAAAAGTTTGTAAAAAAAACCGCTACTGCGTTTCATTTCAAATACCGTACATCCAGGACGAACATGAAATGTTTATGGGCTAACCAAAACATCATCATCATCATTCTCCTAATCCATCATGGGGGACGTTGAGTCGCCCAGACCAGACGATCAGATGCAGACTGCCACAGCTGATGTGCACGTGTCTTGTGGTCAACTTCTAGCTGCCGCACCCAGGTGTTGCGAGGTCGGCCCCTGGGTCTCTTCCAGGCAGTGTCAGGCTGGAGTCCCCCTAGTACGTGGACAAGGGCGGCATGGGCTGGTCTGTCATCCGGTAGCCATTGGACGTGACCAAAGAGGGAATTACGCCTCCGTAAGATGGTAGCACGGAAATCCTCAAAACCGGTGGTCCCCTAGTCTAGGGGCTAGACGTTGTTATGGTTTGATACGCGATAACTCGCGGCCGGCCGCAATGCCCCACCGCCGCGATAGGGCGCTATCACGACCGACCAATATCGCCCACGGACTTGTCTGCTGAAATCCCCCCCCCCAAAAAAAAAATGGGGGAAACTAGCGTGCATGCGCGACTTATGCAGGCAATTACGATCCACACAGACTAAACATAACAAAAGAGCTGACCAGTGAAGTTGCACAAAGGTCTTGCTGCATCTGTTATTGCACTGGAAGAAATTTGAGAGTTTGCTTAACTACTATAATTTTTTGAATTGCGCACTGCAGATTAGGCCAAACAGGTGCGCGCATTACACAACGAATACGAGATTCCCTAGACGTTGTTCCTGACAAGTCCTGATCATGGTTGGTCCTGATCATGGTTGGTCGTGATAGCGCCCTCTCGCGGCGGCAGGTTGTCGCGTATCAAACCATTCGCTCGTACCCCCCGCCCTGCAAACAGGACGCTGGTCAGGGCTGACGTCATTTGAGCTCTCATTGGATAGATTTGCGTGACCTGTGCCGTGAAACGCGTCACACAATCTAGCTTCCGGTGCCCATCATGCGTAGCGCGCTAGCTGCATGCGAAGGTCAATCTGAACTTCCTTCACAAGATTCTGTGAAGCTCATCAGCCCTTATACCAGCGCCCTGTTTGCAGGGCGGGGGGTACGAGCGAAATCAAACCATAACAACGTCTAGGCCCCTAGACTAGTGGTCCCCATGATAGTGGTGTTGGTGACAAAGTCGGACGATCGACCGGACACCGAAGATGTGCCGTTGGCACCTCATATTGAAGGCTTCATTGAAGCCTTTGCCTGTCCTCAGTTAGGATCGTCCGCGTCCCCGACCCATATATAGAACTGGGAGGACACATGCGTATAGGCCCTATTATTGTAACGTCTGTAACTTAATAACGACTATACTTACACACGAAGGTAGGAGTAACCTCCACTAAATGTGTATGGGCTGATGCTTCTGATATTATTATTAGATGCGCTGAAGTCAAGCCTGTAATACCTTAAAGAAAAAGGAAGATATGAAAGACTGATAGAATCATAAGACAATAAACGTAATAGATACCTCGTTCCTACATGGCTTTTGAGTAATACGCTTTTACCAGCTAGCTACTCTTTCCCCTGTAGTTTATAAGTAGGTGTAATGTTAACGTTAGTACAAGGGACGAAGGACATTCAACCCCACTGTTTGTTGGGTTGTTTGTTGGGGTGTTGGGCTTTTTGTTGGGGTTGTTGGGGTTGTTTGTTTCTTTGTTTGGTTGGTTGTTGGGGTGTTTGGTTGTTTGTTTGTGTGTTTGTTTAGTTGGTTGTTTGTTGGGTTGTTTGTTGGGTGTTTGTTGGGGTGTTCAGGGTTGTTTATTTGTTTGTTTATTGGGGTGTTGGGGTGTTTGTTTGTTTGTTTGTTTGTTTGTTTGTTTATTTGTTTGTTTGGGGTTTTGGGGAGGGGAGGGGTATTGACAGTCACATCAATGGCAATGGCCCTGGCCGTCAATAATTTTCCCCCACATTTTTTAATAAACATTAACATAATTACCTAACCAAACCTGCATCTGTTTTAAAAATGATGAAATATCTAAAATACGGCCTACCTGACACCCTTTACCGGTCAATTCAACAGTGATACTGTGAGAATGGGCGTAAAATGGGCATAATGTACATGTTAATGCACGTTGCCGGGAACTGCATACTTTTTTGTATGCAGTTCCCCATCACTGCACTATATAAGAAGATCCCCAGCCTTTCGAAAGTGACATGGCCGACCAGGACATTTCAAGATTGTGTTTATATTGTGGCGGCGATCTCCCCGGGCCAAACCAAAGTTCGTTGGGACCAAGTCTGACACCTATTAGAGTGTAGCTGATCTTCCCGAACGCAAGCTTTCCCAAGACGAGAGACCACTCAGAGCGACCTCAAGGCCAAGGGAGCAGGTCCGTTTTGGAGGAAATATACCGCCGATTATGATGATTGTGATTACCCTCTGTTAATTGCACAATAAACCAACAACAAATACACATGGACAACAGGAATGTCGGCACCACAAATATAATCGTAATGTATTATACAATAATCAAGAAATATGCAGTAGTGATTGAGTTTTGATGGGGTTGTTAATTATCAGGGTCACTTAATCACACTTGGGAGTTAACTGCGGCCTCAACTAAGCAGCAACGCGCACGCTTGAACAATGCACCCAATGTAAACAATGCACTGCTAAGTCAACAATGTACACTAATGTAAACATTGCACGGCTAAGTCAACAACGTACCTACGGTAAACAATGTACCTAAGTAAACAATGCACACTAAGTCAGCAACGTACACTAAGTAAGCAATGTACGCTCATGTAATTAACACGCGCTGTCAGCCTTAACCTGATTTACGCCTTACCCATGCAAGCTAGCGTCAGCATCGTACCGTACATTCACTTGTACGGCTGTGCGTCAGCATCAGACAGCGCAACTTCAGCACAGTCAGGGCCAGCGCAATTTACACAGTGCGCGTCAGCATTACCCAAAACACAGAACGCGAGCAATACACGACCGTACCGTCCGCTGTCCACAGCACAACTCCTCCGTGCGATCACGTGAATAGCCCTCACGTGAACATGCATACGCCGCACAAACACAATCATATGCATGTACTAAACCTATGGGCCTTAGGCAACCAATAGCGTACGTGCATTCAATAACTGGGCACTTACGCTCCGCCCAGTCACCAACACACAGAGAATTTACGTTAGTGCAATAGGAATGACGTTGTAAATAAACTAGCTACAAGTCCCTACACTTTCCGCTACAATATAAAGCCCCTAAAACCTTGTCTTGGTTATGATATCGCTGAGGGGAGCATACTTATAACATGAAATTAAGAAATCATCATCATCAAGTCGGCCATCAAATGGGTTTATGATGTGCCGGGGATCGAATGGTGAAATGAGCAGCTCCATTCTCACTGAAGTGTCCCATTTATAGCACGGCGTCTCCCCATTAGCCTCTCCTAATCAAATCCTGTCTTCTCGTGCTGACCCTGTTTTTACAGGACAGAGGGTATCGGTGGACTTCTAATCCTGATCCAACTTATCCAACTGGTGTTTCAAAGTTCGTCATTGGTTTGATAGAGGCTAGGGAGGGGACCCAACTATCTTCACAGCTCAGATGAGGACTTGCGAACCTCTCGGCTTTTAATTTCGCATCGTAAGGCTTATTAAGGCTTACCCAATGACAGATCCACCGACACCTTTCATCATGTCTGGAGTCAACTCCATCAGCCTATTCTTTGACAGATCCCTACAAGGTTTAATAAGTAATCATGTTGACATCAGGTACTACGCATGGAAATCGAAAACAGGTCAAGAGGTTCCTAATAATCGTATAATCGCATTGAGATGGGGGGGGGGGTGATATTGAATGAAGGCGTGCCCCTGCTATAGGGGGTCGGGGCACGCCCCTCCCCCATTCTAAGGAAATTTTTGAATAACTTTGAGAACTGTAAGTCGATTGTTTATTATGCTGGCCCCATTTTACTAGACTAGGTATACAAATTGTCAGCGGCGGAACTGCCAGTGTAGCCTTTATTCAATGACATTTTTAAATCTCAGAAACAACAATCATCACTGTGAGAAAACTATAGAAAAACTGTAAGCAGCTTAAGCCTATTGGTGCAGCGTCAAAAATATGAAATTTCAGAATCAAATAGAATACAACTTTAAGAATTTTTCTTCTGTTTTTTTTTTATTCATGGACATCTTCAACTCGTCTACCTCTGGGCATCAGTTTCCCTTGCGATAACTGAATTTTTTCCATTACGTACCTGGTGTGGCCGGATTTTTTTTTCGGTCGGTGTGTCACTGAAAATGGATAACTTTTGTATTGCTCCAAAAAGAACAAGCATTTAAAAGGAAAAAATCGACTTTGAGTGAAAATTTGCAAAGTGTCCAGGCAGTTACCCGTGAACATGTATCAGTAATTATCTGTCTGTTTGCATCAAAGCGCGTAATACTTAAACAGATTTCATGACTGGTATAGCAAACTGCACGGCAAGTAACAACATAAATGTTTCTGGACATTGCATACAAAAAACTTACAGGCGGATTAAGCTGGTAAGGCCGCTAAAAGCTCCTGGCTCGATGACAGATATCTGATTGTTCTTGAAATACCTAACATAAATTAAAATACAAAAAGGTCACCTTATTGCGCATTTTCCCCAGATAATTAAACAAACATGAATATGCCGTTTAAACAAGTTTAAACTTCTTATCAGAAAAAAAAAAATTTCACGTGTTTTTCGTAAAATAAGAGTATTCGTTGCTACAGACCAAATTCGCCTTAGCTATTGCTAAAATAATGACAGCATTCAGAGATTAAATTCGTCTGTCAATCAATTTAAAACGTGTGTTATGCGTGAAGTAGTCTGGTGTGTGTGTATTTTCATTGTGTCATCGAGCACAATTTGGAACATTTGTTCGCATCATGTTATCAGACAAAGATGATTTTCCTAGCAGTTACCAAACGAAAAGGCAATTTTGGACCCCCAAATCAAATTTCTTCCTTTTTCCTAAAAATGTTCACACAACACAAAGTACCCATCAGAGGCCAGAAATGAACACCATTTGGCACATTCGTTCGCATGATGTTATCCCAAATCAGAGCAGTTACCAAAAAACAAATAAATATATGACCAAGAACAACAAAACATAATTTCTAACATAATTTTAAATGTTTTGAAACGAGTAAAACTAGTGTTAAAATGAAAGAAGGAAATGCCACAAACCAGTGGCGCACCCGGGGGGAGGCCTCGGGGTGCTTTAGCCCCCCCCCCCCCCGTCCGAAGAGGTTGTCATTTTTTTTTAGTCCCACGATTTGGCCTTGGTTATATGAATGTGGCCTTTTTTTCGAGTAGCATAATAGGGGTGTAAGTGGCGCCACCAACGTCAAAATAGGCCGCCCTTCAAAAAAAAACACCCCAAAATCGGCCGCCCTTAAAAAAAAAACCCAATTTTTTTTTCTGCGGCCAAAAATTTGGGGCAAAATTGTTTGAAAAAATCCAACTTTTAACAAGTTTGTAAAAAAATTTTTTTATGAGGCCCCCCCCCCCCAAAAAACAAATCCTGGGTACGCCACTGCCACAAACTAAGAGAGCCCACCGTTCTCTGTGTAACATGTATGCCCAAAACTGATTCAAACGCAGTTTTAAGAAGACAAAAGCAAAAGAAACAAACAATAAATTTATGAAGAAACAAGGAAATAAAAAAGTGGAAAATAATTCTTATCAGCGGCCTGTATGCCTTCTACTGAAGATGTCACAATGAAGTACGACGAAAGTAAACAAGGTTTGGATTAAATTGGGTGGCATCAGTTTTCTGAATATCACGGTTCGGCGTAGACGAAACGAAATTGAATACTCCTAGACGAATATGTCAGCTCATGGTTTGAATTTGCCTCTACCAAAATTGAAATTGTATGAAAAAAGGACGAAATTAAATATTGAAATTGCACTAAATTGATTTTGCTGGACGAATTTGAATGTAAAAATCGTTGAATTGGAAAGGAAAGCGTTTGAAAATGCCAGGAAAACTTTTTCTTATGTTTTAATTCAACGCCAAAAAAATAGTTGCATTACTGCTTTTAGGCGTTATCATTTCTGTGAAAAAGTTCTTACTTTGGGATGATTAGCACCTCTAAAACACGAACGTAAACATCATTTATATGCAACGCAGTGTAAATGAGGTAATTTATAGGCAACACATGCACAGCGTGTACAAGGTAATTAATAGCAACGCAGTGTACAGGGTGGCCCCGAAAAAGTTTACACTTTTTCACCAGACGAAGATTTCTCAAAATTGAGGAGACATATTGAAAATGTTTTAAGATATTCCTAAACTACAAGGTCTTGGCGGAATATGGTGGAAGTGGCATTTGAAAATACAGCCTCAATTCAGAAACGACGGCCATTTGAGAAACGGTCAAAAACCAGTTGGTGCACATGCAACTCTATGAAACTTGGTCAAAACAATATCACTGCTTTCACAAAGAACTGCCATAACGATGACCACGCATCCATCTTTGTAAACACCGGCAATCGTGGACCCCCTATTGTCCCTTATCCTCATTCCTTTGTTTGTACTCCTACTTTTTAGCACCAGTTCTCGTTGGTTTTGTACACGAATTTCAATCGTGGACTATCGATCAATAGTGGACCCTTTGTTTGTGCCCTAACCCTTTTGTCCCTAGTCCGCGATTGCACGTGTTTACATACCCATGTATACACGCGTGTGGAGTAACTGGCTTATGACCATTTTTTTTGTATAACGGCCGTCGTTACTTACTTAATTCAGGCTTTATTTTCAATGCCATTTTACACCATACGCCACCAAGACTTTGTAGATTGGGAATATCTTAAAGCAATTTCAATATGTCTCCCCAATTTTGAGAAATCTGCGTCTGAAAAAGTGTAAACTTTGTTGGGGTCACAATAAAGTAGACAAACATGGACACGTGGCCGTTCAAGACCTATGAAATTACAGTATCAAAGACACTAACAAAACACAGTTTGTGACTTGGCACCAGTCTTGCACGTAGGCTATACCCTAGCTCTAGGCTGTTCATTGGCAGACACAACTTTACGGTTTGTAATAAGCCTACTTACAACAAAGCAAGCCATGTATGGTTCCGGAATGAATTTGTCTTCAGTGTTGCCAGCTCATTATTACTGAAGGATCTGTGTGAAAAAAACCGGGATTTTCAAAAAATGTCGATAAAACTGAGTCGCAGAATTATACAAGTATATAGATAACTCCAAGTATATTACTTTGCAGATTTCTATGGAAAACAGCTGGGAAAGAAAACATAAGAGTTGTAGGCCTAATGCAGCATTAGTGCATAAATTAAATTTATATTCACATTACAATTTGAAATTCATTGGTTTCTACCCAAAAAAGTGTTATATTTTGTTATTCATTACAATCTTGAATGGCACTTTTTTTTTGAACTACAATTTTAGGCGGGATAGTTTCACAGGGTATATGATAAAAAAAAAGGTCCTATCTTCGCTTTAAGCAAGTGTTTTTTGGTCATTAAATCGGTGGGTAGGCCTACATTTATTTCCGAGTAATTTCACATGATTCTGCTAACTTTAAAGGGAGGGTGCACCCTAAAAAAATTAAAGAGACATTGAAAAAACAAAAGTCGCTCCAGGCTACGTTATCATTTTTGTTTCACTTCAGCTTTTGAATTAGGAGAGGGACGCTTGTGTCCAGACGAACGTAAGTCGATATCCACAACCCACACTGCCTTCGAAATCCAGCCCTGAATTCATTCCATGCACATCAACGTCGTGCTCAGAGTGCAACCGTGCCATATAATACGCGTACCACTTCAGTGTGTGTACGTGTACGCATACTGCAAAGACTAGCTTCAGGCGCGACACCGGCGATTTGGGCCGAGCCTAAATTCAGCTCAAGCATGAAGAAGCAACATACAAATCTCTTAGTTGTCAATGACATGTTTGGCTCTGAAGTCTACATTAAAAGAAAACCGTTCAAGGACATCATCAGCTTTGAAAAGTCGTTCGAAAAAAATCAAACTTCATAGGGATACTTATGGAAGTGTAGATAGGACATGGTTAAAAATAAAACTAATTCGTACGTACGAATTACTAAACCGTACGTACGAAATACTAATTCGTACGTACGAAATACTAATTCGTACGTACGAATTACTAAACCGTACGTACGAATTACTAAACCGTACGTACGAAATACTAATTCGTACGTACGAATTACTAATTCGTACGTACGAATTACTAAACCGTACGTACGAATTACTAAACCGTACGTACGAATTAATAAATCGCACGTACGAATTACTCAGTGGCTTAGCCACGGGAGGGGGGGGGGGCGTGGGGGCAGTGGCGTAGCCAGGAATTTGTCAGTGGGGTTGGGGGGGGGGGGCGGCGCTGGGGGGCTGGAACATTTCATGGGGGGGGGGTGTCATGTAGAACAATGATAATTTTTTTAGAAACTCAAAATCTCAGTGGGGGCGACTGGTGGGCGACAAGGTTTCATGGGGGGGGCTGTCAGCCCCACGCCCCCCCCCCGTGGCCACGCCACTGCGACAGCCCTCCCCCCCCCCCATGAAACCTTGTCGCCCCCCCCCAAGTCGCCCCCCCCCCACTGAGATTTTGAGTTTCTAAAAAAAATATCATTGATCTACATGACGCCCCCCCCCCTACTGAAATGTTCCAGCCCCCCCCCCCGGCGCCCCCCCCCCCTCCCCCCACTGGAAAATTCCTGGCTACGCCACTGGAATTACTCAACCGTACGTACGAATTACTAAATCGTACGTACGAATTACTAAATCGTACGTACGAATTACTAAACCGTACGTACGAATTACTAATTATTTCGTACGTACGATTTAGTAATTCGTACGTACGGTTTAGTAATTCGTACGTACGGTTTAGTAATTCGTACGTACGATTTAGTAATTCGTACGTACGGTTTAGTAATTCGTACGTACGATTTAGTAATTCGTACGTACGGTTTAGTAATTCGTACGTACGAATTAGATTTATTTTTAACCATGTCCTATCTACACTTCCATAGATACTAACTTTTAAGCCTACTACTGATTTAAAACCACACGAGCTAACTTACAGCAAGGTTGTGTCCTGTGGTATTCCGTTTGGCAGCGATTTCAGACCTTTTCCACTGCAGTTTACAATTTTCTTAAAACTGTCACACTCGCAGACATGACAGGCATCATCTTCTGTCGTTGCAAGACATAAAGGTAGAGTGCTGAGTAGAGCGAGACATAGCCAATGTATTCCTGGAGACTTCTCAGGCTCCTTGCGTCTCGTAATCTGCGCCATCACTGATGCGTCGGTCTGCACGGTTTAGGCTTATATATCACTTGTGTTTTGTTTCTGCTGAGGTTCTGGTTTAATGCTATGATAAGCATTGCGTCAAGGTTTTACTTCCGGTTGTGCTGCAACAATGAAAGTCCCTTTGTATGGTGTATGGTGTACTATAAAGGACACCTATCTGTTATCGTCGTGCGTGAGGGGATCGAGCTCCGTCGTGCCTGTGATATGGTGTTCTAAAGACGCCAAATGGTGTTCTAAAGACGCCATGATCTGCGTCGCATCGTGATTTCACGTCGTGCCGTCGCGTCGTACCGTCGCGTCGTGCCTTCGCCCGTCGCGTCGTGCCGTCGCCCGTCGCGTCGTGCCGTCGCCCGTCGCGTCGTGCCGTCGCCTCTTAAATTACCGTTTCTAAGCACGAACACTGCATGAGGATGCGATGCACCTTCACACGTCGCGTCGTGCCGTCGTGCGTCACGTCGTTCCGTCGTACGTCGCGTCGTACCGTCGCCCGTCGCGTCGTGCCGTCGCCTGTTACCTCGGTGTTTCTAAATAGACTGCTTGAAGAGGCGACGCACACATTGCCCGTCGCGTCGTGCCGTCGTCCGTCGCGTCGTGCCGTCGCGTCGTCTAAGTTTTCTTAGAAAAGTACAAGTTTAAAGACGTGAATATAACCCACTTTATTCAATACCTAGTGTGCACAAGAAACACTTTAAACTGCGGCAAACAAGGCTTCATACTTTGTCTTCAAACGCTTCCAATAGATGGCCAAGGCCAAGGGAGTTCAAGACGTTCTCCATCATTAATTAGAATAAGACAATCGAAACAGCGCGCCACCTATTGTCAAGAAAGATATAGTCACGCGACGGCACGACGCGACGGGCGACGGCACGACGCGACGGACGGCGGCACGACGCGACGGTACGTCGCGACGGCAGGACGTGAAAGCACGACGCGACGCAGATTTGGCGTCTTTAGAACACCATACGACGGAGCTCCCCACACGCACTACGATAACAGATAGGTGTCCTTTATACACCATACCTTTGTGGTCCAATTTACATGCTGCGCTGCCGCGCTTAAAGGCAATGGACACTATTTGCAAACGTTCAAAAATGAAACTGTCCAAACATCATGAAATGTCCTACCTGATAAGTAAATAATAGAATCAAGCATCCTGTGACGCGTTGCTTCTCGTACAAAAGCTAATGCTGTAGTTTCGGGAAAAGAGGAGTCATAACCGATTCCTCGCGTTGGTTCGCGCTTTCAACACAACTATATCACTCTTAACACTGAAATGTTGAATCCAACACTTAAGGTTCGGTGAGTGACCTCGCTTTGAAAGTATTAAATCCAGCATGTTAAATGCTAAATTAAATTTAAGTGTTTATTCAACTTTTTTCAAAGTGTTAACTTTGAAAGTGTTGCATCCACAACTGTTGAATTAGCAGTTTAAGCGTTGGATTTAACAATTTAAAATATGCTGGATTTAACACTTTCAAAGTGTGGTCACTGATCGATCATGTAAGTGCTGGATTCGTTATTTCAGTTTAACATGCTTTGCGTTGAGAAAATAATCTTAAAGATACACTTTCAAAATTTTCTCAGCAAGTGTATCATCCATTGAGCTTAAAATTCGACGGGTTTCTTTAATAACCTGCTTCAGACTTTTGTTTTCTGTTTGCTAATAATGTCAGTTACCTTAAATATTTTCCAAACCACTTGTGTATAGTATATGAGTTTTATTATTTGACGACACGTTTAAGTGCGGGGGATATAAGTATAGGTAATGTGCTATGCTTTTTTACCTTTTCATTTTTAAGTTAATACATTTTCAGAATTTCATGGTTTAACAGGCCCACCGAGGTGTAAAAGAATTACGAGGCAAAAAGGGAACAAAACAAAAACCCAGAAATAAACGCACTGGGTTTTAATTTAGGGAAGAAAGTGGGTGAATATTAATCAAAAAGTACTCATTATTACTTGTATAACGAAAGCACGTTCATTGGTGTCAACGGGTGTTTGGTTTCGTATCGTGAGAATAAAAGATGACAATTGAAGTCATCAGTTTTTTTCCATTAATTAGAATTGTCTGAAAATGCATGCGCTCAATTGGTTAGGGAAGTTCTACCAAAGTGAAAGTATTTCGAGCGAGTTGAAAGAAAGTCACGGTATCCATATATGAACAATGATTCACTGCTAGCTTTGACGAATACTGATACAATCTGTTTCGTTGATCACAGCTGTGTTAAAATGTTGTAGAAAGTGCGCATGTAAAATTGAAGTTCATGTAAAATTGAAGTTCAGTTGAAGTTCATGACAGAAAGAAGGAAACAGCTGCAGGAAATGGCGCCAGAGTTGTTGTCCAGCCGTGCGAATAGTCCCCGAGCAAGTATATCTATAGGAATGAGGTATTCTGTATCCTTCAGAATCCCCCAGTTTTCAGTCAAATATCCCTAGGGCTCCAATACCTGACTTCTGGAGGCACTCAATGGTGATGAAGCCAATTTTAATGGTTTTTAAGAATGAAAATTATGATTGTCTTTTCACTTGATATTCACTATGAAAGATATATACGTGTACCTAGTTAATAACGAGGGTGAAATATTTCATTCTGTTTCTGTCTGTCTTGTAATTTTCAGGCGAAATTTGCAGAGTTTGTCCAAAAATTACGCCCTTTTTTCTCTGGGTCAGGTCAGGGGGCATGTGCCGACCTTTCGATTTTCCCTGGTTAAGGAATAACAAGTGAAAACAAAACAGTCCCGATTTCGATTTCCTCCAGACAACTTTTCCTCACATGTTGCTATCGCTGCTGGTGGCTCAAATACGGAAAAAAGTCCACGCAGTAGGCCTAAGTTAAGGCCTATTTTGAGCCACAAATGGGGCTTGCTACATGTACATACAGGCCACGGCAATGCCCGTCTGCTTTTCTAGATTTTACAACCTAAAAAACACCCCGAATTAAAGCCACTAATCATCAGTTTTGTGAATGTGTGGTCACGATTAATAATTGGTTCTGATAGATTTAATTTTCTCTGCATGAGAGAAATAAAACATTGATCCCAGCTGAGTGTAATGTGTAGCCAGGCGCGGCCACGGTGCACAGACAATCGTGGCTGCCATTGACTTTGGGTCGGAACGACCGTCCGCGGAAACGCGTGCAGAAACTCATTTTCCCAGCACATAGCTGCTGTAACAACCAAACGATATCCGCATCGATCGTTGAGTTAAACTATGTCAGTATAAATCGTACTCGCTATAAAATACAGGAATTAGACGAGAATAATTGAACTATTAATCATGTATTGCTTAGTGTGAGTGCCGAGGTAAGTAACCAAATAAATGAAAGGGAGTAATATAACCATAAGCACTATGAATATAATTGTTTAAGCCATGCAAACATATAAATACAAACTGTATATATTCATTAAACTATTCAAATTGAAAATCATCCTAATAAACCTCTACAGTTAATGTTTCGGATCAAAACAAAACAGCGTTTGAAAATTTCACTAAATTGCAACCTTTGAATAAGAATATTTTGAAACAGAAAATGACGTTTAAGCAAGACATTCATCGCAATACGGAACTCTCGGCCTCTGTCCCTCAGCTCGGAGTGTTGTCTTTTAAATTACCAATGTTTCTTGGGGATTCAAATTTGTGGCCAAACAAACGCTCAGGATTATTTGAAATGTAGTGTTTTTTGTCTTTGAATTAAGCTCCGGTGCTCATATGCAGTCAAGCGGATGGAATATTGCCGTCCGTGGACAAACAGGTTTAGCACATGAAATTATTCTCAGAGGCAAAATATGCATAATTGGCAATGTTTTTTTCGTCACTTGCGTTTAAAGATCAATATTTTATTACCATTTAATTGAATTTTTGAAATATGCTCAACAAGTAGGTGAAAAATTTCTGGCAAAAGTTGGTTTCCTTCTTTTTGCACCACCGTGTATGGACATTTCCGGATCTATTTTTATTAAGTACCCCCAAAGCCTACTAAGCCACTTAGCCACATAAAGCACCACGATTACAGCTGGAGCTAATTAAGGTGAACACAATTAATTAAATCTATACTTGAGTTGTCACTCTTCATACTTTATCATAAGCTTATCGATAAAATTCTATATTAGCACAAAGTAGCGCAAAGCCTGCAATAGTATACAAAGCCTTAAATGAACTTATATAGGACCTATATAGGACCATCTGGTGTTAAATTTTACTGGTGTTGTCCTATATAGATACCGAATGGTGTTAAATTAACACTTCAGTTTTTGCAGCGCATTAAAATTGCAATATGGAGGAAGATATTATGAAGTTGTATACATTATGAAGTTGTATAATCATGAGGCATAATGTCTATTGCTATATATATATACGGTCATCAAACAAAGTCCAGTATACATGTATACTTCCAACGAAAGTGAGCAATTTTTAAGCTGACATTAAAATATACTTTATAATCAAACATTACTTTATTCAGCAGTAGCTAATTTTCATGTAATGTGTAGTCCAGAAGTGAGCCAAAAATTTGTTAAATTCTGCCAAAAATCGTTTTGCTGCCAAAAAAAGGAAAACAAAATAAAAAATATATTAACAAGATTTGAAAGACAAAATATACATACATTGCTTAAACATTAAATTTTCATCAGGGTAAATAAAAATAACATAATATCGTTTTTCTAATTGGAAAACGGTTTTAATGTTAATTTCAGTTTGTTTATTTTACTACACAGAAAGAACTGTAAGCGGTAAGCGGAATCTCCATGGAGATTGGAGAATGACCACTTCCTTCGTTATTGTTGTCATTTAATACCACTATATAAAAGCAAAATCCATTCCGATGCTCAACAAATATTCTTAACTTCCTTCTCCATACTTTTCCTTTCCTTACAATCGTTGTTTTACATTTGTCGCTTGAGCTGCTACTACAACATAACGGATTATAAAGACACCAGAAATTACCGATATTGCAATTTTTGACGATGAAAAGTTATCATCATGAGCTACAGATTAATCATTGATCTTCACAATCACAGTCAAAATCACAAATCTCAAATCTTAATGGAAAAAAGCTTGGCTTGATGAAATACATTACAGCTTGAATCACAAACTAATATATTATCTTAAGAAAAAAAATAACTACAGAAAAATAACATTTCACAGAAATATAACTCAATCAGTAAAGTCTGTAAATCCCAGATTTCGCAGATTTCAAAAAAGAGCCTTTCTGACCTCAAATCCTGCAACCAATTATCAGTGAATTTCTAATTAAAATAAATTTGAACTATACAGATAGGCCCCACTCTCCACCGTTGCCATAGAAACTGCTCATCAAACCAATTCCGAGGCTTGCTCAGTAGTATCGGATCTCGTTCACGACACAATCGCCAGCTATCTGCAAAGCGGTGATATTTTGAAACGGCAGACGATGCTCGTATTCGAAGAGATGCAAGCCATTCATAGCGACCTTGAACTTGTTTCTCTCGCAAAGGAACATGATCTACACGTACATATATATAAGGTACGTTGTTTATACATAAAATCACAAATCATACAATATAATGATTCGCAAAGGAGGGTGTCACACGACATCACCACAACCTCTCAAAAATCACGACAGCCCAACCGCTTCAGATGTTTTCCCCAAGGCCGGTGATTTTTTTTTGTACGTGCCCCCCCCTCCCCTCCCTAAAAAAAATGTTTCTTTGCCCCTCACTTGCCCTCCAAATTGTAGAGTCTGGCGCCGCAACTGCTTACATCACACACAGTTAGGCCGACAATAATTTAACACCCCACCCCCAAAATGAAATGAAATTTGGAAGTTCTGATCGTAATTACTTGGTATCTTGCTTTAAACAATGAAATCAATTAATAAAATATAGGCCAAAATAAGTAAACCAACATACTAGACTGATCGGTTGTAATTAAAACAAATTGTATTCCCCTTGTAAACGATTTTCAGCTTGTGTCGGCTTGGAAATTAGAACTAATGAGGACTAAATGACGTACAATTTTGAAAGCGTTCAAATCAATAGAATTTTTCACGCCAATGATCTTTTTCACGCAAATTATCATACATCTACGATCTCTATTCCAGTGCAAACTGTAAAATTTTAATCGAATTCCTTTTGCTTTTTTCGGAAATGTTATTCATTTTGAAAGTTCGCCGAAGAAAGGGAGACCATACGAGTGAAATTTAGAAGTACCATAATGTTGTAAGCTTTTCGATGGTTAAAGTCGCGTTGTCCGTGTGTTTTCTTCTTACAAATTTACAAGTTGTATTTTTTAAAGATATTTTTTTCAAATTGTGAACGTGTACATAAAGCATTTCTTGGTTGATTTTGCGTACGCGCATACTCTAGGGGTTAGACGTTGTTATGATTTGATACGCGATAACCCGCCGCCGCGAGAGGGCGTTGTCACGACCAACAAATATAAGGCCGTGTCCGAACCAGAACTACGGCTACGTCTATTGTCAGCGCGTCCCGCGTATTTTCAAACCTAGGCCTAGCTCTAGACAGCTGATTTGGATACAGCCTCACCCACAAACTGCCAAGATTTTACAAGATTCCCTAGACGTTGTTACTGGCAGTTCCAGGTGATATTGGTTGATCGTGATAACGTCCTCTTGCGGCGGCGGGTATCGCGGCGGCGGCGGGTTGTCGCGTATTCATCATAACAACGTCTAGCCCTACAGACTAACGCGCACAAACAGATCATCCTGCCATCCGACTGGTTCCCGGCCCCTGCGTTATTGACTCTAAATGGGGTCTAGAACCAGTCAAAAGTTCTAGAACATATTTATCGTTGTGTCGCAAATGCTTCGCAATATTTTTGGGTAATTATTCCCAAACACGGGTTGAATTTTGTTCTCAAAGTCTCATTCAAATGTAAATAATTTTTGTATTGTTGAGTTTAATTGCATATTTTTTTCGGGGTTAGCCCTATAATAGCTGGGACATTAAATCCTTGCCCTTCAACTGAATACTGCAATTTAATTTGCAATCGATTTTTCTTATATTCAAGATGAGTGTAAGGAAATTCTACTTATTACGAAAAAATGAGTAGACATCACGTGAACAATACCACTTGTTAAGAGAAAGATGCATACAAAATATTCCTCGAGAGTAAAAAAATATATACGTATTGTTCAGGGAATTATTTTTTTCAGACATATGAGATTTGTCCTATGATACACCTGTAGAATGATGATTTTACACAGACCCATAAATAGTATCAGAAACAGGTCTGCCACTAATTAGAGTCGTTTCTCCTTCAGTATGCGATGCGTTGATTGGTCTACGGGATCGCGACCGGTTTGGGTGCGGTATCAGACGGCCAATGACAACGATGCATGCAAAAGCACGACTGCAGCAGGATGTCTTCCATACAGCCTTCACTAAGGTCCAAACGGCGCTTCCTAAAAAATACAAATGAATTGGAGTAATTGGATTGGTAGTAAAAACAATCGGTGATCAAAATGAGGAAACATAATCCATGAGTTTGCCATAATACGGTATTTTTATCCGACTTAAAAGTTTTATGTCATCGGAAATTGTAAGTTTAATTTAAAACAATAATAATGTGGTATTCTGGTTTGTAACGGATTATACTTTGACATGGCTCCTATATCAACGAAAGTGGTGTTTGGAGCGAACGACCTGGATTATAAGCTAACTTATTCTAAACCAAATTTCTTAATTTAAAAAAAAATTAAATAGTTCAAATCACCTGCCACAAAGGCAACTATGTTCAGGTTGATAACAATCAGGAAGACGACCAGAAATTCCTTTCTTGCATCGCTGGACTGGTTCTCTTCATTTGGTAACAGAAGCAAAGATGCTGCCGACAGATTCAGGAAGATGGTAGTCAGGGAACACATCTGAAGACGGTGCTCTGCCGCATCCTTCATTGGTTTCAAGTAAGCATGGGCGATAAGAAAGGCCACGGATAAGACAATGGTAGCAAAGAGCGTGAAATGATCATCAGCATTGAACATCAGAACGAAGACAACTTGGAGGACTTTGCGAGCAAGTTCCACAATCTCCCAATACCAGAACTGCTCCTTGTAGTTCTCACACAAGAAACTAACCCAGGTGATCTTATTGTCGTCAGTCTTTTCTCGGTCCGACTCGGGGAGAGAGGAACTTGTCACGTCATCATGTTCAACATCTTCAGATTGCACACCGGTACCTTCAGAAGTATTTATCTCTTCAGAATTGGCGTGACACAAAAGTTCGGTATCTGACTTAGGATCAAGATCAGATTCGTTTTGGTAACCAGACTGATCCGTCTCACTACAACCTCTTGAATGACAGGTGTTCAAACTATCTGGCTGATAATTTTGAGCTGCAACGTCACACAAGGGCTGCCCAGCATTGCAATCATCTGACGGTGCAGAGGAACATTGATCAGATCCCTTGTTGCTTCGACAACTCGCCCACAACATGAGGAACAGTGCCAAGGGAAGGCCAACAACATAACACAGGGACACTTCGGCGGCGTAGTTGTAGCTGACATGCTGATTTGATTCGCAGTCGATGGAGTAGTCCGATCGGAGTCGCAGGACTTTGAAGTGATCGGTGTCATCCAGGTAGAACTCGTCACATCCAGGAGGCAGCAAGGTAAAAATGGCACTCGATACGCTTGGATATGTGACAAACAGAAGAATAACCACAACCAGGTAACAGGTTTGTTTAGTTTGAGCCAAAATATTGTTGCAAACCTCCTTGGACAATTTGGTCATTTTCAGGTAACTTTTCCTGCAACCGTACACAATCAGTGCCAACAACACTACAAAGACAACGAAGCTCATACCAGTTATAAACTCTATGTAAATAGTTGGGTATGTGAAATTTGGGAAGTAGCATCGAGGGCTAACGATCAATTGCGCAATATTCACCTCTAACAATCGGAAAAATGAACCAATGTTAGTAAGTGCCTGTGGCCAATGAATCCCATCCAGTGCTTCGAATATTTCGCCCATGATCTGATAGAAACCAAGTACGATCTTGAATCTGGAGAACAACGCGTTGATGGCAGAACGCCCTCTACGCCGATGTCTTCGAAGGTCCCACATTACGATGATGATTAAAACAACAATAACTACCAGAGCAGCCACAATCTCTAAAAGAAACACATACCATCTGGGACATTCAAAGCATCTGTTAAACCAAGAATAGTAGTTGGCAATGCACTGAGAGCACAAGAAATCCTCATAACCAAATTCACATGTAGCATTTATTCCGTCACCCCCATTCTGACACGATTCTTTTCTTGGACATGGATGAACTTTTGGCAAGGCACCTTTAAACCTTACCGTGCTTTCGTCGTAGCTCTCGTTATGTATGAGGATATTTTGTACATATTTCTCGTAAGATTGATAGTTGTCGACTGAGCCCCAGTCCCAAGTCCACCAGAATCCTGGCAGAAGATGTTGATATTCTTCCGAACAGTCAGTTCCTTGCAACGGACAGGCGAAGCATTCACCAAACCGATCTTTACGGTAGTAATTCGACACACAGGGACACGCGCGGAATCCTGCGTGGCGGCTTGTATCCGTGCCTGATGGACACACCACGCAATCTCCGATGGTTTTACCAGGGTGAGCTTCTGGTGGAACGTATGTGCCATTATTGCAGAAAAAACAATTGAGGTCTGCTCCTCTCTTCACAACTTGTCCTGTTCGGTTTTGAAAAAAACCTCCTGAAGGAGACATCAAAACAAACTATTTTATTGTATTTATATGCCTGTCGAATATGTTGCAAGGCTCAGTACAGTTTTGTTACATTTTTATTTTAGAATAAGCTTTAGGGCAGTGCTTTTTCTGGTAAATTCTGCTGAATTACTTTTCGTAAGGTTAATCACAGTATTTACACAATTTCCAACAATGTAAATAGTAGTTTAAATCTTGAATGAAAGTGATTGGGTTTGCTTGCAAACTGCAGAAGCCGAGACCGACTTAGAATGTTATTATTTGTATATTTAATACGTGTACTATCCTCAATTAAGTTCAGTCATTGAATCCAAACTTGTTCGTTACAGAACATTAATCAGAAGCAACAAAACCACGGCATTAACAGATCTGTACGAGAGGGAATAAAGTGCTTGTGTTGCGATACCTTTCGATAAGTTAAGGATATCATTTTAATGGACCGATCCAGTAAGCACCGCTCCATGGTATTCTGACCAATCACAGCCATGATTTACGTCCGACATGCGTGCATAAAAGTCCAACATGCGCGTGCACGCGCGTATGATGCGCGCGGCAGAAAAATGCAGTGTGGCATTGGAAAGGAGCACGTGTTAATTTGCCCACTGCGCAGTGGGAGGGGCTTACTGGATCGGTCCATTTTGGGTGCATTGCTCGACGACGTCTGCGGAATATTTCATTTTAAAAATTGCTTAACATACCTGATGGACAGGGTGTACAATCCTCGGGGGCTCCTCCATAGGTTCCCTGATGACACGTAGTGCACTGATATGTTCTATAGCCTGTTTTTTCACAGCTGAATCCGGCTCGAATCAATAGATTGCGTTCCTCCTTCGTCACGGATAGTGTTTGAACAAAATCAGTCCCGACCAAATTTCTGCATAGTTTTAATGAGTAGATACAATTATGGTTCAATGCAATTCATAATTTGGCACTTCATTAATACAGAAAATGCAATGAACACAAAACAATCTCAGCTCACTGTGGTAGGGCTGAGGCAAGGACTGTGGTTAATTATGTAAGGCCAAAAAAAAAAAAAATACTCGGTCTCTGGTCAGCGCGCGCGTCGATTTTAATCATGCGCGTCAACCTTTTTTTTCCCCTTCAAATTAACACGGAAGCTACAACAGCGCCCTCTATTGCTGCACCTCCTCAAATATTTGTACCAAGGAGCACCAAGAAATGGGGAAATTGCACCAAGGCAAATGATAAAGGGCACCAAGGCAAATTATGGAGGACACCAATGTATAATGAGGACACAAAAAAGCAAAATAGTACCCATCTTGTCAGTACAATTCAAGCTTGAAAAAAAAAAAAAAAAAAGCCAACCAAAAAAAAAAAAACCCTGCGTCGCCGCATCAATTCAGGAACTTCGGTCTGACCAGAGACCAATTTTTTTTTTTTGGCCTAATAGGATGAACTTTGTGCCCCCCATTTTTTTCTAATTCCCAAGTCCTCCAGAGTTAGGTCATGCACTTTCTTGGAAATGGGTTGGTTGCTTGGCAGCTCGTGTGGGCGGTTGGTAGCAGGACTTGCAACCAACCACTAAAGTCCTTGAGGAGAAACTGTATAAATTCGGTGGCCAGTGAACTTTCCCTTCACTTGACCACCGAACTGCAATTAACAGAGACAGGTAGATGGCAGCACCCAGCTCCACTGTTTAAACTGTCTCTGTAACCCTCCAACTGAACCTGCGGTATACATATATACATTCTCTGTCCTGCTCTAGGTGAGTTTGATAATACTTGTATCTTACTTTTACTCCTAGGTTAAAGTGTTTATTCTTTACTCAAAGTTTAGACCAAGTCGTCATAATGTTGTTATTATTACTATTATGTTCCTTTTTTGCCATCACTATATTTTAAGTTGAGAGTGTTGTTAAGCTTGATAGATGAATATTGAGTTCTTAGACATTCCAACTTTGGCCAATTTCCACTTGAGAAGTTCTTACTGCAGTTGACATTTTTATTGTTTCGTTGTTGTCATTTCTTGAAGCAAGCACAATTTTCTTTTGAATGTTTGATGCATTAATTTTCTCATAACCTGATTTGAGAAGTAGCCATGTTCTCTGAAAGTAGAACAAATTCCAAATTGATCGATTCCCTAAATTGTTTGATTTTCTATGATTGATCTGAAAGTTTATGTACTCCGATTTGCTATTTTTGTACTAAAGACTTGTGGCGACTCTAGTCTAAATGAAGTGGAACTTAAGAAAGAAGAGTTTGTAGGACTACAAGTACAAAAATAATGATTTATTATTATGAACATCCTTGGATTATTCAGTTAACTTTTTGGCATATGAAAGACAATCAGCATCTAATAATCATTCCCAGTTACTTTTGATTTAAGTGAAAAGAGGAATAATTTCCTTAGTACAAATTCTGTGAATTTGTAGTTCTCTTTGATCATTTGATAAGTGTATTCATTTTACTTGATATATCTAGCATAGCCTTTTAAGTTTTATCTAGTTTAGTTTATTCCAGTAGCTAGCATTTTCTTTATTTTCTTTATATCCAAGTTTCAAGTTTTCAATCTTCGATATTCCTTTTTGTTTTAAGATTAATTTGATTATTCAGGATCTTGGTATTTTCCATCCTGGTCAACTTTTACTTTCTTATTATGAGTCATTCGTATTCCCTGAATTGTTTTAAGTGTTATGATGCAACAGGTGTAACCTTGTCATGCCTGAGGCATTGGTCTTGGTATAATGTCCTTGGGGGTATCTTACTCACTTCCGGGTAAGACCTACCTGCATGCACACTAGTGGTAGAGGGCATTGACCAGCGCTGGTGACCATGACAACGGTACACACAGCCTATTGTTTAAAGGGACTTTTGACTTTTGCTTATTTGAAGATTCCATTTACTAAGTATTTTATGAAGTTGATATTTATATTGACTTGACCACTGAACTGCAATTAACAGAGACAGGTTGTTTGGCAGCAACCAGCTCCACTGTTTAAACTGTCTCTGTAACCATCCAACTGAACCTGCCATATTCATGTATTCATCCTCTGTCCTGCTTTAGGAACGAAGGACACGAGTGCTTTATAACTGTACAGTTGACAGCTTTTACATTTATCAACTGACAGCTAGAGAAGGAGTATAGACATATCCTTTTGGACCCCTTTCGTCCAGTCGTCTTTATCTCATTGTTTAAAGCATTGAGAGTCTTCATGTAAAGTCTTCAAGTTTCCCTTAGCACCGAGTCAAAGAATTCCGCCAAGCTAGTTTTACTTTTTCCGACAAATCAAATCAAGTCAAGTCAAGTCTCCAAGTCAAGTAAGTCCCGTCAAGTTCCGTCAAGTCAAGCAAGTCCCGTCAAGCAAGTCTACAACAACGGATCAAGATAGGCCCTTTAGTCTCTCTTTTATATTCATATAACCGGTAAAAATTAATTGTGTCGGCGTATGCATTTGACTATATCATGCCCGCTACACATAATGCGACTAAACTCACTCAAACGCTTGAGATTGCTGCTTGAGTTTGTGCCACATCGGTGGACATTGATCCCTAACCGAATATTAATTGAGACTTACATATTGAGGTCGGACCTGGTGAAAGGAACTCTCCTGAGTGTGCTGCCAATGGATCTGTGGAAATTGAATGAGCCGATGATTAATGATAGATAGCAAGATCAATCTGTTCTTTGGGACGCAACTGACATAATCGAGTCCGTTGTTGATGAAAAGATGTTTCTGTAGAAACAGAAAGGATATGCCGTGCAGTCGAGTGTAGTTATGCTGGCACGCTAGCGTAAAATAAAGTATGAATGCCAAAAGATGCATACCCCATGCACGCCCCAAAACGAATTTTCAATTGGCATGTTTTGTTTGAACGAAATCTACTTTATTCCGATTGTTTAGGTGTTGGGTTATGAACCCACAACCTATTGTTATTGGCGTCTGTATTTGTCTCAACAAGGTCTTTCATATTGTGCACAAATAACCCGCCCTGCGAGAGCAAAATTGTCTTTCAGTAGAACCTTGCTAGTAACTAGGGCGCTAGAAGTTATTTTCAGGTGTTGGGCTTTAGTCCAAAACCTATTGTTTTTGCTAGGATTTTTAGTTGTTTTTTTTCTATACACATTCCTTCTCCAGAACTGTGTGTCAAAATGAAAACATATATGAACTTCAATTGTCAATACATGAATGCACAACCTACCGCAGATGTGCTTTTTTGCAATTACGTAATCATGACGTCATCACGGGTCACGTGACGTCACTTCAAAGTTTAATAAATTTAATCTTTGAAATTCCATATAAAATCAACCGTGAGAGACCGGAACCTGAAATTTGCGGGAATCAACATGGTAATACATGATCTTCATTTTATTTTGTGCGCGTAAAATCACGTGACCCTTCCTTCCAGTCGAAACCGGAAGTGCCTAATAATTTTTAAGTGGAAAAAGATATGAACTTGCTTGTAACGATTGAAGTGTCTTCCTGGATTGACCTTTCAAAAAAAATAATAGTTGACGCCATGAAGTGTTGGAGCGCCCTCTAGCGGCAGGTTAAAAAAACGTCAGAAACGCATTTTCACTTGATGTCTGTGGCGAGGTTTGCGGTAATCGCTTCAAAATTAATGTACATGATGACCATAATGCAGACAACACCTGTGCGCGAAAAAAAATTGAAAAAAAAATTGATTACGTCATCAGACCGGAAGTTACAATAAAAAGACCTTTAAACCTTCAAAAATTGCTAGAAAATATACCGTGATAGATATAATCAAGATTTGGCTGTATATAGCACAGTTAAAATAGCTCTTGAACTTTCTGGTAATGACGTCATAATGACGTCATCAAGTATCAGGTTTCTAGATTCAATCTTTGAAAATCAATATAAAATCAACTGCTACAGATTTGATTTTGTTTTTATGGCAATCGATACAATATTGCAGGGTCTTCAGTCTTGGTATTAAATGCAAAATCACGTGACCCTTCCTTCCGGTCGAAACCGGAAGTGCCTTATTATTTGAAATTGGCAGAAGATGCGAACTTGCTTTCAACGATTCGAGTGTCTGCCTAGGCAGTACTGTACAACAATTTTACAGGTGACGTCAACAAATGTTAAAGCCCTCTGGCGGCATGTTGAAAAGTCAAACATGGATTTAAACATGCATATTTTGAGTTGATGTGTGTGGCAAAGTATCAGTTTTATGAATGACACGTTAGGAGATAACATACAGAGATCATCGCTTATTGCGAACCGCGTGTGGTATTTTCACACCATCAACGGATTCTTGCTCATTGTGAACTATCATATCACTTCCTATGAATTCACTTGTCCATGTTGACTATACAGGGTGAGTAAGAAAACGAAACCCAAATGACAGGACCAATTTTTGAATGAAATTTTGCCTGTAGCACTTTCAAAATCTAGATTATGAAAGCCCAATCAATGCGCTTTCTTTTAGTCCAACAAAAATTCAAATCACTCATATACTGTTCAAGTTACAGAATTTTGAACACGAACGCTCTTACATAAATTTAAAGTTCTGTCCACGGATCACGAAAAAGGTAAGTGTTCTATCAGCAAAAAGAAAACAATGCACATGCATCATGAGAATTGTTTTCGTTTTGCTGAAAGAACATTTACTTTTTTTGTGATCCGTGGACAGAACTTTAAAACTGTGGTTGTGTTCAAAATTCCGTAACTTGAAAAGTACATAAGTGATTTGAATGATTCTTGTACTAAAGGAAAGCTTAATGACTAGGCGTTCATATCCTACATTTTGAAAGTGCTACAGGTAAAAATTGGTCCTGCCATTTGGGTTTCATTTTTTTTACTCACCCAGTATGATGCATATATGCACTTGCGCTTCCTAAACGCTACCTTCGACTTTCCTTCGAATTTATCGACGTGCGTTGTTATTTGGCAATCGTATCGACCTATGAACACCGAAGAACACACTGAATTTCTGCACTTGTTACGAGAAAGATGGCAATCGAGCACCGTCAAAAGAAGGGTAATTTTTTTACGTATTTCCGTTTGACATATATTACGTAATAATGTCGAGGGCGCCCTCTACACATGCCACAAGGTGCTTCATTTGCGTGGACGGGAATGTCTGATTTAGCTTCACAATTTCTGGGTCGTTTTTCAAAACATCTTATGATACATTTTTGTATCCATGTTTTTGGTCAATTTGTATACACAAATAACTACAACAGTACAAGGCTGTTAACCGAATGCACTTTCTGAACTATTAAACTGTGAACACCATTATTTTTCTGTACATAGAATCTATATTGTATTGTTATTTTCACGGCTGCGATTCAAAGCCACATCATACCACTGACAGATGGCAGGTTGATATTTTTACGACGTTATTGTGCTTGTGATTTTTTTATGACCATGGATTTAGTTGAGCTTTTCTCAAGCTATACCGTGGTATTTCCTTTTGACATGTCTGGTTATTGTTGCAAGGAGAATAATAGCTTTCTACCTTGTTCACACACCGGGAATTTTAGTGATTAATGATCCTGAAACCACACTGCGTGCAGCAATGCCTCTCCAATTGTAACTCCACTTTTATTTAGTACGCGTGACCCACGTCGGTTAGTTGAGGATTAAGGGGGAAAATACCCCCATCTTCCGGCTTATGACAACGAATAGTTGATATGATTTATTGAGCCGAAATGGTATACAGCATGAAGGTAAAATAAAACAACGATTTTGCACCTTTTAAAAATCCATCAAATGGGGAAAGTACACCCCAGAGTTAATGAACCCATCAACTTGTGAACACCTGTTTACGACAAAGTAGCTCTAAAAAGTGAAACATTTCACTTACAGGTCAACATGTCTCATTCACACCATTTTGTACACGGACCAAAAGTGTTGAACACTGGTACATTTTGGTTCAGCAGATATTTTTGTCTGCTGCATGGTTTGCATAAGTATATGAAATAACACAGACAAAGCACTTGCAACACGATCCGTTAGAATATTCAGGGGCGGATCTAGCTCTCAGGAAACGGGGGGGGGGGGTGATATAAGGGGTGGATCATAGGCTATAAGGCACACCCTGCTGAGGGGTTCGGAAAAATCCCCCCCCCGGAAAATTATTTTAAAATCTACGATACCTTCTCATGCATTCTAAGGCAGTTAGAGAACAAATTTAGGAAATTTAGCATATTCCATTCATTATTTTTGGCTTTTATGTTTTTCTTTGAGCGCCCGGTGGGGACCCATAGAAGATACAGGATAGAAGATATCATCTGGTCGCTGGGAAAACAAAATTCTGGCAATTATTTTTCTTTCAAAACCCGTATTAATTGACATTAATGCATGGGAATTCCCTCGGGTGTTGTCAGCCGTTCGTTTTTGACGTGCAGGTTTGACCCCCCCAAAAAAACGCCGAGTGTTTTTTTTCTCACGTGCAAAAAATGATTGCGAACTTGCCAAACATGCTCAGTATAATATCGCAGTGTCCGTAAACTACGAGGCGAGAGATACAACCACACCGGATCAGTCTCCTCCATCTACGCCAGTCGTTTCCCGGTTACCCTGTCGTGGGGTCAGTCTGAACGAGCGCCACATTCAACAGGAGTTGTGAATTGCTTGTTTTTTCTTTCTCTCCGATTCTCCCACGTCGACAAAAAAAAGATACGAGGGGAAAAAATGGCATCCACTTGTAAGGGAGGCTGTTGGATATCTACCGTGGGCGACACGCAAGTGATCCTCATCTGTCTTCCCCCCCCCCTTTTTTTTGGGGGGGGGGGGATTGAGATAAATAAAGCTTATCAGTTAGAGCGCAACACGACCCCGACTGGCCGGGGCCGAGACCTCCACCGGTTGACGCGGCCGTGTTGCGCCCCGTCTAGCCGGTTGACCACGCCATCAGCAAATGATTTCTTCGTTGTGTGGTTTGAATTTTGATAACCATTGTTCCCTTTTCCCAAGTTTCTGACAAATTGGTGCTTCTTTCCTGTACAGTACACAGATCTGGAAAGAATGATGGCATAATTATCATGTTATCGTTCAATTTTATTCCGTCAAGCTTTCGAACTGTTGGACGATTGCAAGGTTCTTTTCTGTTACTACAAAATGTTGGCCTTTTTTACAGCAGCGATATGGTCATCGAACTATCTTGCGAGTTTAGTGGCTACAGTTCATCAGTTTTTTTTTTGTTTTACCTTATTGGACACTTGCCAACACCGAAAATACAAATCAAGCAAAACCTTTCAACAAAGATGTGCCTTTTTAGCTTTGGGTTGCGTTAAACATTTTCCAAGGAAGACTCTGTTTGGTGTTTACTATGCTTATTTTCCAAATTACTCGCTACCCAAAATACTCCACGTACGGGGAGTACTTCGGTACGGGCCCAGAGAGACGGTGATGTCGCTTTAAGGCGAAGTGTCATCGACGATGTGTACCAACGATACGGTAACACAATGGTAACGTGTAGGTTGTTCTCGTTAGGCCCAACACCTACTATTATTCTATGAGTTCACTTTTCTTGTTAGGTGTTGGGCGTCAAAGCCCAACACCTATTGTTATTGTAAGAATTCTACTTTTTTTTTTTTATTCAAGACACTTTCGTTTCTAGAACTGTTTGGCAAAATGAAAACATATATGAACTTCAATTGTCAATGCATGAATGCACAATCCACAGAAAATGTGCTTTTTTTGTAATTACGTCATTATGACGTCATCATGGGTCACGTGACGTCACTTGAAAGTTTAATAAATTTAATCTTTGAAATTCCATATAAAATCAACCGTGACATACCGGAATTTGAATTTTGCTCTTCATTTTATCTTGTGCGCGTAAAATCACGTGACCCTTCCTTCCGATCAAAACCGGAAGTGCCTAATAATTTAAAAGTGGAAGATGATATGGTTTCGACCGGAAGGAAGGGTCAAGTGATTTTGCACTTAATACTAAAAATAAAGACCCTGCAATATTTTATCGAATGCCATAAAAAACAAAATCAAATTTGTAGCAGTTGATTTTATATTGATTTTCAAAGATAAAATATGGAAATATTTATTTGCTTGTAATATGACACTTGATGACGTCATTGTATCCAGAGCTATATTTACTCTGCTATATATAGACAAATCTTGATTATATCTCTCACGGTTGATTTTTTAGCAATTGTTTAAGGTTTAAAGGTCTTTTCTTTATAACTTCCGGTCTGATGACGTCATCCATTTTTTTTCGCGCACAGGTCTTTTCTGCATTAAGTTCATCATGTATGTTAGGTTTGAAGCGATCACCGCAAATTTCGTCACATATCAAGTGATAATCAACATGAACAATCAACATTAACATCAACAATCAACATCAACAATCAACAGCAACATCAACAATCATCAGCAACATCAACAGTCAACATTAACATCAACAATCAACAATTAACATCAACATCAACAATCAACAGCAACATCAACAATCAACAATCAACAATCAACAATCAACATTAACATCAACAATCAACAATCAACAGCAACATCAACAATCACTAATCAACAATCAAAATCAACATCAACAATCAACATTAACATCAACAATCAACGTCAACATCAACAATCAACATTACTATCAACAATCAACAGCAACATCAACAATCAACATCAACAATCAACAACCAACATTAACAATCAACAATGAACATCAACAATCAACAATCAACATCAACAATCAACAATCAACATCAACAATCAACATTAACATCAACAATCAACATCAACAATCAACATTACTATCAACAATCAACATCAACAATCAACATCAACAATCTACAATCAACATGAACAATCAACAAAATTGACTTTTGGTCGGTCGTATGAGAACGACCGACCAAAATTTGCAAAAAGAGAGTTCTCGTGTCACATTACTGGGTCTTATCGAATTTTGTGAATCCAATAACTAAACGTCGGTGGATTTCTTTTGTTCAATGTAAAGTGAATACTTTTTATACCGCTAGGAAATTAGCAATTGAAAAACAAAGCTGCTATATTTCGAGGTGAAATCCGAAAATAAGTTTCAAATTAAGTATGAAACTGCTCATCATGTAAATTGCGACACAGCAAAATATAAGTACGATGTTAAATCACTTCAATGTCCTGCAATAATTATGCAAAGTATATACTCACACGTTGCAGCGAGGTCCTAAATCTTGCCAAACCGAATCAGCAATAACTTCGACGTCGTTACCGTAAAGAGATCTGAGACGAAAGCATGTGGATTAACAATCTTAAAAGGTTTTTTTTTATATATATAAAAACCCATTTTTTAACGGATACACAGTTCAATGAATACTGTTTGGTAATCAAAATCATAAAGAGAATTGTTTTTGCACTTCATTTTCATTGGAACTCACACAAGCAGAAGCGAATTGGCTCTCGTCATAAACGGCCTGGCTCCAATTGAACGCAACTCCGCGTTGAACAAGTAACTATTCAAAGAAACCAAACCGAGAACACAAACTAGTTGATATACCTTATGGTCAAATGGACACGTGGATATTTGCACCAATTGGGTCCAAGCGATGTGTATATGGGGCATTTTTATTCAAACTGTCCCATTAAGTTATCTATAGTAAGTGAAGAGTTTAATCACCAAATTCCTTGCTAGGACTACTCACAGGTTTACTAGCTGCGTATCAGAAAACACTCGCTCATCAATTTCGGTTATTGGGTTGTCAGCAATCATTCTGCAAACAAAAGAAGTAAAACTTCTTCATTTTGATCGATACCACAATCTTGACTTGTTAAAGGCATATATATTTGCATTTACCCCAAAATTAACCTACCGAACTATCATCAAAAAGCTTACTTGATTTAAAGATCGTACTGGTACTAAACACCCCGTGAAATAATTCCGTCGGGCTTGCTGTCATTTAGAAGAAATCAAGAAATGTAGGAGATTTCCAACGATCAGTTAGTTGAGTGATTTTGGAAATTAAGAGTTAGAAATGATGACATCGCGTTTTGTGATTACAAGGTTTGCATGATTTTCACTGTTTTTTCGAGACGTGTGGTATCTTCCTAGCTGAAACTTCAAGAGGTTAGGTTTATAACATTCTACTTTGAATTTTGGATATTAGGTAGTGGTATTATTGGAAACAAAATGCATGGACAGCAAGTGAACTTATAAAGCTCAAGTTTGGTTTTGATATTTCCATTCACATTTGAGTTACATCACAGAGACGTCATTATAGGTTTTCCCGGCTATTTTTAAACGTTTATCGTTTGAATTCACCGATCCTATTATTCAAAATCGTCGAGCATAATCGATTTAGTGCACCTCGAATGTTTAACTTCATCTTTTCGTTAGACAATTTCAAATTTAGTTCAAGCAAATTAAAACACTTTGTGTCCCAGAGTATTCGATATCGTCTCGTCTTTACAAAACTTTGTTATTCAGAAATCAATCTCGTCTAATGCACCATAATTAAGGTTTTTCCAGCTATTTTAACACTTATAGCACGCGAATTCCCAATATCGATACTTTAATTTAGCATTCCGATTCGTCCAAATTCTTTGAAATTCGTCTCGTGAAGCAATCGGCGTTGAATTGAAAAAGCAAATTCGTTTTTTGTCATTCGTTTTAATGTCTCTGGTGACTTAAAACATTACGATTAAAAATGTGCCAAATCTTTGGACTTGCAATGTTTGCGCATTAATAAAATTTGAATTTGTTACAAATATTTCATTATAAATGAAAGTATAGCGGTAAATTTTGAGTTTTCTTTTACAATAAACATTAAAATCAGAAATTGAACTTTCACAATATGCTCTTTGCTTAGCATATGGAAATTAAGCATTAAGATCAAACACCTTCGTAATGTTGCTCTTTAATATATGTATATGAATAAAACAACAGAAATAAGGTATGTCTATCAAAAAACAACATTAAGAAGGTTTTTGAACTTAATGCTTAGTGTCCATGTCATTTCGGTGCATATTGTGAAATGTCAATTTTTGACTCGAATGTTAATTGTGAAACACAGCAATAATAATTCACGCCTTACAGCAAACTACTTTTATTTATACATATAAGGAAATATATGTTGAGTTATCATTGTTTTAATTCGCATAATTCTTCAAATAAGTCTAAATATTGGGCGCATCGTATACGATTTAAGTCACCAGGGACGAAAAGTAATGACAACAACATGAAAACGATTGACAAAAAACGAATTTGCTTTGTCAAATCAACGCCGATGGCTTCACGAGACGAACTTCAAAGATTTTGGATGAATCGGAATGCTAACAATTTGAATTATACTGAACCTTAAATGAAATCTAGTGGTGGCTTTCTGAAATTCAAATTGAGAAGTGAGCTTGGCGATGTTCGGGGACGAAATTAAAGTATCAATATAGGGAATTTGTGTGATAAAAGTGTTAAAATAGCTGGGAAAACCTATAATAACATATACGAGGACATTTTAAGAGTCTCCATTCGTGTTTTCCGTCTTTCATTTTGACACTTATTTTTTTCGATTATTTATTTAAAGCATTTTGCTTTGTTGATCTTAGTAATCTTTACTACCCTGTTTTGGTAATGAGCCAAATAGTACTTAGGAAAACAACCAGACTTACTTAACAAGAGTTTTAAATTAATTGATATCACACATTCGATGTCTGAATGCTGCTAACAGCTTAGACGAATTTGATCTGCAATGACGAATATTCTCGACCCAGTGTTTAAAGAGGGTGACCAAACTTTGAAATTAAATGGTAAATGACTAAATTGGTTTTGGTAAAAGCGTGCAAAAAGTTTCTCGGATGAAACTGATTGTTAGACTTGATGAATTTAAATGAAAATAGCCGGGAGAACTTATATTATCGATGTTTTTAGTTCACAAATATTCAGCTTGTTGCTTTAGAAGGTTGTTAAATTGTAATGTGAACATATTCTAAGGATATAACAAAAGGTAAGAATATGTATTTATTTTAAAAATGTGCTGTCGGTGAAAATATTGACTCTTGTTTTTTTTCACGTGTAATAACACTTACAAAGTCCTTAAGTTCTGAAGTCCAACAAACATCTCCCTTCTGAGCACTCTAAAGAAGTTTTGGTGGAGATACAGAGTTCGAAGTTTCCGCTGAAAACGCAAAAGTCCATCCGGGATGCTTGACAAATCGTTTGAAGACAGATCTCTGTGAAAAAAAGAATATAATTCAGATGATTCAAAATGATATTTTTAATCTATTTTTTAAGAAATAGAGTCAGAGCTGGGGGTTGGGGCTTGACCCCCAAACCCCTCTCTGGATCCGCACCATGCGATTTGTTAGTACATTTATTTTTTAATTTTAGCTATTATTTGACCAGGAAAAAAAAAAGATCTTTGAGTGAAGTTTATACAATGAACCTACAATAACTTACAGGGTGCCGAACACAGTAACGTTGGCAAACAGGTCTTCGGGCAGAGATGCAATGTTGTTGGAACTTAGAAATCTAGTACGAAACAAAATTAGATTTTAGCATATTTCAATTAATTTCACGAGATACTACAAACCTTCTTATTGCACCACTGACACACACTGATGACAGACAAGCAGAGTACATGAATGCACAACCCTATTGGGCAGTGAACCAGTCAAAATTTGAATTATGGTGTTTTTTTTTCAAAATTGACTGAACAGTAATTCACATATTAAGGTACAGAATATGAAAAATTCAAGACGAAAATAAAATTCGTTTTCACCGCTAAGAAAAAGAAGAAGACGTTATCTTGATTGTTTTAATAGGTTCCATGCAGTCAGCAGAATCAGAAAAGAAAAATGTTTTACTGGCAATTGACCTACCGCGGTTTGCGAATTATCCACGCCCCTTAGACAACCCTATGGTTATTTGTTTGTCTCAGATTTTGCACGTTCCGCGTCCATTTGTATAATCATGTATATATTTGACAATATTTCACAAGCTGCGTTGACGAGATTCTACCGCGATAGGTCAATTATATTTCAAATCTTGGCGTGACCATCTTTCCACGGTGAACAGATTGTCAATCAATTTTTAGGTTTATGTCCACATGTCAAAAATATGTATCAACGAAGAACACTTATTTGTCGGTCTCATCTAATGCCCCACGTTTCATACTTATACCTTTAAATGGAATGTACAACATTTGCTTTTGCTGCAATTTTCAAAAATAAATGGATGGGAGGATAAGTATGTAATAGCAAATATTGTTTCACGTTTCGGGTCCGGAGATGCTGGGAATCCAAGAAAACCAACCATGTTCTTGTAGTCTGGTTCCCTGACCCCACTTAAGATGAAACGGAGCAATGTATAGACTTTGGGGAATGGTAAGATCAGAGAATCAGTCTAGCACGCTTGTACCACTTCACAGGTGAGTAATCAATTGCAAGAAAGTGCGGCAAACTAAATGTGAACAATAGGAGCAGTTTAAAAAAACAGTCAGTTTTCTCCAAAGGTGGTCGCCGGGCCGACCAGCGTTGGGAAAAAAACAGTTTTCTTGAAATTGTCAGCACACCAGGAGCCACGATTTTATAGGATGCTTTAGACTGTCATTCCCTAACAATCCCGTCAGGCATTTTGTGATAATTTGATCATTTTGTTTTAATGTTTGCAAATATTGTATCTTCCCTTTAATTGCATATCAACATTATTTTATTTGATATTGAAATAAAACATAAGATTATACTTACACCTCTTGTACGCCTTTCACTCCGAGTAATGCATCGGCAGCCACATGTTGAATTTTGTTTCCACTGAAGTCCCTGTAAAAAAGAAAAATTCATATGAGCATCTCTGCCAATAAACAACAATTTTGTTAGTGATAGGATTGATTACACTAACCAGATAGAAGACGGTAGTGATCGATAGCGGATTGTGCGCCCTTTAACGACACGATTAGACCAGTTTGCCTGCTCTCACTAGCCATGGACAATTGTGCGAGGGCGCTCTACAACAATCACCATCGATGCTCTGCATTGAGCATTATCAATCTTGGGCCAAGACTACTAACCAACCAGCCAACCAACCTCCCATTTTTTTTTCCCCATCCTCTAGAAGATAATAATAAGATAACTTTTACCAGACTTACAGAGTCAGTACGTGATGTTCTCGGCCTGGACGATAGAAGAGCCTTGAGGGAATCTCCAACAACTCGTTGTTGTAGATTTTTCTATCAAATCAATAAATACATGCATTTGAATATTTTTATTTCGCATTAAAGAAAAGTTTGTAAGAAAAACCGCTACCGCGTTTCATTTCAAATACCGTACATCCAGGACGAAAATGAAATATTTATGGGCTAACCAATGTTTCATCATCATCATTTTCCTAATCCATCATGGGGGACGTTGAGTAGCCCAGACCAGGCGATCAGATGCATACTGCATACGTGGACAAGGGCGGCATGGCTGGTCTGTCATCCGGTAGCCATTGGACGTGACAAAGAGGAATGACGCCCTTTACCGGTCAATTCGCCTCGTGGAATGGAACATTTCATCTGTCACTCATGAAATTTTCGTACCATTGCACTCACAAACATTCATAATTTGTATATTATTGTAACGTCTGTTGTGAAACTTAATAACGACTATACTTACACACGAATGTAGGAGGAACCTCCACTAAATGTGTATGGGCTGATGCTTCTGATACTATTATTAGATGCGCTGAAGTCAAGCCTGTCATACCCAAAAGAAAAAGGAAAATATGCCGTTTAATTACACATACTTCCCAAAAGACTGATAGAATCATAAGACAATAAACGTAATAGATACCTCGTTCCTACATGGCTTTTGAGTAGTATACGCTTCTACCAGCTAGCTACTCTTTCCCTGTAGTTTATAAGAGGGTGTAATGTTAACGTTAGTACAAGGGACGTGGGACATTCAACCCCACTGTTTGTTGGGTTGTTTGTTTGTTTGTTGGGCTGTTGGGGTTTGTTTGTTTGTTGTTTGTTTGTTTGTTTGTTTGTTTTTTGGGGTTTTGGGGGGGGGAGGGGTATTGACAGTCACATCAATGGCAATGGCAATGGCCGTCAATAATTTCCCCCATTTTTTTAAATAAACATCAACATAATTTCCTAACCAAACCTGCATCTGGTTTAAAATGATGAAATATCTAAAATACGGCCTACCTGACACCCTTTACCGGTCAATTCAACAGTGATACTGTGAGAATGGGCGTAAAATGGGCATAATGTACAAGTTAATGCACGTTGCCGGGAACTGCATACTTGTTGTATGCAGTTCCCCATCACTGCACTATATAAGAAGATCCCCAGCCTTTCGAAAGTGACATTTCAAGATTGTGTATATATAAAGCCCCTAAAACCTTGTCTCGGTTATGATATCGCTGAGGGGAGCATACTTATAACATTAAGTTAAGAAATCATCATCATCAAGTCGGCCATCAAATGGGTTTATGATGTGCTGGGATCGAATGGTGAAATGAGCAGCTCCATTCTCACTGAAGTGTCCCATTTATAGCACGGCGTCTCCCCATTAGCCTCTCCTAATCAAATCCTGTCTTCTCGCGCTGACCCTGTTTTTACAAGACAGAGGGTATAGGCGGGCCCCTGTCGCCTAAACCAGGTGTTTTGGCATGTAGAACTCGTTAGCCTTGGCGTAGCAGTCTGCCTACGAGAGGGACAACTGATCACAAACCTGGGTATAGGTAGAACTTAGCCTTGGTCGGCAGTCTGCCTGTAGGGCTGGAATCCTGATCCAACTTATCCAACGGTGTTTCAAAGTTTGTCATTGGTTTGATAGAGGCTAGGGAGGGGACCCAACTATCTTCACGGCTCAGATGAGGACTTGCGAACCTCTCGGCTTTTAATTTCGCATCGTAAGGCTTATTAAGGCTTACCCAATGACAGATCCACCGACACCTTTCATCATGTCTGGAGTCAACTCCGTCAGCCCATTCATTGACAGATCCCTACAAGGTTTAATAAGTAATCATGTTGACATTAGGTACTACGCATGGAAATCGAAAACCGGTCAAGAGGTTCCTAATAATCATATAATCGCATTGAGACGGGGGGGGGGAGTGATATTGAATGAAGGCGTGCCCCTGCTATAGGGGGTCGGGGCACGCCCCTCCCCCATTCTAAGGAAATTTTTCAATAACTTTGAGAACTTTAAGTCGATTGTTTATTATGTTGCCCCATTTTACTAGACTAGGTATACAAATTGTCAGCGGCTGAACTGCCAGTGTAGCCTTAATTCAATGGCATTTTTAAATCTCAAAAGCAACAATCATTACTATGAGAAAACTATAGAAAACTGTAAGCAGCTTTAGCCTATTGGTGCAGCGTCAAAAATATGAGATGTCAGAATCAAACAGAATAAAACATTAAGAATTTTTTTTTTTTTTTTAAATTCATGGACATCTTCAACTCGTACCTCTGGGCATCAGTCTCTCTTGCGATAACTGAATTTAAAAGGAAAAATCGACTTTGAGTGAAAATTTGCAAATAGTCCAGGCAGTAACCCGTGAACACACAATAGTAATTATCTGTCTGTTTGCATCAAAGGGCGTAATACTTAACAGATTTTATGACTGGTATAGAAAACTGCACGGCAAGTAACAACATAAATGTTTCTGGACATTGCATAAAAAAAAACTTACAGGCGGATTAAGCTGGTAAGGCCGCTAAAAGCTCCTGACTCGATGGCAGATATCTGATTGTTCGCCAAATACCTGGCATTGATTAAAATACAAAAAGGTCACCTTATTGCGCATTTTCCCCAGATAATTAAACAAGCATTGAATATGCCGTTTTAACAAGTTTAAACTTCTTATTAGGAAAAAATTGAGTTGGTTTATGACTTGGTTGAAAAAATTGATATTTTTTTTTATCTTCAGCACAGCATAACTACAGATTAATTTAAAATTGCCTCCGGCGCTCTTCAATAAATGTGATTTGTTTTCAAAATAAAAAGAATCAATTTCAGTTTTCTCGGCTACTTTAAAACAGTTTTCAGTCCGATTCACCAATTTTAATATTCACATTCGTCGTGGAGGAATTTCACGTGTTTTTCGTAAAATAAGAGTATTCGTTGCTACAGACCAAATTCGCCTTAGCTATTGCTAAAATAATGACAGCATTCAGAGATTAAATTCGTCTGTCAATCAATTTAAAACGTGTGTTATGCGTAAACTAGTCTGGTGTGTGTGTATTTTCATTATGTCATCGAGCACAATTTGGAACATTTGTTCGCATCATGTTATCAGATCAAGATGATTTTCCTAGCAGTTATCAAAAGAAAAGGCAATTTTGGACCCCCAAATCAAATTTCGTCCTTTTTCCTAAAAATGTTCACACAACTCAAAGTACCCATCAGAGTCCAGAAATGAACACCATTTGGCACATTCGTTCGCATGATGTTATCAGACTAGAAGATTTTCCCAAATCAGAGCAGTTACCAGAAAAACAAATAAATATATGACCAAGAACAACAAAACATAATTTCTAACATAATTTTAAATGTTTGAAACAGTAAACATAGTGTTAAAATGAAAGAAGAAAATGCCACAAACCAGTGGTGCACCGGGGGGGGGGGAGGCCTCGGGGTGCTTTAGCCCCCCCCCCCCCCGAAGAAGTTTTCATTTTTTTTAGTCCCACGATTTGGCCTTGGTTATATGAATGTGTCCTTTGTTCGAGTAGTATAATAGGGGTGTAAGTGGCGTCACCAACGTCAAAATAGGCCGCCCTTCAAAAAAAACCCAAATAGGCCGCCCTTTAAAAAAAAACCCAATTTTTTTTTCTGCGGCCAAAAATTTGGCGCAAAATTGTTTGAAAAAATTCAACTTTTAACAAGTTTATAAAAAATAATTTTTATGAACCCCCCCCCAAAAAAACAAATCCTGGGTGCGCCACTGCCACAAACTAAGAGAGCCCATCGTTCTCTGTGTAACATGTATGCCCAAAACTGATTCAAACGCAGTTTTAAGAAGACAAAAGCAAAAGAAACAAACAATAAATTTATGAAGAAACTAAAAAAAGTGGAAAATTATTCTTATCAGCGGCCTGTATGCCTTCTACTGAAGATGTCACAATGAAGTATGACGAAAGTAAACAAAGTTTGGATTAAATTGGGGGCATCAGTTTTCTGAATATCACGGTTCGGCGTAGACGAAACGAAATCGAATACTCCTGGACGAATATGTCAGCTCATGGTTTGAATTTGCCTCTACCAAAATCGAAATTGTATGAAAAAAGGACGAAATTAAATATTGAAATTGCACTAAATTGATTTTGCTGGACGAATTCGAATGTAAAAATCGTTGAATTGGAAAGGAAAACGTTTGAAAATGCCAGGAAAACCTCTTCTTATGTTTTATTTCAACGCCAAAAAAAATAGTTGCATTACCGCTTTTAGGGGTAAACATTTCTGTGAAAAAGTTCTTACTTTGGGATGATTAGCACCTCTAAAACACGAACGTAAACATCATTTATATGCAACGCAGTGTAAATGAGGTAATTTATAGGCAACACATGCACAGCGAATACAAGGTAATTAATAGCAACGCAGTGTACGGGTGGCCCCAAAAAAGTTTACACTTTTTCACCAGACGAAGATTTCTCAAAATTGAGGAGACATATTGAAATTGTTTTAAGATATTCCTTAACTACAAGGTCTTTGGCGGAATATGGTTGAAGTGGCATTTGAAAATACCGCCTAAATTCAGAAACGACGGCCATTTGAGAAACGGTCAAAATCCAGTTTGTGCACATGTAAGTCTGTGAAACATAGTCAAAACAATATCACTGCTTTCGCAAAGAAACACCGGCAATCGTGGACCCCCTATTGTCCCTTATCCTCATTCCTTTGTTTGTACTCCTACTTTTTAGCACCAGTTCTCATTGGTTTTGTACACGAATTTCAATCGTGGACTATCGATCAATCGTGGACCCTTTGTTTGTGCCCTAACCCTTTTGTCCCTAGTCCGCGATTGCCCGTGTTTACATACCCATGTATACACGCGTGTGGACTAACTGGCTTATGACCATTTTTTTGTATAGCGGCCATCATTGCTTAATTTAGGCTCTATTTTTAATGCCATTTTACACCATACGCCATATTTTAGGTACCTTCAATGGTACTATGTTTTATTAACCCGTTCATTTGTTTAATTAAACTAATAACGCACATATAGTTGCCAAATATGGCACTAACAAGTTTGAAGTCGGCAATTTCGTCTTAAAAATATGGGTACGTCGGGTTATCGTACACACAATTGTCCTGGAGACAACACTACCAAAGTACAGAAAGTCGTACGCAAGAGCTCCACAGCAATTATCGCTGACGCCATTATGATTCCATAATTTCTCACTGTGTCACACAGTGAAATAACTAAACAGCGTCGTTGTATTGTGAACACATACAAGCATATAAGTCGCGTTCTTGCACACTTTATGCAAGTCAGCATAGATATCCTTGAACCACTGCCCCTGCTTTGCATAACAAGTGCACATGAATGAACGATTCGACTTTTATTCAAAGACATTTATATGTACAGTCACCAGACTCTATTCAGTAAAGTCCCCGTCAAAACGAAAGTAAACAATCCACTTGCATAATGCATGGCTATGTCGCCTTGCAGAAAGTGTGGAAGAACGCGACTTAAATGCTTTTATGTGTTCACAATACAACGACGCTGTTTAGTTATTTCACTGTGTGACACAGTGAGACATTTTGGAGTCATAATGGCGTCAGCGATACTTGCTGGGGAGCTCTTGCGTACGACTTTTTGTACTTTGATACTGTTGTCTCCAGGACAACTGTGTGTACGGTAACCCGACGTACCCAGATTTCTAAAGACGAAATTGCCGACTTCAAACTTGTCAGTGCCATATTTGGCAACTATATGTGCGTTATTAGTTTAATTAAACAAATGAACAGGTTAATTAAACATAGTACCAATGAAGGTACCTAAAAGTAAACATAACAGCATAGAAGACCGACAGACGAACATAAAATGTTACAAAATAAACATATTGTCTGGATAATTATTTAGGACGTCACCGGCAAGTTATCACAAACTTGGTGTCAAATAGATCATGGGAGTTACTTTTCTTTGACTTTTCATACAAGTTTACATAAACTTTAACTGTATGACCTGCAGTGGCGTAAGAACTCAAAATCTCAGTGGGGGGGGGGGGGGGGGGGGTGGTGGGGGACAGCTCCCCATGAAACGTGGGGGGGGGGACAGCTCCCCATGAAACCTTGTCGCCCTCCTCCCCCCACTGAGATTTGGAGTTTCTAAAAAAAAATCATTGATCTACATGACGCCCCCCATAAAATGTTCCAGCCCCCCCCCCCCCCCCCCCCCCCCCCCCCCCCCCACTGAAAAATTCCTGGCTACGCCACTGCGGAGCTGCCCTGCAATTCATTCCTGAAATTATTGTTGCATTCCTTATTAGTTCATTAACTTTATATTAGAATCAACATTATTATCTATGATAACGAATTTGGCGGGAAACAGAGCTTTCACACAGTGACTTTACTGGTCAGGCTTTTCCTTGGTTTCAACACTGGTGACGGAGTCTCACAACATTAACTGGGGGAACCAAGTAAGCCAAAGATTCTAGCTGAACCGAGTGGGCACGGTACGAGCTATCGCTTCGCAGAGACGGCCGGAATGAAGCGGAAGCGGACCGCTACAGTCACGGGGAAGCAACAGCTGAACGGGGCCAGCGAGTGTACCGGATCACACTACAGTTCGAGCCATGGTCTGCATGGTCAACCGGGACCAGTGGCGTAGCCATGAATTTTTCAGTGGGGGAGGGAAAGGGTGGGCGCTGGGGGAGGGGGGGGCTGGAACATTTCATGGGGGACGTCATGTAGATCAATGATAATTTTTTTAGAAACTCTAAATCTCAGTGGGGGGGGGGGGGGGGGGGGGACTGGGGGCGACAAGGTTTCACGTAGGCTATACCCTAGGTCTAGGCTGTTCATTGGCAGACACAACTTTACGGTTTGTAATAAGCCTACTTACAACATAGCAAGCCACGTATGGTTCCGGAATGAATTTGTCTTCAGTGCTGTCAGCTCATTTTTATTGAACTTTCTGTGTAGAAAAAAAAACAGGATTTTCAAGAAATTTCGATAAAAGTCGCTAATTATACAAGTATATAGATAACTCCAAGTATATTACTTTGCAGATTTCTATGGAAAAAAGCTGGGAAAGAAAACATAAGAGTTGTAGGCCTAATGCAGCATTAGTGCATACATTAAATTTATATTCACATTACAATTTTAAATTCATTGGTTTCTACCCAAAAAGGGTTATATTTTGTTATTCATTACAATCTTGAATGGCACTTTTTATATTGAACTACAATTTTAGGCGGGATAGTTTCACAGGGTATATGATAAAAAAGGTCCTATCTTCACTTTGAGCAAGTGTTTTTTGGTCATTAAATCGGTGGGTAGGCCTACATTTATTTTCCGAGTAATTTCAAATGATTCTGCTAACTTTAAAGGGGGGTGCACCCTAAAAAAATAATGAGACATTGAAAAAACACCAATCGCTCCAGGCTACGTTATCATTTTTGTTTCACTTCAGCTTTGGAATTAGGAGAGGGACGCTTGTGTCCAGACGAACGTAAGCCGATATCCACAATCCACACTGCCTTCGAAATCCAGCCCTGAATTCATTCCATGCACATCAACGTCGTGCTCAGAGTGCAACCGTGCCATATAATACGCGTACCACTTCAGTGTGTGTACGTGTACGCATACTGCAAAGACTAGCTGCAGGCGCGACACCGGCGACATGGGCCAAGTCTAAATTCAGCTTAAGCATGAAGAAGCAACATACAAATCTCTTAATTGTCAATGACATTTTTGGCTCTGAAGTCTAAATTAAAAGAAAACCGTTCAACGACATCATCAGCTTTGAAAATTCGTTCGGAAAAAAAAATCAAACTTCATAGGGATACTAACTTTTCGCGGCTATTATATGCAATTGCATGTATGGATAGGGTGCAGGTGTACTATACTGAAATAAGCCTACTACTGATTTAAAACCACACGAGCTAACTTACAGCAAGGTTGTGTCATGTGGTATTCCGTTTGGCATCGATTTCAGACCTTTTCCATTGCAGTTTACAATTTTCTTAAAACTGTCACACTCGCAGACGTGACAGGCATCATCTTCTGTCGTTGCAAGACATAAAGGTAGTGTGCAGAGTAGAGCGAGACATAGCCAATGTATTCCTGGAGACTTCTCAGGCTCCTTGCGTCTCGTAATCTGCGCCATCACTGATGCGTCGGTCTGCACGGTTTAGGCTTATATATCACTTGTGTTTTGTTTCTGCTGAGGTTCTGGTTTAATGCTATGATAAGCATTGCGTCAAGGTTTTACTTCCGGTTGTGCTGCAACAATGAAAGTCCCTTTGTATGGTGTACTATAAAGGACACCTATCTGTTATCGTCGTGCGTGTGGACACTATTTGCAAACGTTCAAAAGTGAAACTGTCCAAACATCATGAAATGTCCTTATTTGTATTAGTGAATAATAGAATCAGCATCCTGTGACGCGTTGCTTCTCGTACAAAAGCTAATGCTGTAGTTTCGGGAAAAGAGGAATCATAACCGATTCCTCGCGTTGGTTCGCGCTTTCAACACAAACTATATCACTCTTAACACTGAGTGTTGAATCCAACACTTAAGGTTCGGTGAGTGACCACGCTTTGAAAGTATTGAATCTAGCATTGTAAATGTTAAATTAAATGTAAGTGTTTATTCAACTTTTTTCAAAGTGTTAAGTTTGAAAGTGTTGCATCCACAACTGTTGAATTAGCAGTTTAAGCGTTGGATTTAACAATTTAAAATATGCTGGATTTAACACTTTCAAAGTGTGGTCACTGATCGATCATGTAAGTGCTGGATTCGTTATTTCAGTTTAACATGCTTTGCGTTGAGAAAATAATCTTAAATATACACTTTCAAAATTTTCTCAGCAAGTGTATCATCCATTGAGCTTAAAATTCGACGGGTTTCTTTAATAACCTGCTTCAGACTTTTGTTTTCTGTTTGCTAATAATGTCAGTTACCTTAAATATTTTCCAAACCACTTGTGTATAGTATATGAGTTTTATTATTTGACGACACGTTTAAGTGCGGGGGATATAAGTATAGGTAATGTGCTATGCTTTTTTACCTTTTCATTTTTAAGTTCATACATTTTCAGAATTTCATGGTTAAACAGGCCCACCGAGGTGTAAAAGAATTACGAGGCAAAAAGGGAACAAAACCAAATTCCAGAAATAAACGCACGGGTTTTACTTTAGGGAAGAAAGTGGGTGAATATGAATCAAAAATTACTCATTATTACTTGTATAACGAAAGCACGTTCATTGGTGTCAACGGGTGTTTGGTTTCGTATCGTGAGAATAAAAGATGACAATTGAAGTCATCAGTTTTTTTCCATTAATTAGAATTGTCTGACAATGCATGCGCTCAATTGGTTAGGGAAGTTCTACCAAAGTGAAAGTATTTCGAGCGAGTTGAAAGAAAGTCAAGGTGAGGTAAAAGAAAATACTTGAACACGCACATGCTTTCCGGTATCCATATATGAACAATGATTCACTGCTAGCTTTGACGAATACTGATACAATCTGTTTCGTTGAACATATCTGTGTTAAAATGTCGCAGAAAGTGCGCATGTAAAATACATGTTGAAGTTCATGACAGAAAGAAGGAAACAGCTGCAGGAAATGGCGCCAGAGTTGTTGTCCAGCCGTGCGAATAGTCCCCGAGCAAGTATATCGATAGGAATGAGGTATTCTGTACCCTTCAGAATCCCCAGTTTTCAGTCAAATATCCCCAGGGCTCCAATACCTGACTTCTGGAGGCACTCAATGGTGATGAAGCCAATTTTAATAGTTTTTAAGAATCAAAATTATATTGTCTTTTCAAATGATATTCACTATGAAAGATATTGCGTGTACCTAGTTAATAACGAGGGTGAAATATTTAATTCTGTTTAATCTGTGGATGTCTACCTGTCTTGTAATGCTCAGGCGAAATTTGCAGAGTTTGTCCAAAAATTACGCCCTTTTTTCTCTGGGTCAGGTCAGGGGACATGTGCGGACCTTTTGATTTCCCTGGTTAGGGAATATCAAGTGAAAACAAAACAGTCCCAATTTCGATTTCCTCCAGACAACTTTTCCTCACATGTTGCTATCACTGCTGGTGGCTCAAATACGGAAAAAAGTCCACGCAGTAGGCCTACGTTAAGGCCTATTTTGAGCCACAAATGGGTCTTGCTACATGTACATACAGGCCACGGCATGCCCGTCTGCTTTTCTAGATTTTACAACCTAAAAAAAAACCCGAATTATTGCCACTAATCATCAGTTTTGTGAATGTGTGGTCACGATTAATAATTGGTTCTGACGTGCATGAAAGAAATAAAACATTGATCCCAGCTGAGTGTAATGTGTAGCCAGGCGCGGCCACGGTGCACAGACAATCGTGGCTGCCATTGACTTCGGGTCGGAAGGACCGTCCGCGGAAACGCGTGCAGAAATTCATTTTCCCAGCACATAGCTGCTGTAACAACCAAATGATATCCGCATCAATCGTTAATGAGTTAAACTATTTCAGTATAAATCGTACTAGCCATAAAATACAGGAATTAGACGAGAATAATTGAACTATTAATCATGTATTGCTTAGTGTGAGTGCTGAAGTAAGTAACCAAATAAATGAAGGAGAGTAATATAACTATAAGCACTGTGAATATAATTGTTTAAGCAATGCAAACAAATACATACAAGCTGTAAATAATCATTAAAACTATTCAAATTGAAAAATCACCCTAATAAACCTCTACAGTAAATGTTTCGGATCAAAACAGAACAGCGTTCAAAAATTTCACTAAAATTGCAACCTTTGAATAAGAATATTTTGAAACAGAAAATGACGTTTAAGCAAGACATTCATCGCAATACGGAACTCTCGGCCTCTGTCCCTATGCTCGGAGTGTTGTCTTTTAAATTACCAATGTTTCTTGGGGATTCAAAGTTGTGGCCAAACAAACGCTCAGCCTTGTTGGAAATGTAGTGTTTTTGTCTTTGAATTAAGCTCCGGTGCTCATATGCAGTCAAGCGGATGGAATAAAGCCGTCCGTGGACAAACATGTTTAGCACATGAAATTATTCTCAGAGGCAAAATATGCATAATTGGCAATGTTTTTTTCGTCACTTACGTTTAAAGATCAATATTTTATTACCATTTAATTGAATTTTTGAAATATGCTCAACAACTAGGTGAAAATTGCTGGCAAAAGTTGGTTTCCTTCTTTTTGCACCACCATGTATAGACATTTCCGGATCTATGGTTATTAAGTACCCACAAAGCCTACTAAGCCACTTAGCCACATAAAGCACCGCGATTACAGCTGGAGCTAATTAAGGTGAACACAATTAATTAATTCTATACTTGAGTTGTCACTCTTCATACTTTATCATAAGCTTATCGATAAGCTTCTATATTAGCACAAAGTAGCGCAAAGCCTGCAGTAGTATACAAAGCCTTAAATGAACTTAACAATTGCGAGAACTCAAACGGTTTCCACACTGCAAGAACTGCAGTGTTAAATTTACACCATTGGTATCTATATAGGACCATCTGGTGTTAAATTTTACTGGTGTTGTCATATATAGATACCGAATGGTGTTAAATTAACACTACAGTTTTTGCAGCGCATTAAAATTGCAATATGGAGGAAGATATTATGAAGTTGTATGCATTATGAAGTTGTATAATCATGAAGCATAATGTCTATTGCTATATATATATACGGTCATCAAACAAAGTCCAGTATACATTTGTACATGTATACTTCCAACGAAAGTGAGCAATATTTTAAGCTGACATTAAAATATACTTTATAATCAAAACATTACTTTATTCAGCAGTAGCTAATTTTCATGTAATTTGTAGTCCAGAAGTGAGCCAAAAATTTGTTAAATTCTGCCAAAAATCGTTTTGCTGCCAAAAAAAAGGAAAACAAAATAAAAATATATTTACAAGATTTGAAAGACAAAATATACATACATTGCTTCAACATTAAATTTTCATCAGGGTAAATGAAAATAAAATAATATCGTTTTTATAATTGGAAAACGGTTTTAATGTTAATTTCAGTTTGTTTATCATAGAAAGAACTGTAAGCGGTAGGCGGAATTTCCATGGAGAATGACCACTTCCTTCGTTATTGTTGTCATTTTACCACTATATAAAAGCAAAATCCATTCCGATGCTCAACAAATATTCTAAACTTCCTTCTCCATACTTTTCCTTTCCTTACAATCGTTGTTTTACATTTGTCGCTTGAGCTGCTACTACAACATAACGGATTATAAAGACACCAGAAATTACCGATATCGCAATTTTTGACGATGAAAAGTTATCATCATGAGCTACAGATTAATCATTGATCTTCACAATCACAGTCAAAATCACAAATCTCAAATCTTAATGAAAAAAAGCTTGGCTTGATGAAATACATTACAGCTTGAATCACAAACTAATATATTATCTTAAGAAAAAAAATAACTACAGAAAAATAACATTTCACAGAAATATAACTCAATCAGTAAAGTCTGTAAATCCCAGATTTCGCAGATTTCAAAAAAGAGCCTTTCTGACCTCAAATCTTGCAACCAATAATCAGTGAATCTCTGATTAAAATAAATTTGAACTATACAGATAGGCCCCACTCTCCACCGTTGCCATAGAAACTGCTCATCAAACCAATTCCGAGGCTTGCTCAGTAGTATCGGATCTCGTTCACGACACAATCGCCAGCTATCTGCAAAGCGGTGATATTTTGAAACGGCAGACGATGCTCGTATTCGAAGAGATGCAAGCCATTCATAGCGACCTTGAACTTGTCTCTCTCGCAAAGGAACATGATCTACACGTACATATATATAAGGTACGTTGTTTATACATAAAATCACAAATCATACAATATAATGATTCGCAAAGGAGGGTGTCACACGACATCACCACAACCTCTCAAAAATCACGACAGCCCAACCGCATCAGATGTTTTCCCCAAGGCCGGTGATTTTTTTTGTACGTGCCCCCCCCCTCCCCTCCCCCCTCCCTAAAAAAAAATTCTTTGCCCCTCACTTGCCCTCCAAATTGTAGAGTCTGGCGCCGCAACTGCTTACATCACACACAGTTAGGCCGACAATTATTTAACACCCCACCCCCAAAATGAAATGAAATTTGGATGTTCTG